CTCTCATGGTACAACTACTACTCCGCGGCGGGGTATATCAGTGATATCTCCCCGCCACGTGATTCGACTTCGAAACATTTCTGATGGCTCCCGGCAAAATGGCTGAGCGAAAAACCCGGACGGGCGATAAGGCTTGTTATTCGCGAACCGCGATCCTCTTGGCTGAACCCTTACCGTTTCTACCACGTGGCTTTGACTTGGTTGACTGGTTATGTTGTCCCACAAAGTAACCCCAGACCCTCCCTTATATCAGTTATTGAATTACCCCCGGTCTTAGAGTCAAAGCTATTCGTTCCCCGGGCGCTGATCTTATCATACCTACTACCCGGCCTAACTCGGGCCAGGCCACCTTAGCCGTATCCTAGTACCGTGCCCATCCACTGTGTCCAAAGCTAACTGGCTCCAGCCGAACCGACACATCGAATAGCCCCGAGGGCCGAAACCCACCCTCCTCCCAGCCCTAACCCCGAGCCCCAAACCCCAAACCCCGAAGGACTCCTAAACCCCTTCTTAACCCCGAAAAGGCCTCCCGGTTAATTAGGGAGGCCATTTTCATGTTATGAAGCGAGTTATCAGGCTGCACTCACAGTCAAGCTTTGGTAGTACACGTGCCCATGATTGTTTTGTTGGTAAAGTAAAGCAACTCCTAAAAGTTGTCTCTCAACGTGAATGAAAACCGTCTCTGCTTACAGTAAACCGATGGTGAAACGCCTACCTAATTATATGGCCGCACGCACTGCTGGGCCGCCTCCACATCAGATAGCGATGAAAGACGAACCGGTGATCATCAATGATTACTGTTTCCTCTTACCATCGCCATATAGATCGTATCAAGTCCGGTATACATACCGTCATCGCCCCTGGTTGGATTGGTAAAACGTTATCATACGCTGAGCATAATTCTAAGATCGAGCTACGGTAAATATCTCATAGAGGTATAGCGGGATCCTCGTATTACTGCCTATAAAGTTGTCGGCAATTGCATCTAGCAAGTCCAAATACTTCATCACTCTTGACGAGCTGGATCGCCAGCTCGGCCGGGCCAAAGATGGTAAGACTTTGTCCTCAACTCAATGACTAGATTTTGCAGATTGCGGTACATTCAATTGCTGGCAAATACTGTCAGTGGACCGGTCATCTAATCTCACATGTTTGAGTCGCGACGCCGCAATCGTGCACTAACGTTTGGAGCTGAGTGATCCATCAATATCCAAATGACGACGGGCCACAATCAGGTTTGAGCGGCCCACTCTGCTTGATTCGAAGCAGCCCCAAAATGGGGATTATTCTTGAACTCGATGAAGAGAGTGAACATGACGTGCAAGGATTCGACCAGATTGCTGTACCTGTAGAATAGGAAGCCGTCATGTTCAGTTGGTTCACACTCAAAAGCGGCTCTCCCCGGCTTCGATTTGAGCGCTTCCGCTAATCAGCTGAACGATTTGATTTACACCAAGCGGTTTCAACTTTGTCTCGCTTTCGCCTTATCATGGGCAGCGGCTACCAGTCACACAATAAAAAACAGTCACTGCAAACGTGAAACATTTGAGAAGAGTCATTCCTCACCATGCCAGACAAGCAAGAGCCCACAACAGCGAGCGGCTATGGAACGTTACCATCGACGTACGAACCCATGGGACAATTGAATTGCACTCGCATGCATCACCAAAGGCCCTATCGCTTACACGGGGATATCAAGAAGCGCGCAGGCGATCTGAGCAAACGTTCGGAGGTCCACGTCTAGGTCCGCGTTCGGCAGCTGCACTTTTTCAAGCAGGTCCTCGAACTCGGGCGGCCACTCCTGCGAAAACGACGCGCTTATGTCTCAGAAACCTCGATCTTCAAAGCAGCATATGCGGTATCTGGACTTCCTGTCACTTGTATATTGATCGGGCCTACTCTAACAAAACGACATGCTTATCCCGACACATGTAACACGATATAGGAGATGGCGGACGCGACTTGTGAAAAAAGTCATCTCGATTTTCGTAATCGAAGATGGGAGCTTCTTCAGCTGCTATCGCAGAAGCCAACGACATTTCTAAAACCGCGAATCTTCAAAGCCGCGACTTTGAAGGAGGGCCGAAAGGACGCACGGACGCCAGCGCAGACAAGGGGAGAATAGTAAGAGCAGTATATGATAAGAGCGGGCAGTAAGAAAGTTTCGGGGAGCGATAAGATGGACAACGAGATAGCAAGGTGCGGCATATGACTGCCGCATATGCCTCAAACTTTCGGATGAGGTTTTCAAATCGGTAGGATTGGGCTACGTGTAACGGGGGCTTGCTCTTTGCGGGTCGCCGATGGCTTTGATGCACAGGGCCCTAAACCCCGAAACCAAAAATCTCAAGAAGTACGAGGCCATGGGGGATGCCCGAAATTCACCCACGTCAGAAAGCCTACTTGCATCAGCTTCTCGATGTCGGGCATCCGCTTCGAGGCGTTTACGTGTGCGGGGGCTTCTGTAGGTCGCCGATCCACAGCGCCGTCGGAGACCAACAGAATAAACTCACACCAGAAACGAGAAACTCAGAAACCCAGAGATCCAGAAACCCAGAAACTTAGAAACCCATAAACCCCCTCTGAGAGACTAAGGATGAGAAAACGCATGACAAACTCAGAAACCAGAGATTCAAACCCAGTCAAATCTTTCAAGAGCGTCAGGAAAGCCTACCTGCATCAGCTTCTCGATGTCAGGCATCGGCTTGGAGTAGTTGACATGCGGCGGGGGCTTGCTCTTGTGCAAATCGTCGATGCTGTGGATCCAAGCCGTGATCTTTTTCGGGTTCTTGTCTGCGGCCTCGATGCTGGAGACCGGCATAGGCTGCAGGTTGGACTGCTTGGACAGCGCGCGCAGCTGCAGGTTCAGCACCGTCGGATCGCTCTGCTGTGCGGCCGGCTCGTCTAGCACCTGAAATGCGGGGTGTGGAATTGAGGACATTAATAATCAACCCGTTTCTCTGAGAGTGAAGGGTCACCTCTAAGCGCTGGTTTGAACAAGCTTCTTAATACGAGGAATTCACTACTGTCGGGTCGCTCTGCTCCGCGGCCGGCTCGTCCAGCACCTGCAACCAGGGTTTTGGGTTCTAGAAGGTTAGGGCCTGTTCAATTTGGGCTTCTGAAATTTGGGGCGAAATCATGTCATCGAGAAAGCTGCAGGTTCAGCACCGTCGGGTCGCTCTGCTGCGCGGCCGGCTCGTCCAGCACCTAAAACGCGGGGTTTTGAGGGTTTTAGGAATCTGGGCCATTAAGATTCAGACTTCAGGCTGGCTTATCCATGGATCTGGGGGTTTAGGACGTTCAGCGTGAACCCAAAACTCTGGCGGCTAAGCGATTATTACCAAGTGTCTTCCACCGGCGCTTAAGAAATTGAGTAAGCTTCTCAACACGAGAAAGGTGTAGACGCAGAACCGTGGGGTACCGCTTTGCTGCGCGGCCGGCTCGTCCAGCACTTGAAACGAAGATTTCAGAGTTGATTGAGCGTTAACCTCCCGGATTCTTATGATACAATGCTGTGGGTTTGGTGTTGTCGGGTTGCAGAAAAGACCCGGACTTTACAGATCCGGTGAGCTTCTTCGATTAATAAAGCTGCGAACTCAGGACACTCGGGTCGCTCTGCTGCGCGGCCGGCTTGTCCAGCATTCGAAACGAGGTTCTGGGGTTTAGGACGTTAATTTGGTAGGTTTAAAACAAAGCTTACAAAAAGCTGCGACTTGACAACCGTGGATGTTCTGGTGAGTGTTCGCCTCTTCCGGAACCAAACAAGGGTCATTTCTAGAGTCTTACTTCATCGACCCTGATAATGAAGGTGAAGATTCACGATTTCAAAGGGTCAGAACCTAGGGTGTACTTCTGGTGCGAACAGATGCAGTAAGTTGGAGACCCGCTCCTCAAACCAGTCTCGGCAGGCCACGTGATCACTTGTTGCGGCAAAAGGAAGGAAGCAGGCAGAAGACTGTCTCCGGCCACAGTAGTGGAGACTTGAAGAACTCATGCTTTGATGGCCGTTACCTTGAGACCCAGATGAACGATCGCTTTTCAAACTTTTCTCAGCGGGCCTCGTGATTCCTTATGCTTGCGCGCGAAAGAAGTGAGTTGGCAAAACATGATAAAACGGCGTAGATTACAGGAACAATGAAGTTTCGTTCTGACAACCATTACCTTGAGACCCAAGAAGTCCGGATGCCCGTCCGGCCGCGGTACTTTGATGAATTCATCGATGTCTCCCACTGCCGGGATGTATTCGGGAATGAACGGCTTTAGCTTGGTTTCCAGCTCGATGTTGTGCGGTTTGTACCGCCCGATGTACTGGAACAGGTCCCGGATCTCCTCCGTCACCTGTGAGCGCGCGCACAAAAGCATCCAATTTCACGCGCGCACTTTGACGGACAAGCTTCAGAACAGTGGACGTCTCAATCTTGATCGTTCTTTCCTTGTGATCTTCTTGTTGTTTTTGGGCGTGTTTCATTTCGTGGGTTACCGCGCGGAACCCACAAGCGAAGCGTTTTCGGAAAAGAGCACAAACGTCGGCAGTCACCGACCCCGTCGAGCGAGGCTGCGAGCATCCAGCTGCCCGCAAAAAGGGCCGGCCAGGAGAGCGTCTGGAAGCCAAGCCAGTCTGAAACCGTTATGACTGACCGTGCTACTTTTCGATCGGTTCCTTTTCACAACTCGGACAGATGCTAACTCTCACAAAAGTACCTGGGGATGATCAATGTATGTCCAAACAATTGTCGCGAGGTTTCCAACTAAGTAGGAGAAGTATCTAGTGGGTTCGAGTGGAGTTTAGAGCAGAACGCCGGTCTTCGCACGCAGCAAACTCACGAGCAGTGCGAGATAGTACGTCAATCGTTTCTCTCAATCTTCGACATCGTGAAAGACCGTACTGAAACGTGCTGATCAGTGGACTAGGTAGACACTTCTCAGAGTTGACCTATCAAGGACCATGTGACCATCCGTCCACTCCTCAAACGGATTCTGGTCCCTTTTACCCACAATTGTCAACCATCCGCAAAAAGCAAGGGCGGTGAAACTCAAAGCACAGCTTCTGGGCCCCCATGAAGTGACGGGAAAAGACCCGTGGCATACCTGCAGATGCTCGTACTCTGCCTGGTTATACAACCGGGCGGCTCCGGGGGGTCCCACTGGGCTGGACTCCTCGTCCTCTGATTCGGACTCTTCGGACTCTTCGGACTGTTCCGCCGTGTCCGGTTCGTGTCGATCTTCGCTCGGTTCCGTTCCGGAACTGGGGGCTCGATAGGCGGAGCCGGATGGCCTTCCATTGCTGGGGGTGGAAGGGGCGGCTTCAGGTTGGTATTGGCGCAATCGAAGGTCCTTAACATTGCGAGACTTCGTTCCTGGACTGGTTTCCCGGTAAGCAACCCCGGAAGACCCTCCCATTGCTGGAAAAGAATATGATGTCAATCTTTCCTACGCAGAGTTCCAGCTCTGTTTTACAAAATGCAAGTGCGACATGATCGATCTGCATTTGATTGCTCCGTGAAAGCGTCGAATCGAATGAAGCCGTTCTGTACTTCGTCTGCCTTCACACAATGATAAGCTCCGTGCATGCCCAGATTAGTGCCAGTTTGGAGGGTATGATAAACGAAAGCGGAGGGGAAGTTAACGCGTTCAATATTGAGCAACGAATCAATTCAAGCAGTGCAACTACAAGTAGTTGACACTCTCAACAGCCAGAAAGACGAAGTAACAGAAGCGGTGCACCTGTAGTACCGGCCTCTCTCTAGGCCACCGTTAGCGGTATAACTATCTATGCTGGACAGAAGGTTTGCTCATGTATCAGCGGACAGCAGAATCAAGGATCACAGCGCTGCCACTCAGAGATCTAAAAAACGAACGCTTCAGACGTTACCTTCTAAATTATGTTGGCCGTGATTGGTTAACAACGAATATGGCAGCTCGTCCGATCACAGTTCGCTACCCCCAGGCTCGATGCTTCCCACTGCAGTCCTTATGTTCAAACCGGACCTTAGTGCTGCAACTCGAATATCTCAAGATTCGAGTATCTGCAGTCCGCCTGGTATCCTTACCTTGGCCGTTGGGAACCAGCTGCACTGCTGGACCGCTGGCCCTGCGGCGGCGCTTGCGAGTAGCCGCCGTCGGAGCTGTCCCTCTCGTGCACCTGAGAGTGGGGGCTCTGCATGCTGCCCCTGCTCTGCATGCTGCCCCTGCTATCTGCAGTCAGATAAAAGTTCGGAGTTGCTCTTTGCCGCCCACCCATTACAGTCCTTTACAGCTGTTTGCATCAATTTGCCATTGGGTTGCAAATTCTCTCAGCCTGGTCCCTGATCTTGGGCCGTCGGATGCCTGCCTTGTCGCCAATCGAACGGTCCAAGATCAGGAACCAAGTCAGAGCACTCGGAACCCAATGGCAGGTTTTATCGCAAAGAGCTGCACCTTGCCAACAGTCGCGTGGGATATCGTCTCTGTTTTGGATGAGGAAGAGGAACAGGTCTCTGCCGCCAGCTCTCTGTTGTCATTGAGTGTCTGGAAGAGGATCGAACCCTGAGCAGGCTTGTAGGTCTGAGCATCCCCTCAGATAAAGTTCTGCTTTTTCTCCTGCGTCCCTTCCTGCGCTCAGGAGGGAGCTGCGAGCTACAATAAGAGATACTTCCTTAGCTGACTCAAGATGCTTCAGGTCATTGGCCTCAGCAGGCTGTCATTTTGTTCACTTGTTCTCGCATTTCTTACCTTAGCATCTCCATGCAAGTTCCAGTTGTGGACTTTGTATCTGTCCACAACCTCACACTTTTGGAGCAGCATCGAGAGCCACTTTGAAGCAAACAAACAAGCACATATCTGTGCAATCACTTGCACCAGGGGAGCCTGAAATTCCAGATCTGGGTGTGGCTAGGCTTCATTTGATACCACACCACAAATTATGGTCATGAGGCTGGTAAATATGTTGAGAGTCAGGTTACTGCTACTGCCTGGAGTTTGGGTCAGCCAAGCTGACGCTTCCTGACTTTCGTTGAAAAAGCAAGGCAAACATCAAGCTGCAGTGGTCTCAAAAGACAGCGCCTGACGTCCCCATTCTTGTGGAAGAAGTTGCACGTTGAAAGGGTGTAGCCAGACACTCAAAAAGAAACACAAGATTGACATGAACTTGATGAGGCATGGACTTCAGATCAGTGATGGGCCTACTCACTTTGCCTGCTCTGAGCCATGGGCTGTGGAGCAATCTCGGAGCCTCCATCTTCTGAACTTTCCTCTTCGCTGAGAGCAAACTCCTCATCGTGCGGCTGGTTTTGCACCTGGAGTGTCATTGGGGCAGATTGCAATGAACACTTTAGCCTGGCTTCTCATTTGCTCAGCCCCTTTGTACCGCTCTACGGGGCCTCCTCTGAATGTGAGGGATGGGGGGGGAAGAAATGATTCTGAGGCTGGCAGCTCCAAAACTTCCCCAAATGAAGGGCTGCTTCTGAACAATTGACAGAAGGACAGGGGAAGCTATCCTTGAGAAACACACAAGATAATGGTAGTTGTGATATAAGCTTGTAATTATCTCAGTCTTGGGTGCAGCTCCGGGACATCTCCAGATTAGAGCTGTTTTGTGGACTCCAAACAGGGGGGGGAGCTATTGTAAGGTGGAAAAAAATTCGTCCAAAGCGATGATGCAAGGAGTATGACATGTCTCAGCAAACTTGAAGCCATCAGCTTTCTGAGTTCTGCTGACGGGCCGCACCTCAGATCTCACGGCTGGTGACATAAGATTAGCAAGTGACTTTCCTACTATTATAATCATTGCTCATCAAAAAGGCCATTGAGATTAGTTCGTCACAAAGTAGATTAGTATGCAGGAGCTCCTTCTATCACTGAAGTTCTTACAGCAGCACCTTACATTGCTCATCAAAGGCTTCACTGGAGCTCAGAACAGAAGCCGTTAAAAGTACCTCCGAGCAAAGTGGAACACTATGCAGGGCCTTTATGATGACGAGGTTATCACACCATAGAGCCATTCATTGTGGAAGCAAAATGCAAATTCAAAGCTTGCCTGATATGAATGTTGATCCCGACCAGAAACTGCAATGGAATTCACAAATGTGGGGGTTGTGAGCGTACCTTAACTATGTGCCGGTCTCCCTGGGACCCTGGACTGGATTGCTCCGAATAACTGCCCTGCTCCATGCTTTACCGCCCCTCCTCTCAAGATTCCTCAACAAACTGGTCAACAAATGCCCTCCAAGTTCGCCACCCACAATGAGCTGCGTGCACGCAATCCCTCTCCACCGCCTCTTCAAGAGACCCGCAGCTCAGCTTGTTGCAAAGACTTATCGGCAGCTGCTCTCAAGCTCTGTGAACGTCTTCCTTTCACCAGGGTGGATGCCGCTCAATTGAAACTGAAAGACGAGCCATGACCTTGAAATCTGAGAAAGCCAGTCGGTTTTCATGCAAGGTATTCACCAGTTCTCTCTGTCTCGAACGTCAGGCGTCGAATGGCTCTGCCAAGTACATCGTGTAACGCTTCCAGGAGTGTATGGGACGTACGGCGTTCCAGTGGCAGTGGCGTTACCAATCAACATGAAAAGCCACTGTCGACGGAACGGGGGATCTCACCAGAACCCTAATTTCTTAGCAGCCTAGCTGGAGCTACATAGCTGCCATTGTTTGCTCCTTTCCAAGATATTCCAGCCGCTTGAGCCCTTGCTGATCGATGCTGAGGCTAGAGCAGAGCCTTTCAATGTGCCTTGAATTCAGCATTCTTGCACCAAGGAGCAGACTTAGGATCAGAAGCAGTAGGGAGTGCACGCAATCCGTCAGTCTAGCTCTTGAGGATTATGTGAGCTACAAGATGCAAGAAAACGACTTGCTGTGTGCTGATGTTGTGTAGATTTAGTGCGGGTTTCCGAGTTCCGGTGGCAAGAGTGGGGTTAGCTGGTCCCTCTCTTCTGAACGAGGCAGACTCCTTGTAGCCCCCTCGCGGAAACTGAAAAGTGCCAGCTGGTTTGAATTACATCTGCTAAATTGACTTGGAAAGTCTGCTTACGCCAGCTGCATAAGATTGACGCAGCTGAATGGTGGAATCTTGGCGGATTTACAAGCTCCTCAGAAACTTTGGTTGAGCATCCCTGCTTATTAAGAAGGTCTGCAAGTGACGTTGACCTGGAGAAGAGGGATTTGGCAACTGAATGAGGTACAAGTGAGAACCCATCTGGTTCCAATGAGGGACCTGCTGCCCCGCTGGAAGGACAGTGGGCCGGATTACAGGAAGGTCCATCCTGCTCCTGACAATGATCTGGAGAGAGGAGACCCAGGCAAGGGGGACTTGGGGCTGCCAAATGGTTTGGGAAAAGGCATTAGCCTTGAGAAGAAGGAGCGGCCTGTCCTTATTACGTGGGGTGTGAGGTAAGTCATCTACCACTAATTGACAGGTGAAGATTAGTGGTGCACAGGTTATTACTGGTAAACAGGATTCAGCTCCAAAGCAAGTTGATGCAGCCAGGACAGCATTGATAGAAAGTTAGCAACTCAGCAGATTGCTTACCATATAGCCTATCACGTCTTGGTATCTTACACGCTGCAGTGACTTTGCTCAGCTGATGGTTGCAGCCAGCGAGGCTTCCTGCTCATGTTTCATTGATGCTTTCATTCACAACCTCTTCGGAGAGTCCTCCTAAAATCAAAGATGAGTTGGTCCAGTACTGTCAATAAAGTTCGTCACAATAGATGACACTAGAACTAGGAGGTTGCTTGCGATAGGCTGTAGAAGATTTGAAGGCTCAGAAGTGGTGGGGCTTGTATTGCAGAGCTGCGGTGATTGTTGCCCTCACAGTCCTCACAAGCTCCCAAGGCATCTTCATCGCGTTCAGCAAAAAGGCAGGGCAGTATGACTACAGCGTCAGCACTGCAAACTTGATGGTGAGCTTTTTCTGCCGTAATTTGAACGAACTATGACCTTCTACTTTGTTTCAGAAGAGCTGGGTGACTTGGCCTTCCTTCAAGGACTATCCCTAGGTCGTTGTACGAACTTTGTGAGACAGGCATGACAGGCCTCAACGTGAGGCCCTACCGAACCTAATCGGCAGATGAGCATACAGTCAAGATGAGATTATACAGGAGCTCCAACGCCTAGGCTCGTTTTATGCCGAATGGCAGGCTTTGACAAACGGAACCGTCTTGCAATGAGCTTTCTTCCAGTGCCATGCTTCCACCGGCATAGAATAAATAGTGAAATGTCCAACCTTTGTTGAAAGGTCTTAGCAACTTAAGGATGATCTTGAGGAAATTCAACTTGATGCGATGTGAACAGCTGACAAGCCTCTCAGCCTGCTCTCAGCCAGATCTCCCAGTGCTAAGAGGAGTACCAGGTCACGAGCCGACCTTTGATGGCTGATACCAACCAGTGACGTTTCTAGCTCAACTTGAAGAAGGCTCCTCTAAGTCCCCATATGCAGACCACCAGGAAAAGAATCAACAACTTCAGCAAAAGGAAGCACCACTGAAGCTTAACATCGAGGTTTGTTTGGGCCAATCAGCGCACATCTCAGCATGATGTCTGATCTGCAGGTTGAGTTGACAAAGTGCGGCATATCAGTTGTGACTCTATCCCGGGTGTGGCAAGTCGAGGGCGTGACAGAGGACAATCGGTTGCTGACGTCATGGGGCGAGCTTTTACTTTACCCGATACCCGCGCTGCTGTACTTGGTCAAAAACATGCTTCAGGTGACGTCTTTTGCACAGTTCCTCAAACAAAGAAAAATCTGAAGTAGGAAGCTTCGACGGCTGGGCTTTTCTTTGTCAAGCTTAGGAGGATTCAATGGGAGACCTTTTCTTATTGATTCAAAGAGCGATCTCCATACTAGTGACCTCGGAAATGCTGCTGTATTGCGCTAGAGGTAACACTATTGCTTACCTCAAGTGGACGATTCCCTATGTTGTCTGAATGGCACATCTGTTGTGACTTAACCAATGTCCTCAGATGTTAGAACGACTGACCGAGACAGATTGCAAAGCGGGCTGAAAGGCAAAAACAAGATGTCCAAACCGACTGGTCCGGTACAATCGTGTGGGCCACAGGAGCCAGACTGAGCTCTCAAGCGAACTCCTTTATCTAGCACATGTGTCGTGTTCGTTTGTCCGATATCATCCATGCTCACTGGCACACGAACAGCCACCCAATGAACAAGGCTAGGCCATTCTCCGTTCCACGCACTGTTCTATGCATATGCAGATCGCGAAAGTGAAGCCGTAGGGGAACAACATGCAGTAGAACAATAACGTCTACCTGACACAGCTACGTTCTGCGTGCAGTACTACATCTTCATCTATGTGGATCCCCCCAGCTACCAGGTTCTGAAGAACCTGAACGTCATTACGACGGGAATCCTCTTCAGTATCTTCCTGCGAAAACGGTGAGCTTTTTTCGATTCGCTTATAAAGCGTGGCAATGTCACCTACCTTCGACGGTCGCAGAAATGATTAAGAAAGTTTGATTCACATACGTCTCGTCCTCGCCGCGCCTGTCTCAAGTAACTTAGCTCCCAAGTCAAAGGAGAAGTACCGGTTTACTTGCAGGTTGTTTAGCGTGCGATAGTCCGCGCTGCTGCTGATGTCGTCAATCAAAATTGTTGAACTGGAAAGCTCCCGATCCAGACCCGGAAATGCTTCTCTTAACCGCAGGTTATCTAGCGTTCAATGGTCCGCGCTTCTGCTGCTCGCGCTGGGCTGCACGACGGCACAGCTGACCAGCGGCGCAGAAAGCGTCTTCGAAACATCGTTGCCGGGTGAGCTTGGTGAAAGCACGCCTTTGTCATACTTCCTACATTTCAACTGGATGGTCCCTTTCGCATGTAGTCCTCGTCAGAAAGGCAGCGGGTTCAGCCACCTTTCGTGACTGTGGGACTTTCTGCAGTAAGCAAAGCCCTTCAGAAACAATCCAGTCAACGTGGTAGTACTCGTGGAACGTACCGGCTTCCGAAGCTAGTGCTTCCAAGACTTTTTCGGTGCCGGTTCAATCAAAATACTGAGAAGAGCATACATTCCGGTTGACGCAGACCGGAAAGCACGTGTGTTCGTTCCAGACCTGCTGGTGGCCATAGTTAAGCACCGCGTGCGAATGTTTCCTCTGCGCCGTCAGTGCGTCCCCAAGTGGAAAGAAGTCCATGCTGAGGAGATCACAAGCTCCGCAGAGATTCGTTTCCCACCGGAAAGCGGGCGGCCAAACTGCTACAACTGGTGAAGCCTGTTGCAGCTCCCCGTCACAATCCGTTACGAGGAAAGTGATTTCGATTCTCTTACGAAATTTGCCTCACCTCAAAGCCCGCATCGGGAGAATCACGAATCGGAAAGGCCAAGTTGAGCAACAGAGACGACGAAGAAAAAGCAGAAACATACTGGGAATAAAGGGGAAAACAAACGCAATGTCCAGAAAAGGGAAGTTTTCCGTCTGCCACATGGCCTGCTCAGAAAGCCGGGCTGCCGGTGGAGATTGGGTACCTGCCACATGTCAGGGTGACGTCAGCAAGAAATTGGAGTCTGACATACGCGTCTCGTTTCCAGGCCTGCTTATGGCGGTTCTGATGGCCATCCTGAGCGGCGCCGCGGGGGTCTACACCGAACTGATCATCAAGCGGCGGATACAGCGGAGCATCCACGTGCAAAACTTTTACCTGTACGCGTTTGGGATCCTGTTCAACGGGATCCTAGTGGCTGCGTACGACGCGGAGAACGTCCGGAAGAAGGGCTTCTTCCACGGGTACACGGGGTTCACGGTCGTTATGATTGTGAACCATGCACTGAGGTGAGTTGGTTCTTTCAGACTCCAACGTTATGTTTCAGCTGTACGCATTCGGCATCTTGTTAGAAGGGATCCTATGGCTACCTGATGCGGAAAACTTCCGGAAGAAGGTCTTCCTCCACGTTTACACGGGATTCACGGTCGTCATGATCGTACATATATATATGATGCATCACGCGCTGAGGTGAGTCACTTTCCTTTCATGTTTGGATTGACCATAATGAGTGTTTCCTCAAAATGCTTGTCCCCTCGCTTTCGCCTGAAGGAGTTTGGATGAGCACAGTGCGAAGCAGGACGCAGGGCAAACTTCAGTGTGTTGCCTTTGACTGGCGAAGCTACTTTTTTGGGGATGAAGAGAAACAATGTTTTAAATGGAGAGTGTTTCAGCTTCATAGTCCCGGTAAGGAAGGAGCCAGGAGCCAGCTTTCCGTCCGACACATCGAAACAGGCGCATATTGACCAAGGGTTGGACGGTGCTGGACGTTTCCATGTTGAAGATTCGCTGCGTTTCAAGCATACCACCCTATAATCCACGACGTCACGGTTTGCTCGGTTTGCTCCTTGATAAGAAGGACGTTCCATGGTTAGCATTCAATTCAGTTGGACGCACGTCTCTCGACAATCTTAAAACTTGCCCTTGACTCTACCGAGGCCTTAGCAGGCCGATCGCAGAACTTCGCGACGTTGAAACCGCGGCGCTAGCCTCCATTCTTCTCATAAGACTCGAGTCTGCAAGGCTCAACCTGGGGTCGAAAACCATCGACATTGTAGAGTCAGTTGTTTTGGTAAACTGCAAGGCACCCAGCACAAACGGAGCATCTGGGGCGCCGATGTTTTGAGCACAAAAGGAGCATCTGGAGCGCTGATCTTTCGACGTCGACTCCGGAGCGGAACTCTGCAACTCCTGATCCCCTCAATTTTATCCGCTGTTTCCGCGGTCCGTCTGCTAGCTGATTCATCTCCTTGCCTGCGCAGCGGAAATCCCCCTTTCTCTTGTCACGAAAGATTACTTTGCCAAGATGTTTTCGACGTTCTTGGCCATTCCGTGTTTGAGCTGTCCGCTCACTAGCTGGCGCTTGTTGCTTCCATGTGTCAGCGGAGCCGTGCCTTTTGTCATGAGGTCTGCGAACAACATCGTCAGGGAGTACTCAACCTCTGTTATCATCCCGTTTTTGCGCTATCCGCTTGCTAACCGACGCCTATTTTTCCATGTCGGGCGGCCAGCCGTCTCTTTTGTCATGAAGTTGCGGACAACATCGTCAAACTGTTTACGACGTCTGTGACCATTCCGTTATTCCGCGGTCCGCGTGCTCATCGACGCTTGATTTTCTCTCGTGCAGCGGAATTGCCGTGTCTTTGGTCATGAAATTTGCGGACAACATCGTCAAGGTCTACTCGACGTCCGTGGCAATGCTTCTGACAACTCTTCTGTCGATTCCCCTCTTCGGGTTCAAGCTGACGGTGCCGTTTGTCTTGGGGTCAGCGTGAGTGTCTATCCATAGCTCTCATTTGTTGGGAGATATGTTGCTGGTCTAATGCTGACAAGACTTTGTCACTTGAAACGTTGCTTGTTTTGCTGTATCGTTCTCTTGTAGCTCCGAGATGACTGGAATCTTGCAAATGATCGCGAAGTATGCGAAACTGCTCTTGTGATTCAAGATGTTGCACTCTTACCGCATTCTGGGGTCTATTATAATCCCCCTTTTGAGTGATTTGACAAGAAGCTTTTGATGTCTGGGGTGGACGGCAAACATGCATCATAGATTGTACAGGAGGGTTACACCAATTGAAGTTGCGGTCGTCGTCTTACGGTTCAAAGAGTCCAAATGCCCAACAATAAGACGATATATGTATATTGCACCGGAATAGAAAGATGAAATCTTCCTCAGCATTCGGAGTTCCTTAAAAAAGCCTGGTTAGAGCCTGAAACTAACGGGCACTTAGGGCCTGATTACGCTGCGATCGCCTTGGGTCTTTCGGTGCGATGTGCAGCAAGGCATTTTCGAGATCCTACTCACGAAGCGAGGGCTGCAGAGTTTGAAGGCGTTCTTCCTAAGCAGTGCCACGATAATTGGACTTTCAAAACCGTGTAGGTGGCGCTTACTTCTTGGTATCGATTAGTCAGCCAAGAACTGTGTAACTACTCGTCTGATGGCCCTTTCTATCGCCCCGTCTCTAGTTGTAGAGAGAAGGGTTTCACGATTAAACCAGAAGCGCAGACTGATGCTAATCTTCGAACCTGTGCAGGGTTGTTGGCATTGCCACGTTCTTGCACTCGCAGAACCCTTACCGCGGCGAGCTCGCCCGCGTTCTCAGCCCCATGAGTCCCCCAAAGCTTGCAAAGCAGTTAAAGTCGTAACCCGAAGCAGCACCTTCGATACTGCAAGTCGGCGCTTGAAACGAGCAGATGCGACGTTCCTAAAGGGTAGGATTGCCGTCGATCTTGGGGCCACCGGCTGAGACCTCTCCTCTGTCGACCAAATCAAGAAGGGCATGATGAGCTCGACGTTTGAAGATCAAGAGGATTTTCGGAGCAAGAACACATCTACTCTAGCTCTCGAGAAAGCTAAGTTCCCTCCATCTATATCTAGTCCGTGGAAGACGTCTTTTCCAATCGACGGGCTTTAAGTAGTCATGAGTCCGAGTCTTGGTCGGACCTGGGCCCGAGCGGGTGCCGCTAGCTGCGCAGGTCAAAAAGTCATCAAATTGCAACCTGGAATGTTTAATTCCGCGTCATATACTAGATGATACTAATCAACTGTCCCGAGCCACTGAGATCGAACAATTGCGACGAGTGCATGAGCATCAGTGCGCTCGCAGGATACCGGCGTACAATCGAGGCGGCGGCGGGCCTTTGATCAATTCATGCACTAAGCTAGCCTTGGTACACGTATGTTCATGCAATGGATCCAAGCCGCCGCTATATGATTTAACCGTCATGCATGGACGGTAAGCTGTATATATGTGGCACGATAATCATTGTCGGCATGCACATCATATGGCCAGATCGATGACGGTCGCCGGTTATATGCAGGCTAATTCAGTTCGAGTCCCGACGACATGACAGCCGTCGCCGGGCCGTCTATATATTGAATCTTGAAAATTGATGGTTGCCAAGCTCCGACATCGTTATCAAAGCAATCATGGATCATCTATGCAGCACGCGGATCATGCATGGCTGATGAAAGGCAATTAGGTAATCAACGCGTGCTTCAAGAAGAAGGCCGGGGCAGGCCGCTCAAGCCAGCTAACTTATTCATTATAATTTCCTGGGCCTGAGTTGATTAGTTGCACGTGCCAGTGAGTTAGCCCCCTCAGGGTTGGTCCGGGACAAACTTGAAAGTCTCTAGCACTGTTTAAACAGGTTTGGCTCGGCCAGCTTTACATGTCAACGCCAAAAGCCGGACTACATCAATGTTCGCATTTTGGCTCCGTTGGCTACCCTTTGGAGCAGTCGTATCATGTGTTCCCTGATTTGACCGAGTACACAAAATCCACTCTAAAAGCAATTGGAGCCTAGGAGGGTTTTCAGCTGACCGCATACGTGCAAGTATGACCTTCAGGCCGCCAAATCCTTCTTCAAACGCACGTTTGGCCCAATGTCATTGACTTTTTTGCGTGCTAATGTATAGAACTGCAGCCAAAAGAGAAGTACGTCAGAGTCGAGTCCTGGATGTGTTTCATCTATAGCAGAAATGAAGCGTGCACACTTCAAATGCAGAATGTGAGCGGTCTGCGAATATGGCCGTTGTCAAATGAGTTGTGAGGCAGCCTCCTCTTCCGCAGAGCTTTGAACAGGGCTTTCTGGCTGAGCTTAGCCATCGAGTTTCGACCTTGTCACGACCTGTTCAGGGAGCCAACTTGACAAGTGTTCGAAAATGAAACTACGGAGCATAAAAGTTGGTAAAAGAAGTCTTTCTTTTTAACACAAAATTAGGCAGAATACTGACATGATTCTTAGCACAGCTCCACTCAGCATTCAAAGGGTCGGTAATTGCATCAAAAAACCGTGACTGGTCACCACAAGGATGTGGTGGCCATCCGCAATCACGCCAAGGGCTACAAGCTCTCCAGAATTCTCCAGAATCACATATGTCTCCGACATCCAGCGGCCTCTGCTCAACCACCTATAATGTTGGGATCGTTAGATAGGCTCACCATTGTTCCCTCGGATGAAACAGTCCCCGTACTTGTTTTTCAACTGGCCGTTCACATACTCTTCCGTTTGCTCCATTGCGATGTTCATGTACCCGTCAAGGCACGCCAGAACCCCTGCGAATGCAAACATGAAAATGCTTGCATGTGCCCCCTAGGAAGGCCACTGGCTGAAAGAAGACGACTGCGGGAGCAGGGCCATTTAGAATCGCCTCAGAACGCATATGCGTGGAAAAGATGCATGTCCACAGAGGGAACCAAAAGAAGACTCTCCTTCTTGACCACTGTTGCCGCAGCTCTGGCAGAGCCCCTGCGGCCATGGAAAACGAGTGCATGGCGCTGTATAGTTTGCAGCGTTACTCCCCTTTGCAGCAAACGCTTCTTTAGTATGGGGGGAGTCTGGGGAAAACCCGGTTGGCACTCGGGCCTTCCACAGACTTCCGGCTTTCGAGTTCTAATTTGATGAAGCCAGACAGGGAGCTGAACACTGACTAAACGTGTTTCATTCTGCCAGGCAATTGATGGTCAACTAGTCAGAACGTCAACCACCTCCACTCCTGAAGGGAAGACTATTGACCCCTTTTCAACTTTTCAACTGAACAAAATATCCTGTTCAGCACGTTCAAAGGGGAATCCTGACGTGTTTCAATCTCGGTGGTGGTATGTCAATCCGGGGCTTTCATCTCCTTCCAGAAATGAATGATTCTGTAAAGCTTGATACGTTTCTTCACAAGCTCTCTAACAGTAGGCACTTTTGCAGGACCTTGATGCAAATCATGGGCTTTTAGCAGCCGCATTCTTTCAGTCTGCAAGAAGCCAGTCAAACCGACGCGAACTGCTGTGCACCAGAAACATCTCCTTGTCAAGCCAGCGCAGCTCAAAATGCAAGATCTTCGGAAAAATGCAGGGCGTACCTCGGTAATCGACGCCAGAGTTGAGCTTCACCACCACCGGCCGTCCCCTGATGGCCTTCAGAAAGTCCGCAGGCGTCTTTGCTGTGCCGCTCATGGTCTCACCCCTCTGAAAAAGAACACTGTAAGGTACTTTTCTATATGCGATTTACTATGTGGTCTCTGTAATTCGCAGGTGTGACTTAAGACGATTGAAGGCGTTGTTGGCTTTTGCTTTCGACTTTCTCACGATTGGTTATTCTTGGACTTGTTGAGTCCAAGACTCAAGTTATCTTCTTTCCTGTGTTGCTGAATTATCCTTTCTGCTGCTGACTTTTTAGCTGTCTTCTGTTTGCAGCACAGGGCTCCGACTGAGTATTCTGCCCGGTTGTTCTTAATTTCCAGCACTGATGCTCAATGACTGCCGTCTAGGAAACATGTGGCTTGCTCAACTGTGGAGCTGTCTCAAAAGGCCTGCAATACATTCACAGCTTGATGGGGACGCTCTGAATTCTTTGAGAATGCAAGAACTTAGGAGCAAAATCCTCTTCTCTGGTCAGCAATGACTACCTCACACTTCCTGGTCCACTATTCTCAGCTTCTCATGCTAACGCCAATGGCAATGGAGCGCCTTCTCCTCACCATCAAGACACTAGCAAAACAAGCAGACAGTGCATGAAACAGGATGAGGAAGTGCAGCTTGCATCAGAAGTCCATCAGAAGTCCATAAATGCAGGTTTCTCTAAGTCGTATACGTGCCCTAACAAGGCCGATACGACACAGCGCATTGTGCAATTCCAAAAATATGATCGAGCCTACGAGAGCCTGGACGGGCCGAGAGGGCAGTCAAGCAGGCTCGTAAGTTTCAACAAATCTGGTCAGGTTAAGCGATATAGGCCGTCTGGGTAGCGCTGGATCTGAAATCTGCAGCGCTGGGAGCAGCTGGCGTTCTGAGGAGCAAGACCCAATCTGGACAACACTGTTGACATTGGCGCCATTGGCATTTGTTTGAGAAGCTTTCTTTGCAACATCAGGTGGCGCATCTTTGTTCCAGGGAGCAAGGCCAATGGCGCAGGACGAGAGGAGGGGCAGTGACTCGAGGGTTTCTGAAAGTGAGAGGCGGAGAGAGAGGAAGAGGAAAAGTGGCTGGGACGATCCAGCCCCTCAAGGTGATTCCCTTTCCTGCTGATTATTGAGTACAGAAATGGATATTGCGCAATGTTGCTTGGTGTTGGTTGTTACAGCCAGGATAGCATTCAGTAATGCTCGAGCGAGGTGTTTATCTTAGAAGATCCAGCATCCAGACTCGTTGTGGAGGTGCAGCTCAGAATTGGTGAAGTTCAATGAGCAGGCGTCTTACTTTGAGCTTCTCATTCTTTTGTCATTTTCACCTTTTGCATTTTATCTCGTGAGAATGCCTGGAAACATTGATTGCTTTGTCAACAACTCTGAGAGACTGCATTGAGGACTCGATACATTTTTCGGATCAAAAACGATAGATTTGCTTCATGAACAGATACAAGAAGTCCATCCGAAGAACTTGAGCTGCGTGAGTGGACAGCAAGATTCCAGTAACAGGAAAAGTCTGTAACAACCTCGACTGCAATTGTAAGGCTGCTCAGGAGGGGACCGCCAACATTTGTCAGGGGCAAATTCGTGTGAATGAGGTCGTGCTCAGTGGATTCTATCTTATATACTTCACAATGAATGTATTTTTTGAGTGCACGAGCTTACTTGTTGGGGAAGCCGACCGATCGAGAAGGGCTTTCGGCGAATAGAATCTGATCGCAGGCAGTTCTTGATTGCTCCTCACCATTCAACAACTGTAACAGTCTAAGTTTGAAAACTTTTCTCGGATTGCGCAGACCCTCCCAAAGATGCGAGGACCTCTCAGCGTCCAAAAACGGTGGACGACGAGCTCGAGGAAGGCGTCCGCCAGGTCCAGAATCCTGCCTTTTCCTTGCTTTGCGTAGCCTCAGTCCTCTTCCAAGTGCGATCAGAGTCTGTGAATCTGCATCAGGTGTGCGACTGCTTAAACTTCCCTCATGTGGATCAAGCTTTGGTACCACTCTATTGGTGTACAGTGCTCTTGTCGTGTCTTTGTCAGCTCTTTGTGGAGCCTTTTCGCACCCCTTCTCTTCACAGATCTGATCCTCTTTCTTCATTGCTAGAAGAGGACACTATTCAATAAAGGCAGATGTCAAGCCCTTTTTTGAGGCATGTATGGCCTCTACCTCATAAGGTCGTACCCATGCCATTGGCCAGCTTAACACTCTATTTACAACTACCTCAATCAGGATGATTCTCAAGAAATTACTTTGTGCGGAAATTCATGCGAAGGGCATCATAGGCTGCCGACATCATTGTAGTCGCAAGCAGTTAAGAGTACCTCTGGATACATCGTGCTACGGTATGCAAATCAGTAGTATCATATTCCATACTTGCTTCCCCTATCGTGTACCAGGTTTTAGCTAGGAAGCTGAAGAATCAGGTCGATGATTCCTTGATGAATGTTGATTGATTGCCTTGTGCTTTGATCCATCGTGCAGGCTCAGCTTATCGCGAAGCAGAGAGCGGCCCAAGCGACCGCTGCAGCCAAAGCAACGGCGGCCCAGGCACCCCCGAAAGATGGTCAGCCCTCAGCCTTGCGCTTCATTAGATCAGTTCACATGTGGTCAGGACAGCCGGGCACGAAACATGGGAAACCAGGAGATTGGGTCAAAGCTGTTTCAAGCAAGCGAGCAGCAGATGTTGTTGTCAGCAGAGATATCGTTGGCGTCTAGTTACACTTCTGAGGCTGTGGTCAAGCTGTCACTCTGGCAATCTTTCTCCTATGCAAGCCTGCACTCACAATTCATGTGACTTACACAGTCTCCTTTCTGGTGCAGCATGCCGCATCTATGTTGGAAGCATCTACTACGAGCTCAATGAGTCTGACATCATTCTCGCTTTCTCTGCCTTTGGTAAGTTAGTGTTGATCCTGAGCTTCGCTCAAATTTGGGAATAGTCAAACTACATTCTGCACATCGCAAGGTAGCGACGTTTATATCGCTAAAGTTGAATACCTTCTGTTCAGTCTGTTCAATCAAATCTGGTTCTGCAATACACGACTTCATCTGGTTTTACCTGAGCTTCTCCGGAATGGAGGAGCAGCATACCAATGGCGTAGGACGAAAGCTCTGGCTAGGTTGGCGAGCGCGTGCTATGCTGAAGGCATCGTATGGCTTACTTGTTGCATGTTAGGTCCTTACGGGTCTCAGCAAAACTATGCCTTGTCAACTCAAAAAGATCGATGGCGCTTCACCATTGGTGCTCCTCTAACCATCGACCAGAGAGCTCCGAGTGATCTAGGTCAATGCGAAGTCAAGCGAAGTCAAGTCGTAGTCTTGTGTGACCAGTACACATTTGTTGTCAACGGTGTTGAGAGAAAAGGTTGGACTGATCAAGGGAGATGACATGAGAATGTGATCCATCTCGGAGCTTGACACTGGAAGACACCAATCTTGCTTCGTTCATACTTGTTAACAATCGCAAGGATTCAGATAGCGGGACCCTTTGACAGGGCTGAGCCGTTGGTTCCAAGGGCATTGGTTTGGTTCGTAGTCCTATCACCCATTCCTGGTTGCTGGTCGCTCAAATCCCTCTGTGTCTCCCTGCAGGGTCGATAGCCAAGATAGAGATGCCAAAAGTGAGTCCAATGGATTCCAAACTGTTATTTTCTTTGGCTTTCTGACAGCCCGTGGTCTAATGCGAGCAAGTTTCTGCTCATGCAGGTTCGATTCACAAGATTGATATGCCAAGAGTAAGTTTCGATTTTGACAGTCTTAAAATCTCCTGGGGATATGAATCGCTTGAGGCTAACTTGGAGGCCTGCCTGTGACGCTATTGTGCAAGGCAGGTCGTCGAGCTCAAGACCAGTCGCCCAGAGCGCATACTTTGAGTGTTGAGGTTTTTAGTGGGGCTTCATTCGTTTGAAAGAATGCAGCGCCTCACTTGATTTCAACGTTCTGAAATCTTCCAACTGGACATCGATCCTTCAGAGCTGTTTTAGCAAACGGTATGAAGCAATCTATTGACGTACTGGGCCCTCTGAAAACGTCTTCTACTGGGAGGGCTTGCTTGATATGAACTTAGGATCGGAGGCATATATTTTTCCCCTGAACGTCAAAGTTGGTGGACGAAGGATCACGTTTTATGAACCGAAAGTGGTAGCTAGTCGAGGTCCAGACGTTGAAGGACACTACAAAAGTGCGTGACCTTCTGTTCGCAGATCGCAGTTTGGTGAGACAAAGCGCGAATCAATTATGCAGTGGCTCTTGTGTGTAGGACGCTGCTACTGCCAAGCACAAGGGTTTCTGCTTCATCGAGTTCCACAGCTCCGAGGCGGCAGAAAACGCGCTCAACACCATGAACGAGTTCGTGCTGGCGGGCAGGTGGGTTCCCGACTCTAGTTGCTGCTGGGGCTTTGTGTAAATCCTTCTTTCGAAGTACACTCGGTAAACACGTCAGAGCTTACACGTCGATTCTAAGCTACTCCAGGACCAGACCCTCAAGACCAGACCGATGCAGGAGATTTCAAAACGAAGTTCGAAAGGAGCCTCAAGGTTGGATGGCTGTCTGCTTGCAAAAGGCAGAGACAATGAGTGCTGTAAGGAGGCTCTACCAGTATGAAGCAACCTAGAGAACTGTGTGACCAATTGAAGACAGGACCGGGAACTCAAAGCCGTCCTCGGAATCCACTTGGAACATGAAGTCAGGCGAGGAAGCTAGCTGCAAATGCCATAAGTTAGTCACGTCTGGGTCAAGGTCATGCAGCGGCTGTTCCTTTGATCTTGTGACTTGACAAGATAAGCACGTCTCTGCTTGGTAGGCTTCTACAGCTCTCCAGGACCTATGTATATCTCTGCTTTATGCCACCCACGATTGACCCTCTCTCTTTCTCCTTTTCTCCCTCTCTTCTCCTTCTTCTCTCTCTTTCTCTTTTCTGTTCCGTTTAGACACACTGCAAGAGATTACGGGCAAAGCCAGCGCCACAGAAAAGCTCAAGCCCAGAGTAAGGGGCAGCTTGTCCGTCCAGAACGATCTCTATGTGTGCTGCATATTTGCGGTAACTCATGGCTTGCATAACTTCAGTGACATGCGGTTTCTTTCGAATCTGCTTTGGCTTGTACACATGACGCTCACATGGGATGTTGTGTTAGATGCAGCAAGGTTTTGAAGAGACCGATCGTGTTTTGTTGTCCCGACTGCAGGAAGTTGAAGGTCGGACGTCCGCACAACATTGCTGGCATGCCAGGGGGCATCGTTGTTTCGAGTGAGCACTGAACTCTCACTTTGTCCTTTGTGCATCCCACTTACTGCAAACAGTTCCCAACGTTCGACGTGTTGTTCTCACTGCTGCATCGGCCTTTTTAATATTCTCTCTGCGCATTCATCTGGTATCAAAGTCAATGACGGTGATTAACCACCCCTCGTCCATGAGCAGTAAATCGAAATGGGTTAACCTTTTCTTCACTAACCTCATTTCTTCACCCCGTGCAGCCACCCCTCCCACGCCCCAAGCACAAGCCGCATTCAAGCAGGCGCAGCAGCAGGCCCAAGTAAGACCTTTTCTCAGTCGACATGCAATCAGGGTCTCGGTTGCCTTGAGTCTCTTGGAGTGGCCTCTGAAGCAACGGAGAGTTAACTGACTGTCAGACCAATTCGGCCCGACTGGCGCTGTGTCAGCAATGTTAAGCTGATTTCTTTGAGCACGTCTTGGGCGCTAAGTGCCTGACGTCGACACCGCCCCTTTTTTTGACTCCACTTTCCGCTTAGTGACCTGGCGCCCGAATCGCAGGCACAGCCGCTGCCCTTGATCGTGCAGCGCAAGTGCTTTCAAGAAACTTGTAAGGACACATATGAATGTTGCCCAATAATGGTACCGACTAATATTGCACACGCCATCCCTTCTATCTAGGCCATACCCGCCCAACTGCCACTGTATCAGCAGGCGCAGATCTTGATCACTCAACGCAGTCGCTTTTGAGAAAGTCGTCTGAGTAACCATGCGCGTAGAACCATGCCGCAAATATTGACATTGCTATCCGGTCCTGCAGGCCATATCCGCCCAGCTGTCGTTGCGTCAGCAGCAGCAGGCGCAGCTTCTGATCGCGCAGCAGCAGCAAGCGCTTGAAAACCCGCACCTGGTTGCCCAGGGTCTCCTTCCGCCGCCGAATCCGGCGGCGATCCAGGCGCTGCTGAATCCGAGTCGGCCTGACGCTAGGTAACGTATCCTACTTTGCCACTCTTTTGTCACTCTTTTCTGCTTTCCACCCCACCTAAGTTGCCAAATCGACACGCTTTTCCGACTTGATGTGTCCTTCTTGAGTTCATACGTCCTCCAGAATCCGTTTGTTGACCTTCGATGATGGTGGCAAAGGAATTGGAACGGTGGAATTTGGGGAAACAGATAGCTGTCACTAGTTATCACGACGTGAGCCGTTGTTGAGATACCTCCAGCGTAGTGCTGGCAGTTGAAAGAGGGCCAAAGCTATTTCAGCCTGGGAGCTTCGGCCGCCCGTCGTAAGAAGCGGCCTGCTGTGACCGCACCAAACGGGCTTGATTGTCTTAGCTCTCAATCGAAGCAGTCGAGGGTCTGAGTCGACGGTAGGATTTGGAGCTGGCTCAAAGACGAGATGCTGCGAGTTATCAACACTTTCACAAGTTGCCACCACCTTTGTTTTGCTTCACCGTCTCCCTTTGGCTGCAGAATATACGTGGGCTCGATCTACTACGAGATCAGCGAGGAAGACATCAAGGCAGTCTTCCAAGCATTTGGGCAAGTCAAGGTAGGCTTTCCCCGCCGTTTGGAACTTCCCCTCATGCTTTGAAAAAGTCCTCCAGAAGGCAGGGAGGTGGCAGATTGTCTGCGACACCCTTGATACGCATCCCACGGACAGAACGGTACTTACTGCCAGCTAAGAAAAATCTGATCAGAAGAACGATCAGTTTCCTTAGACAATTTGTCGAGGTCATCGTTTCTATCTTCGTGCTCCTTCTTATGAGCTGCGTAGTGTCGTCGATTTGCCAATTACGGCTCTTCTCAAAGCTGACCGCTTGGTAAGATAATTGAAAATAACCGAATTAGGGCAGAACCTTCCCCTTGAGCATATACACAGGTTGACTTCATACAGCGATGAATCACCAGATTGTGTAGGATAGGCATATGAGCAGGACGCGCTTGACCAAGAAGTGGAGCAACTCGCCCCACAATAACCCCCTCTGAACAGTTTAAATTCATTTTGGAAGAGTCCCGTAACGAGTGTCTCCTTGCTGTGCAGTCTTGCAATCTTATCCCAAACCCTGAGACGGGCAAACACAAGGGCTACGGCTTCATTGAGTGAGTCGTTGATACGATTCATCCCATTCTTGCTGCTTTTTCTTTGCAACTCTTATCTGCGATTGCTGCATGCTATGGTCAGCAGCGTGTCTCACTTGCCATGTGTTAAAAGTCTGATTGGCGGTTGATGCATCCGCATTAAGGGGATCTGCGAGCCCCGGGTTGCTTCAAGCGACTGAGAAAGACGCACTTTCAACACACTAACAACCGCTTGGTGCTATCGAGCAGAGATCTCAGGGCACGTGTACGGTTTCAAGAGTCGCAGAAAGCAACCACTGCCTCTATAGTGATATCACGTGCTCTCCCTCGTGCAGATTCGAACAGCCGGAAGCAGCGAAGGCGGCCATCGATAGTATGAACGGCTTCGATTTGGGTGGCCGACAACTAAAGGTGCGCTTTTACAAACTTCTTTCCGCGTCAGTCGGTTCTGTGCCAAATACGGAAGAAGGTTCTCGAACGCAGATTGACGACCATTGCGCGCTTGCGACAGCGCTTGTCTTCAAGTGGAAGAACGTCCCTTAAGGTTTACAACCACACTGGCTTTTATCATGGCGCTTTTATCATCTGTTCAATCCTTGAGAATTCTGAAGAATGATGTCGCAAGACCGTGCTCCTCTCCTCTTCATCTTTCTTCCTTGCTCCACTGGATGACCATCTCATAACCCAAGGTTATTCAAGAGTCTTTGCAAGGCTCATCCAAAAGCGCCCTGTTCCAATGCCCAGACCTGGGGGCGACAAATCAACCTTCTTCTGGGCCACGTTTCACACAAGCTGCCGTTGTTATCTATGAAGCCCTGACCCGTTCTGCTCATCGCTGTCTTCAGCGTTCCCTAGTCCAAGGACTCCGGCAAGTTTCTGGTTTCGACTCCTACCATCTTTACACATAACCACGTCAGATCTTTTATCACGCGTTTTGCCACGTGTCAACAGGTGGGCTGGGCTGCGGCCAACGCCGGTCTTCCGACGCCGCCCCCGTTGCCGAATCCCAACCTTCCCAACATGCCGTTTGGGATGCCGCCCATGCCCGCGGTGCTACCCCCGGTTACCTTTTCTCCTAACGTAAGGGCCTAGAACCTCTCGCTGTTTCCGTAGACAAGGTGTTGTAGGACCGATCCTACTGGGCGACCGATTAGCCAAGGCCCCGCTTTGGCGGTCGCTACGAACCTGCAGTCAAGTGCTTTTCGAGCGACCGCCAGAAGGGGGCCTCGGCTGATTGGTCCCTTAGTAGGGCCGGTCCTACAACGTCCGGGTTAGTATTGTGAGCGCATCTTCCCCACTCATAAGCTGCTTGCTCCTTTCGCGCTTTTCCTTTGCGTTTGTGAGATGTCCAGCCACCTCGTATGGAGGTAAAGCGCTAGTGTCAATGCCCATTCGAGGGAGGTATTTGACGCGCTTTTGATGTTGACAACGATCGTCATTGTTAGTCGAGTTGGAAGCTCGGCATGTGTTTTACATTCTTCAGCCGCGAAGTTTTCTGCTTTTGTCATGTGATGTTTAGCTGTCGGAAAAGTTCCAAGTGGCGAAGGTCATAGTGATTGCGACTGCACAATGGATGTTGATTTCTCGATTCCTGTTGTCCCTATTTCAGACGGCCGCGGCGAGGTCTTTTAGGGCCACGACTGTTATTCAAAACACAGTCGACATCCCGACCTCCGTCCAGTCGCTTGAGCTCGGCTTGAATGGGCATGGGATCTTGTGAGAGTCGAGAACGAGTTAAGCAGACACTCTTTTTGACATCCCCCCCTTGTCTCCCCAGCCATTCCAGCCCCCGTTCCAGCCCACCCTTGCGCCGCCCCCCATGCCCATCGCTCCGCCAGTGGTCCCGGGTCTCAAACCCACCCGATGCGTGCTTCTGAAAAACATGGTGGGCCCGGAAGAAGTGGACGCAGACCTTGAGGGCGAGGTGAGGCTTTCACAATACGTGCTCTAAGGGCTTTACGGTCTGTGGTCCTAGAAAAAGTTAGATAGCTTAGGGTTCTAGATTTTTGGGCAATCTCCGCTGCGTGACGTTGAAAAAATTGGTCGGCCCGGAAGAGGTGGATACAGACCTAGAGGGCGAGGAGTGGCCATTCGGAAGTTGAGTCTGAAAATCTTAGGGTTAAAGAAATGTAGAGTCACGGGGGTTTGAGAGATATGCTTAAAAGCTGAGAAACATGGTTCGTAACGAGGAGGTGCACACATACCCGGAGAGCGGAGGTGAAGGTCCTTAGAGACTTTGGTTCATCTGAAAGTTTGCGGGGGTTTTTGAGGAGTTTTGAGGAAAATTGTTGCATTCAGGTGGGAACTAGACGTACTTGATTCATACTGGACAGAATATGGTCGGCCCAAGCATGTGAACTCGGAATGAAGGGCGAGGCGAGGTCCGAAAAACGTTGACCTGCTCACATTGTTTCTTTTGCCGCTTTGTCATCGTTCCAGTCCCAAACACGTACTGAAAACGTCCGGACCGAGTATCTAAGTCATCATTTTTAATGTTGGAAGAGCTTGCGGCAATACCTGTGAGAAGTGCCTCCATAACAGGATAGTAAATGGCGCCACCTGAAACCGGAGAGGACTCCTGCCCAATAGCTCAGTTGGCAGGTACTCGCGGCTTCGATTCAGGGGTGAAGTCGATTCTGCTTTCCATTGTGGTTTCCCGGCTTCCCTTCTTGTAGCGGGGATCTTCTCTTGCACGAAGAAGGCTTGCAGCCGTCTAAGTGAAGTTTAGCTTCTTGTGAGATTGTTCTCGGGGCGCAATTCTCGTATTCTCTCTGCCAATTATTTTAAGTAGGCGGTAACTCGGTGCTTCAGCCATCTTCCGTTCTTGATTCACGCTGCCGGCTCGTTAGGGGTAATGACCTGGCGGCGCGGCGTGATTGGCGTCATCATAGAACTTCTTTGTCGTTGGCGCTTTCTCGACTCTGACCCTGCCAAACAAGTCGACCTTTCCCCGTTATTCCAGGTGACGGAAGAATGCAGTAAGCATGGTGAAGTGGAGCGAGTGGTTATCTACCAAGAGCAGGCTTCTGCCCGAAAAGACGACATACAGGTCAAGATATTTGTGCTATTCCGAACGGTCTCGGAGGCCCAGAGGGCACACCGGTCACTTGACAAGCGGTGGTTCGGGGGCCGGCAGATCGAGGCCAATTTTTACGACGAGGCACGATTCAAGCGGCAGGATCTATCGGGATGATGGAGGAGGCTAGTTGAAAGGTATTGATTGGACAGTGACAGAGACGGTTACTTCATAATTCTGGCCAAAGCTAGTCGTGCTCGTCCGTCGGGTGTACGTCGAGTTAACAAGGTTCAAGGACATCTTGCGCGCGTGCGCCGGGCCGCGGCCTGGTTTTGAGGCGGCGAATGTCTTTAAATGCCACTGGACACACACACATACATGTTTACCAATGTCGTCAAGGAACCTTCGGTCGGAACCAAATCAAACTCCGATCGTTCTGCGCAAAGTTTAGATGACTCTTGCTTGATTATGTCCCCCACTTGGACGGGATCGAAGCGCGACTTAGTATAAATGCAGCTGCCTCTGTCCTCAATCAATCTGTTCAAAGGAGACCATGCATGGCATCTCGAGCTTCCCAATTGATGAAGTGACTCCGACAGTGGAGTTTGTTGGTCGCATGCAATAACGGTATCCGGGGCACTCAGTGAGTGATCCTGGCTGACTCAGCGCGCGGCCCACATTTACTATACCATGTGCCCACAATATGCCAAATAGATCCTGAGCCGGCCTTGAAACAAGCCTCGAAGCAGATCGACGGTTGTAAAGTTCACACTTCCAGGGCATGCAGTCGAATATATATCAGGTTAGTACACAGCCGGCCTGCATTGTCACTATACAAACGTACGTATGTATCGGATATCCGCGGCGGCAGATTCGCCTTTATTACATCGGTATAAGCAGCTAGCCGCCTGGCCTCCGCAATGAACATCGTCGGCCGGCGTTGGTCATCTATAACAGATCGAGGCGGCTCAATCTCTGATTGGTCGAATGGTTCCTTTCCATCAATCCTCGTTATCTTGTACGGTTCCTAATCGTATGGCATACCATGGGATGTGAGTGACCCGGATCGACCAGACTAATATGTTCAGAGTCTCTGCGGATCCTCGACCGATTGGCTCATGTGAATCATTCTTTACGTACTGTAATCGTCCTTCCTCTCTTGTCGGATGCAAACTTGAATCTTGCATGCATGAAAATTGATGGGACTATTGACAACAACTTGCAAGCAATATGTATACGTGATTTTCCGTGCGGCGAAATTGGAAAATACAGTGCCCATGTGTGCTGAGCGGGCGCGACCGCGCCCGCTCGCTTGGACTGGCAAGGAAGTGTTTTGGACCGTTTGAACGGACTCGAGGGAATGAAGGGACAGCCAGGCTCCGAGCGGATTGTCCGCCATGAAATGAGCATTGAACGCCGTCCGATCCAAGTGACATTTTCATCTTAGATACAATCGAGCTGCGCTCCAATGATCTTACGCTTTCATTCCTGAAAGCTAGAAACGTACGATGATAGACTGAATTGATGACACCGTTCATGCACCCTTTAATATCACTTTCATTGTACGAAGCAGATAAGAATTGTCCTCATTGTTGAAATTGAGAATCTTATCGGCGATCCGTGCTTAAAATATAGTACATCATAGTTGTATAGTCTGAAGTCATCCTGCACGAAAGACGCGCCGTCCGACGAGCTGCCCTATCCTGGCCGTTTGATTGAATGCACATGAGCTCCGCCCCTCGTTTTTACATAGATGGTACTAAAAACGGTGCCCGCTTCTATCAGAATCTAGGTCCGAGAAGAGACTATGCCCCCGGCATTGGCACAGTGCGTTCAGACTCAGGATCAATCGGAAGCGGTCTTCGATCATTCCCGGGTAATCTCTGATTTTGAAGTCCTTGATGTATCAATCCTCAAGCACGTCACAAGCGAAGAAGGTTCATAAGCGGTCAGCCGACCGATCCTTTGCGTCTCCAATCTCGCTATTCCACCCCAGTCATTGCGTCTAGTTAAATGTTAATTTAATTAGGGTTAGTAGTTCTCAGTTAGTGTTCGTGCATAGCGGGTTTGCAATTCGCAGCGATCTCTGGCTTGCTCTGTGCACGTCCTGTGTACGTAGCAACCTCCATTTTACATTTGACTACGATTGTTTTATTCAAACCTTTACAATCCTAAGGCAATTGATTTCTGATGATTAGCAACATTATTTTAAGAATACACTCAATCTATGTAAACTTTATCGTCAATCAAACAACAAAGCCACAAGAAACTTTCAATCCTCAGAGCTTATTGCCGGCGGCCCCCCAACCCTTGGCCGCCCGGGTTACCCGACGAATCAGCCACGAACCGGTTGAGCGCTCCCTGGAGATAATTAGACAAATGGGGCGGCCGGGAAACTGCTACGGTGCGCTCCTTGACTTCCCTCCCTTGCGACATAGGGACCGGGTTGATCGAAACCGGCTGAGAAACCCCGCTGAAAACCGGGTTAGCAGCTTCAACTGGGTTACCAGCCGGGTTTTCAGATGGGTTAACGACGGGGTAAGCGTACTGCCCAAGCCAGGAGTTTTCGAGCTCTCTCAGAGCCGCGGTCTGACCTGGTCGCTTTCCATACGGGACATCCTGGAACGGGTTAAGTTGACCCGGGGACTCGGCCTCACCGGGCAATTCAAACCATGTAGGCGGAGCGCTGCGCGCGCGCGCGCGCTTCCTTCCCGGCTCGCCTTCCGCACCTCCCGGGCGCTTATGGGCCCCGGCCAGAACCGGTTCGGTTAAGGACTGGGAGCGTTCGGGTCGGGGCTGTGATAACACCTGGGTTAGTGGGCGGTTGGACGGAAACCCCGGGTAGTTAGTTTGGGTTTCCGGGGAGTCAGTCGCCGCAAGCTCAGGACATAACGTCAGGGGCTTCGAGTGCGACACCGACCGGGTTGGAGGGTAACCCGGGTTAAGAATGGTTTCCGCCCGGTTGAAGGGGCGGGTTAGATACCCGTCTGATGGGAGAGAACCGTAGTACCGGGGTGCGGGGTTGTCGCTAACCGGTGAGGAGTAACCCGGGGGAGATGACTGCACTTGAGGCGGGGAGTGCCCTCCGACTGATTGTTGCTGACCCAGGTAATGCCCGGACGAGGGAGCGGGGTCGAAAGACTGAGCGTTGTGGTAGTGGTAGTGGTTAATCACAATCGGCTGCCCCGGAAACGCGCGGGTTATCGCCGTAACCGAGTCACCCTGACCGGGGAACGGCGCGCTTGTCCAGGGAGGGATCCCTCCGGGCGAAGCAGACGGCTGGAAGCCCTCAAACGGGGACGGTTCAGGGGCGGGAAAGCTTTCAGCTGGCCACCCAGAGAGTTCACCCGATGAGGGGGGAAAAGCGGCGGGAGTTTGCCCCCCAGAAAAGTGACCAGGGAAAGACTGCCAGGACGTGTCGGGTGCACGGTAAGCCTCGTCGAGCAGACACTCCAGCGTTGAGGGGCCGTCGGTTGACATCGCCTGCTGGCCCTTGGCGAACCCGAAGCCGCCACGTGGCTCGACAGGGGAAGGCCACGCGAAACCAGATTCGTTCTCCATCTGCCCGGTTGTCAGTCCCCCAGTCTAACTCTTCAATGTTGAGGTTGGCATGGTCATGTAGCCTGAAGAAGAAAAGGACCGTGTCTGGTGGTCAGGGCTTTCGCTGGATCCGTCGAAACCTGGAAGCAGGTAAGTTTGAATCGGGTAAGTCGACAGAGCCGAAGAAGATCTCTGCTCAGACTTCAATCAAGCCCTGCTAGATTTTGCAAAACCTTGAATTGATGGAGGAGTAGGAACACTCCCGCGCCCAATATCCGTTTGAAACCGAAGCTGAGCTGGTTGGATTGGTGTGCCAGGACAGAAAGAAAGGACTAACCGGAGAGCAGAAGGATTGATTGAGAAGCAATCAAGAAGATCTATCTTGTTTTTGCATAGAAAGTTGACTCGCAAAGGAGCCTGCATCAGAAGGAATCGTTTATGCAGACTCTGAACTCTTCAGGATCTTATCAGTTGTTTCCTGATCATATATCCGGAGATTGAGCCCTCAGGTTGACTCTCGAAGGCACATTCCCTTCAGCAGTCTTAGAATGAAAGCACAAAGAAGAGCTCATCTCAATCGTGCACTTGGCAACCTCGAGGCGCAAACCCAAGAAGAAAAGTCATGAAGGACGATCTTCTCATCTGAGTAGCTCTGGAATTGGAATGATATCTTGTATTCTGGACAAAAGAGGCTGTCGAGCTTGAATCTTTCTAGCTAACTTTGACACACTTGAGATTAGAGTCTCGGCCTTGGAGTACGAGTTTAACCCCATTGCGGAAAAGCAGATGACCAACAAAGTCGAGAGAAAAGATCGAGGTGTCAAAGCGGGATTTCCAAAATCCTTCCACCTCGATAGAAGTTCGCCTCAATTGAGGCGCTCGTGATCAGATTGTCTACCCTTTGAATTAAAGTAACCTTCTGGATGAAAAGCTTCGCGCACCGCTTGTGATGATTGTGAGCGCTATTCAACTGAATGAATGGTTGCGGTCTGCCCACAGATACGGTTACGTTTTATTGGACTCCCATTCTTTTGCGGCACTTTCTGGTGCTTTTCGGACACCTTCAAAACGCCAGGCCGCTGGTTATTGTCTCGCTTTTACGGGAGCCTTCCGGCCCATGCTTTCGTTGGCAACTCACGGAATCCTTTTCGGTGGCGTTTGGTGACGTCATCTACACGTAAACATTGGAATGGTTCAAGGTGCGTTCTGCAACCACAGAGGAACAGTGCATTCATTAACACAGGAGGTTTTGGCCCGTAACGATGATGGTTATGGGCTGGCTATGGGCTGGTTCCAAAGTGGTTCATTGTCCAATACCTAGCCAGACTTGGGCGGTAACCAGCCTTGAAGCAAGGTGAGAGCCGGGTCATCTGTCCAATACCCTGAGCCTCGAGTCTGGTTATCAGCATGGTTAGCAGCCAGAACCTCCTGTGATATTTGAAAGAAGATCAATTGGGGAAGCTCTGAAGCTGTGGGTTGGGTTAAGGGTGGGGGGATGTCTTTGAAAGCTTTGCAAGAGGGGGTTTGCACGGAGGAGTCCTTAGTGGAACCTTGTACAGCGGAGACGTTGTTATAGAGGAAAGACTTTCAGTAAGCCCTTTGCAATTCAGGCCTGATACATTGAAGGGAAGATTCAGGAAGTTGCCTGAATATTCTTGCAATGGGCACCTCAGCCCTTTGAGAAATTTGGCTTTTTCAGAGCTGATGCAGTTCATACAAGCTTGTGCACTATGAACACACTGCCAATCTTTTTGTGGGTTCATCAACTCACATCAAACTAGAGAGAAAAGCAAGGCGTCTTAGGAAACTCAGACATTTGACAGTCAGTGCAAGGATTCCAAAGTGGTGGTTGAAGCGTCTTACCTTGGAACTTTTAAGCGCAACGTATGAAATCAGAATTGATAGAATTCTGTCCCAGTGAAGAAAGGCTTTGTCACTTGCCACCAGCCCAATTGGGCAGTTACATTCACCGGGATTGCCTAGATCCAAGGGCCTGCGGGTACGGAACCTCCTGTAAAGCACCGGCACATCATTTTATTGGCTGATATTCTTGAAAAGGATTGCATTGGTCGGTTGAAAACTGATACGCAGCGCTCGCTCAGGATCAGAGCCTTTTTTAGCCTTTATTGTCTAACTGGACATTGAGTGAACTGCTTGCGACAATATTCTGTTATCCAAAATTCTGCCCTGATGACTCTTTCCGAGCGCCCATAAAACTGCCAGCACCACTCTGTGCCTCTTTTGGATATCTCTGAACAATAAACGCGCTTCTCACACAGCCCTTTTGGACCCATTTCTTTTCATCACCTGGAGCTCCTAGCGCATTTGAAGATGCGGGTGCCATGACCACCTTATCAGAGCACCCGTTTTGGCTCCCGCAATTGTCAGCCCCCTTGCCCAGCTGTTATTCTGAGTGATTGAGTGATTAAGATCAGCCCACAGAAGCTGGAAAGCTCATCCTTTCAATTCCAGCTCCCAAGCCAAAGTACAGCGCCCATCAAACAAGAACACATTTTCGTCCTTTTCTTTAAGTAAGGCGGCCCACTGAGCTGGAAAGCTCACCCTTCTAGTTTCCAATCGCAAGCCAGGCCCATCAAACAAGAAAACACTTTTCTTGTCAAGCTGGATGAGTGGTAGCATCCAACATCGAGCAAGGGGTTGGTTTCTCTCACCGTATGGATCCAGAGTCCCTGCCGCGCCGTCCGATGTTCCTGCAACGGCCCCACCCTCTTTAGCCCAGTGCGCAGATCAGCCGCCGGACGCGCCACGTCGCAAAGTGCCTAGCATGGTTTGTGCAAATGGCAAGGTCCTTCCTCCTCTTTTGAGGAGTCGCCACTGATCGCTTTCATGTCAGAAGGCCCCAAGGGACTTCACAAGTGCCGCGGCAAGAAGAGTACTCTTCTACTCGACCATAGGTCTTGCCACGATATCACCTGGGGTTTTTTTAGCTGGTGCTTTTTAATAGCTCTGAGGTGCTTATTCCGGCGTGACTGACAAGAAAGCCTGATTCAGAATCTGAAAAATACTGCCAAGTCGAGCTTCTCATGACTTTTTTCAGTCCTTCTGCTCCTGTCGAGACCATAAGCTGCCTCAGATTACTAGATACTTCTAAGCTTTATTGGGATGCATTTACTCAAAGCGGTTCAATCAGGGCCCTTTTGGGTGTTGGCAGGCCGTATTCTGAGACACCGCGTCGATCGTCTTTGAAAGGTGATCCGGGATTGACTGAAGGCAGGTCATATGACAATGTGGCGCCAATGTTCTCATAATGATATGTATGAACGAGTGTGCGCAGTCTGATTGATCAATATTGCGCCATTTTGCGCAACCAGATATGGGGGTTTTCAGTTGGAAAACCATACTCCACCGCAGTTCCCAGTCTTCTACCCTAATCTCGGCCGAGGTCTAATCTTGGATGAGCTCCGAGTCTAATCTCGGGATGCGAGCACAGACGAACGCTCGGCCTTGGATTCTGTAGTGCTCAGTATGTGCAGACAGAGTGCTCATTGCCCACGCACACATTGCGAAGTTCGACGATATTTAATTTATAAAAGGTAGTCTTCATTGTTTACGTCTCCTTGTCACGCTTGTGAGAATATTTTCGCAAAGAAATAAGGCGTTCTCCTATTGGGTCGATTTCTGACAGCGTGTCAGACTTGGATTCGGCGACTTCTACCGGTCCGCGAGGACTTCGACCGGGAAACGACCCGGTAGACCGGGCGTATCAAAAGTCAAAGGAACCGATGCATCATGGTTCTTGTCAATCTTGATGTCACTGTCAGAGTCTATGTTTGTGTTGTCAGTATCTATTTCAGTGTCAAGGCTTATTCTCAGCTGATTCAATCAGCGGCAGCTTGACAGTGCTGACACTACTTAACAGTAACCCTGACACTAATACTGACATTGTGCTGGACTCCTTGATGAACATTTGGAGTCCACATATATAATACAACCGGAACTCAGAGGCTCTTGACCAGATCCTGAAACCCGCCTTGCTTGTTCGAACTTCGGACTGCGAAAGGATCTACCTACTAGGTAGGTACTAGTGTGGCGCTACTAGGTTAGTAGCTACTCAAGCACGACACTTTTGATCGATCTGAGGCCTGTCAGGCTGTCACCGTCTAACCTGCATCGGAAACCAGAACCGTCTCCGTTCGTGGATTCTCAATAATAGATATACAATCAGAAAGAGCTGAGGTTACCGGCCCTGGTATTGGGTACCGGCAGAAAATTTCTGGGGACTCGGATGATTCAAGCCAACCGACACCAAGTTTGAAGAAAGATCTATGTGACCGGCACGAGTCTGGCAGTTTACGTGGCCGGTCACAAACTTGCGTATGCACGGCTGTATTGTGAATTGTGTGGAGGCACCAGTGACGAGACGCTCTTCGCAGGGGGCAGAGACACTACCACTATTCTCTTTTTTCCACCTGCATTTGTCAAAGAACAAAGGTTTACATACAAGTCAACAAGTCCAGCAGCGAACGAATTGCACGCGTTCCGAACCAAGTCATGCGTCCTATAACGTAGCATTGTTTTCCGTGCAGGTCTTCGACAACGTCTGAAGTTTGAACGCCCTTTGAACGTTGACAGCTAGTCCTACCTAGGTAGTATCTGACCCATTTAATTTGTTTGCTGACTCAATGCCGTACTCTGTAGCACCGTGATTGGCTGAGCAGCCTTCCTGTCGTACTATCATTGCATCATTCCTCGGGCACCCATCTCAAACCCCATCAAAGCCGTGATATTCTGAATCGCTAGTGACTGTAGTATGTACCTTGCCGTCTAGCCGCGGCCCGAGTCGCGGCGTCACGCCAGTTGGTGTGAGAGGAATAGGTATATTCGAAGATACAAAGAACTTTAACCGTAGAAGAACCGAAGAACGGAAGTCGAGGATACTTATTACTGTTGTGAAGGCACGTAACAAAGCGGTAAACTGAATGGCAGTACCACTGTAGTACTACGGTGTGCGTGACACGCACGGCGCGTGCTGCCGGAAGATTCTAGAAGCTCGTTTGCTGAATCAAACCTTTCACCAGTCGAAGTAAACGGTCAGAGCTACATCATACCGGTACAAGACACCCTGATCCAACCGCCTACCAGCCGCCGGCGTCGCTTCGAAGTTGCGCAACTCGAGAGAACGCTGCTCGACTCAGTGCAAATCGTGAGTCAAGGCTCGAGACTCGAGAGTCGAGACTGATCGAGAGTGTCTAGACTCTACCGGTATACTGTGAGTCTGAAACTTTGAACAACGCAAACGTACGGTCGTACGGTACGGCCTGCGGTGCTTCGGACTCCAGGCTTGGCCAATCAGGATCTGTGAATGCAAGTACGGTATTGTACTTAGTACTTATGTTCGACCTATACAATCATATACGTATTATTAGCAATGTGGCTGACGTTCTTCCAGCCTTGATAACGCATGCAAACTCTACCACATGAAAATGAAATGATTGGTCATCGCCACGCCGCATTCGGCTGCTCATCCGTACTCCGACTGTCGGCCTTTACCATCGTCAACCAATAATGACAACCTGAAGCCGGCCGCGAGCCGTCAAGCCCGCCAAACGTCGATCAGCCGACGAAACTGCAAACCTGGGCCCCGGCCCACTCAACTGAGGGGCGTCTGCCGAGAAGCCGACAGAATGGTGTTTGGATGACACACCGACCGGTTCAGAGTTCCAAGGCTTCCAGCGGACGGACCGAGAAAAGTCGGCCTGGGAGCCGACGAAATTAAAACTCCGTGTCGAACGCTGATCGGCACAGCGAATTATTGCACAATGCAGCCGCGATCTCGTCAGTGCACACGTCATCCCGAATTTTAGGGGGTGACCGCATCCAACAAATTAAACTTTGAAACTAAGTTTAACCGTTTCCGGATGCCGACGGTGCAGTACAGGGGTTCTAGCAGGATTTTGCCCGGAGGTGCTGTGGCGCCCCTGGGCTTTGCCCCGGGGCGCCGACCAGCTTACCTAGGGCGCCCAAGCCCGGGCGCCAGCGCCCGGTACAATAGGTATTCTGGCGGAAGCTGTGCTTAACGGTTAACCGAGCCGAATTCGTGCATACCGGTCCCCAGGGCTGCCTCCTGTGCCTCTACCGTATACGGTACAAGCAGTCGGCAAAAAGTCAAAAAGAATCGCTGCCCTCGTTTCCAAAGCAGGTCCTATTAGGGAAGCGTCATTTTGAAGCGGAACCCCCCCTATTAACTGTTATGGGGGGGGGGACCTCGAACCGAAACCCGCTTCGAGGGTTGGGAAGGGGGGGGGACTTGCAGCTGTTCCAAGATCCCCAAGGCTGCATGGGGGGGGGACCTTTGCAGGTTGTATATGTTGAAGGTGCAGGGGGGAAATGGGCTTCGATGATGGCATATCATCCATTTTGACAAGCAAATGCCTCTACAATCTGGTACAAAATCCTTTCAAAAAGTGCAAAAGGCCCCCAAAACCGATGGTACATTCTGGTAAAAGCTCTGTGCAGTCTAATATGACCTTGATTTTTGCAATTTGCCGAATCTTGTGATGGGGGGGGGACCTGAAGCCTTCGAAAACTGAGAAGACAAGGGGGGGGGACCTAGGACTTGCGCCAGGTCAGCCTGCTATGATGGGGGGGTAACTTGGATCCTCTGGCGAAAAGGGCTCCGTAGTTAATAGGGGGGGTACAGCTTCAAAATGACGCCTTCCTTATAGTAACAAATGCCTCTATCGAAGCATACCCTTGCAGATTATTTATTATAATCATGATACTTGGCTAAGTGTAGAGAACTCGAGTCTCGACTTGGATTTGTAGCATTTTTAATTAAATACAAGTGCTTATCTCCTCCTTCTGGAACCATATGGGCTTCCTTTGTGTCCTGATATGTCCAGGCAATCGCTCTGATAATCTATACTTAGAAATCAGATCAGAGTTCCCGGTTGAGGCGGCCTGGATCTAGTACTTTCCAAGAGTAGGCGGGGCCTGCGGCCCAGGGCGCTGTGGCGCCCCGGGCTTCCGCCCGGGGGCGCCAGGATTTGCCCCGGGGCGCTCTGCGCCCCGTTTGGCGCCCCGCCAGAACCCCTGGTGCAGTACGTCTGTCAGTTCCTGTGCTCGGCGCCGCCGGTTGTTGGTGCCGCTAAAGCACCCGCCATTGCCGTTAAACGGTTGAAATGATTCCAACTCGAATTCCCAATGTTCTGTTTTCAGCTGACGACGCCTGATCGTACACAGCAATGATGGATACTTTTCAAAGCAGTATACTTGGGCTCGGGAGATGCAACCGGGTCCCGAGCCCCGACTCACAAGTTTGAGCTCCCGACTCCCGGCCATGCCGGGATTTGTGGGAGAGTTTTCCCGGGACAGAGCCTTCCTTGCAGAATAGAAGACCGGGGGAGGTTTAGGAACCGTGCTGAGTGCCCGGGAGTTGCTGTGTCTCAGTCTCTCAGAACGCCGCAGACTCCGACGGTTTCGGAAGACGGGTAATGGCAACGGGAGTGTTCACTAAACAGAGTGTTCATTACGATTGATAAGCCCCGGGCGCACAAATTACTAATGTAAAAAAGACCTAACGTAACTACCGGTCTCACGGGCTAAGCACCCCAACCAATCCTAACTACCAAACCAACCCTACCGTCCCCCGGTTGCCTATGTTAGTGAACACTGAACACTCTATTTAGTGAATACTTCCGTTGCCAGAATGGAAGACGGGATCGTTTACACTATCTGCTTGCCACGAACCGGTGTTTAAGCTGGACCTGGCCGGCAGAAATGACAGATGCACCGGTGCCGAAGGCACCCCACCGGCTGGACAGCCGGCAAAAATGCTGGCGCCGCCTAGGCAAGGCCGGCGCCCGGTGCTTTAGCCCGTGTGGGCAGCCGGTAGAAATTTGGGCTGGCACCGGTAGCCAGACGGCACCGGAGAAAGATGGTACGTGGCAAGCCCTGCTATCTACTAGGTGTGAAAAGCAGTCTGTCGTGTGTACGGAAATCGAGTTCGAGTAAAGGCCGTCGCTTCGCTTGACCATTCTATGACGTGAATAATATAATATTCGCAGTAGGTAATAACTTATAAGTATAATATCTCATAAACGGTTCCGTACAGGGGCTAAAATCTGTCGTACGTCACACGCTACAATCTACAAACTTCAAAAGTTCAAAGTGTCAGAAATCATCAAATGAAATCAAGGTACCTATCTTGAATCCCTCTATAACCCAGGTGTTAACTACAAGCGCGAGCCATCACTATTAGATCGGACGGCCTAAAAGGCCGCAAACGTACGTCCGACCCCTGCGATTGGTCTAAAGATGACGCCGTCAGCTATCGGGTCATGCCGCTCTTCAGACCGCAAACCCTTCGTCCAGATTTTGGTTTAGCTCTGGGCCGCGTGCGTCACCGCCATCGAATGACGTAAGCAAGGCTGACGGAACACCGCCGACCGGCCGGGTTCGATTCCCGAACTTGATTATTATCACTAGCTGTGACGTCGCCAGCGTGGCAAGCAGGCGTGAACAAAGTCTCGACTCTCTCCCCTTTGGACCGCAATCAGGCCTTCCTTTGAATCGACAAACAGAACACAATCCCCAGATACCGAGAATCAAGATCCCGACTGAAAGAGAGTTCAGAGAATGCCACGTATTGCCCTTACACGGCCGGACCAGCTTGGAAGCTGGGGCGTTTAACTTTGGAATCTGATTACGTCAGTCTTAGGCTATTGGCATTAGTATTGCGGGGAGAGGCTGACTCTGCTCTGTCAAAAAGGTAGGAGAGTGACAGACTCGGCTGACCTATCTTCTGATATGAGCCTACTGCTTCTGCCATCTAAGTAGGTACTTCGCATTGATAGCCCTCCGCTCTTCCTTATGAGCTGCGTGTGGTCAGATCATTCGTACCCGAAAAAATTGACGTTGACAGCCGCAGCCTTCCACGTGATTCAAGCCGTACCCAGCTAGTTGCTGGCCAGTGCTTTGATTGATCAAAGTTCTGCACTCTGGCGTGGGATTGCATCGCTTTGGTAGAAGAAGGCAGGCTCTACTTGCGCCATCAGTACTACGCTGAGGGTGTTATGTTAGCGCATCGCATTCACTTATGCCGTGCGCCGCAGATCGGTGCTGACCGCTTATGAGCAGCTTCATCTCCTGTACCATTCCTTTTTAATCAAGGTCAGAGCTAGGCCTGGTGTGGTGATCAGGAGTCAAGACGCATGACAGCTGGCGCCGGACTTGGAAGCAAGCGACTCAAAGATTTGCGGCCCCGCTTTCATATGGAAGCAGATCCCGGCGAGGTGGAAGCTCGGTTGAGGGCAATCTGATTGGAGCTCAGGATCTGGGGGCTTTGATTGTGAGCTAAGGTGAGCTGAAGGACAGGAGAGTAGATTAAGGTCATAATACTGACCTGATATCTTTGCCTCTACCATTTGAACATCTTGGGGCTTCGTGTGGACTCTACTGACCGAGAATCGTGTGGCTCCAAGGTGGTCATGTCAGGGGTCCAGGATGCTTTTTCGGCAGGGTTGCTTAGGCAGAAATTCAGATGGATCTAAAATGGGCCTTCGTTCTCATGACTCATGCGGCCTGTAGAGCGCTCATCTTCCTCCCTGCTACACACGTTCACAGCTCAGTCAAGGCTTTTAAATAAGCTAAGACCTCCTGACAAGCAGTCTCTTTGTTCTTGGGCACTCAGCAGGGGGGTGAAGGGGTTCAAAAGAGCTTGTGCAAGCATTGGGGAGGGATTCTTGAGGCATTAGGAGGAGTGCGTAGAATTCAAAAACTGGGCTTTGAAGGGGCTTTGGAAAGGGGTTTTGGAGGGGGTCCTGGAAAGGCCAGGACTTCTTCAAAGCACTCTTTTCGGTCTTAAGCGATTCTGAAGGGGTTGTAAAACGGCTTGTGCAAGCATTTGGAACACTTTCTGAGGCACTACCTGAGGGGGTTTGTAGGGGCTTGAGACTGGATTTAAAGAGGGTTTGAAAGGAGTTTGGAGGAGGTTATCATGCAGCCTGACTGGATTCACCTGCATGAGCTTTCTGGATAGAAAAAAATAAAAAATAAAAAATAAAATCATAGAATACATGGTGAGCCCTCCACCACTTTGGCAGCACTTAAGCACAAAGAGTTTTACTTGGGGGTCCAGGAGAGGCAGCCTGTGAGCTGTCCTTTTAACAGGATTTGGTAAAACTTTGACTCAGCATAGCGATGAGATTGATTCTTTACAGTAATTTCTTCAACAAAGGGCTGCCCTAGTGAATATGCGGGCTGATGACCTCATGACTGTATGCCCCAGACTTTCATTGTTGACAAAAAATCGGGGGCAGTAAAGCTGGCAGTGGACGCTTATTGGAGAAAGTAAACCCCCCTCTTTTGAAGCCAGAAAAGTGACGTTGGCAACCCTTTCTGCTCAAGGGAGAACAGCGGAGGTCAGTTTGTTTTCCTTGTTTGGAAGGCCTAAGAAAAATACTCAATGGGAAACAACTGAGCCCTCAAGGGACTAGCTATGGCGGATACAGTCGAGGCAATCCTGGGAGGCCGTCTAGCCTGTTGGGCTCTTGATAGAGAGAGCGTTATGAACGAAGAAGGGCACCTGATTTTCTTCTGTCCTCTTGAGATTTAAGGTGCATGAAGTTAACTCCGTTCACCTGTGTCTCCAGGCTGTATTTCTGGACCACCGATATGATGCGTCTGGCATTCAAGCGCCAACTCGCGACTCCGTTTCGAGCCGCTTCCAAGACTGCAGCATGGACTGACTACGATTATCAGCAAGTGGAGCGAATCTTCAGCCACAAGTAACACCGGCTCCCTCAGAGTGAGCTTTGCTTCACTTTGCCATGCCCAGGCCCAGTTCCTCAACTCTTCTGAAAGAGTTTCTCAAAGTTCCTGTGCGGGAACTGTATTGCAGTCACGTGTTTGGGTTTCCCACTCTTTTGTTCTGTTTCTGAGCATCTTAGGTTCTTTCGAAAATTGCAGTACTGCTTGACGTTCTCTCGGTTGAGGATCTCTTTGTTTTGCACCCTTGGTCGAACTTGATTAGAGACGAACTGTTATAAAATGACCCACCAGAAGCAAGCAAGGCTTCAAGAAGCTCAGAGATACATTAATAGAAGGATGCGTCCGGTTAAACTCCAAATGAGGGTGAAAGCTTTTTTCAAGAATTGGGGCTCCCTTTCTAACGTGGACGAGATTCTAAGGACTGAAAACTTTTCGACCAGTTTCTGCTCGATTTCGGTCGGCCGGTTTGTTTTTTCCAAATTCAGGTGGCGGTTCGCACGTTCTGGCGTTTGCCACTCGTGTCCCCTTCTTTTTTACTTCTTACGGTCAGAATCTTTGCATGATGAGGCATCATTTTGTGCAAGCAACATTTATACCTTTCTTTGCGGGAAGTAAGTCGGGCTTCTGTAAGAGACGTCGGTTCCAACCTGGCTCCGATTCGCTCGCCTTCTCGACGTCCTTGGCTCTGTTTCCCACTCATTTTCAGTAAGAAAAATGTTCATTCGCGCTTGCATTTGACTCAGCCCAACAAGCAGAAACCTCCCTGATCGCACCCGTTTCTTAGCACGACCACCCTCTTATCAAGGTGCTTATACCTAAGAATCTACCTGCTTATACATTTACCTTTCGTTGGTGATTAACCCTGGGTCCGCCGATCTTCTGCAGGGCACAGATTTCAGCAGACTGGGTAGGGCGTAATGGTACTCAATACTTGGCCTTTCTCGGACTACGCCCCCGCTCTAGTTGAGCCACGTGGCAGCTCCGGCTTCGCCGAAGCCCCTCCCTTGTCGCCGGCGCTTTCTTCCGACACACGTTCCTCGCTCTGAGCGCCTGCTTGAGAGCGCCTGGGGGGATCCCCCGGGGCACCACTCCTCTAGCGATGAGAGCTCGGCTGGCTCCGGTGCGTCATGGTCCATTGAGGGGGCCGACTTTCAGCAGCCAGAGAGCCCCCCCAGCGCAACTTTGTCGGTCCCCGGTAAGAGCCATGGACTTAGTGATTCGAACCGTCCGATCTTCGTTAATCACTATCACTACCACGTTCCTCCGCCGTTCGATTTCGGCCGCACCCTAGCTCAAACCCCGGTTGATGCGCACCCGATTGAAGATCTTCCCCCGACCACCCTACACACGCTCCTCCCGATGCTGACGTCGCTCCAAGAATCGGGCGGCGTCTCTAACCCGGTACTAACCCCGTCCCTCCCTCTCGACCACCCTATCATGTCCCACTTTCCTCCCCAACCGGTTTCCTTACCAACCCCTCTTAACCCTACTCATAACCCAATAAACGGCGGACGGACCAACGACGAGCGAAGAGTCAGCGTCAACGGGTCCCTATCCACAGAGTACACATACAGGCAAGACGCCTGGGTCGCTTCTCAAGGGATCCCCGTGAAGTCATCTGCGTGCCCGGTGACAAACCCCGACCGCCCACCAAAGTATCCCCCCATCTTCAGCCGACCCCACCCCCCAAGACCTCAGAAGCGCCCGGGTTCCACGCGCGCCGAGCCTCGGAAAAAGCGGGCGAAGAGCGGATCCGCCCCCCGGTTCAAACTTCCGGGCAGCACTATTCATTCAGAGGGGAAGCGCTTTCCAAACGGTTTGCCCAACAATGGCTGGCTCGGGCCGTTCTGCAGCCCCGTTGACGAGGTTTCCGGGTGGGAGCAGGCCTGGGACCGGCACTCAGAAAAGTGCTACGGTGATTGAGCCCCGGGTGCGTGACGTCTCTGGCGGGCTAATGGGTGCACTGAAGCGATTCGTGGCTGGCCCACCTTCCAGTAACTAGGTGGGCGAATGAAGGGAAGGCCCCGCAGGAGCACAAGCGATCGTTCGACGCGCGCGCACGGAAGTAAAAGCGATTGATCGATGTTGGGCTATGGGCTGATTGGAGATCGCACTGGTTTCTCAAGAAAGCGTTTAGCTAGCTGTCTAAAGGTAGCTTCAGAGAGATACGAGTCTCAGCTCGGGGCAGGAAGCAGCATATCGAGCTGTCGGAATGGTGTTAAAGGGGAGTCTGAAACGATGGGTTGGTTTGAGATCGTCGAGTCGCTTTGCTAATGTAGAGTGTAAGCTTTTGCGTAGTGAGGAACTAGTTTAATTAGTCATATGTGCTGCACAGGGCGAGGCTTTGAGGCTGTTAAAAGGGATCAGCTTAGTAGCTAATCAGGGCGGCTATCCAAACTACGTCAATAATGCAAGTTTGAAGAACGGCGTGTGTGTAAGGAGAATGCTTGGAGGCGCGCGGTCAAACAAAGAAGCAGCCCAGTTCTCCGGATGTAAAGTACTAACTTCGGTTCTAATCTAAAAGACATAATGACATTCAGAAAGACATATCTTGTAGCTTTAACCGAACAGCGGACGTCGGGACTTGTAGACGCGTTGAGTGGACTCGAAGATTTGTACGATAGTGACCAAGACTTCCTCGCTGCAAAGACTTCCTACCAAATTCATCTAGGGCGCAGTGTTTTATTATAACGTTCAAATCTTACAAGTGTGAAACCCAATGCAATCATACTAAGAGATTAATGGGGGCCGACGCAAACGATTCTTGACGTGCGCCGCCAATCATGGTCGACGGTTGAGTCAGTCCTGCCAGCTGGTCGTAGAAAGGAAGTATGTGTTCGGTCCCGGTCCGGATTGCTTAAGCCGCGTCACTAACGGGGTGCATGAGTACGTCAGTTGCATCGGACCGTGGGCTAGTTTTGAGCTCAATGCAGTCGGTTTCTGCATGCGGATAGCCATATACTTGTGCACGAGCTTGCAAATTGCCGGATCGAGGAGGAAACTAAACTCAAAGTCACCCCGGATTTGTTGCGACCGTCTCGTACTGCGTACGGGGACAGAATTCATCCGAAAGCCTTCGCATGGCCGTTCTGAATGACGTTCAGCATTGCATCCGACACCTGTGCAGGCAAAGTCTGGGCGGCCGCCAACGCGCACAACGACCATACTCCGCCACAGAGTAGCTATGAAGTCATTACATCATTGCGAAGCCGCCCTGTCACTCCGAGTGACCATATAATCATGAACCTGCATGAGCCGGCTTGCATCACGACTGATAGCCCACAGGCCCCAATTGGTTGGACCTGAAATTTGGGTCACTGACATTTGCGATCGGATAGACTCACGGACGAAACGGCCCTAAATTACTTATGTTGAAAAGATGGCGGCAGCCGAGGGGCCGGGCCGCCCGGTCGCGGACTGGCGGTCCCCGCTCGCCATGGCTCCAGTGACGTAGGGTGGCGAGACGGGCTTGGGTCGGAGTTTTCTATTGTGCGGCAGGACTCCGAATCGAGTCAGCTTCATGCACTACCGTATCTCCAGTATGTACCGCTGATCCATCATCATTATAAGTGCCGCAAAGTAGCTGACTGTTGCAGCAGCATGCGCGGGTAGCTAGGTACTAGCCATAGTTTCTTCCGCACTTCGATGTTTCATCAAGCCGTTACAGGTTAAGAACAAGCCGGCAAGCATACTGCATGGCTCATGACGCGACCTGCGCAACTGATGCTCACAGATGCAACCCAGAGCGCCTCGATGCACTGTGCTGGCAGCGCGCGCGGCCTGAAAAGCCCACGTACAGGCTACAGCATATAATCATGGCATGACGGTCCGATGGTCCGATCCGGACGGGGCGCGAGCGGCCCGCCGCCCGCCGACCGTCAGGCTGACGCGCCGGCCCCGGCGGCTCCGGCGAGTATGACGGGGCGGCGGCCGCCTCAGGAGTCGGTGACGATTACCGGTCGGCTCGCAGTGACCGTTCGTTTCTTCGAAGAGTCACGGTCGGCCGGGCCGGTTGTCAAAGTTGCGCGGGGGGGCTTATCACCGAGAAATTGCCATTGCCATATTTCTTCGGTGATGTCTATCGGAAGCTGCCGTAAGGCTCTTGACTGCCTGCTACCTGGCAGCTCTTTGACTGGACGTGATACGGCTGTAGAGAGACGCATGCGCAGGGCAGTCGTCAGGACCCGGCCTCTACAAGTTGCTTCAGAGAACGGCTGTTTGGGGATCTGCAATTCGATCTTACCCGAAAAAGTTGCAAGTTACGTTGTATCAAACAAAGTACCATGTACAGATAGGCAGACTGCCGGTCGACTCACGTAACTTCCAAAGGTCTCCTTACATATGACTGCACATGAACAGGTGATGAGTAAGTATCCTTAAAAATACTTGTCCTAGAACACTCCTTGCCTCTAGTAGCTACATCCCTTAGCAATGATGGTGTGATTTGACCAGAGTCCTCGCGTTTCTTTTCAACGGATTCATGCACCGATTTCATTGCGCCGAATCACAACGCTGCCCCGAGAGGAGCTTGTTGAAGTTTCGAAGTAAAAGACTGATGCAGAATTATTGACCGATGCTGCAACGCTGCAGACTCTGTCAAGTTCGAGAAACTTTCCGAGGTGGGACCTCGGAGAGCTGCACCACATATGCATCTAAAGTCGCACCACGTCATACGTCAGATGTTACCCGCATATTAGGCTCTTCAAGGCGCGTGCTTCTCCGAGTCCTGACTGACCAGTGTCGCCATGCCCCAAAGCGCTTGAGCAACGCAGACCGTCGGACTGTCAGACACGTACTAGGTGCAACTACATGGCTCAGCGGATTTGCGGCCCAGTCGTCGAGACTCATCATAAATCAGGACTTCGAAGATTGACAGTACCTACATAGTAACCGCGGATTGGACGGACGCAAGGCATTGCCCTACGAAGCGCGCTTGTGGGAACCGGTTTGCTTCACACGAGCTGCTCTCAACAACGAAGGAAGAAGAGAGAAACAAGCATGATACAGAACCCTCAAAGAGTTCAACCGGTGAACTTCGCCGTGCACTGAGAAGCCCTGCAAGAAGACAACGGGTTTCAAAAGATGACCAGTATGAAAATAGACTATCCTGGAAATCTTAGACTATCCTGGAAATCTCAGTCGCTAAACGCGCGCGATCGGGGATAAGAAAAGCGGAGCAAAATACGCCTGGACCAGGTTTGTTCCGACCAGGTTTATTCCGACCAGGTTTATTCCGACCAGGTTCATTCCGCCAAACCGTAAGCGATCCCGACCATTGACAGGTACACTAGAAGAAAGGAAACCCGAATGGCCGACACACCGGCTCGAACGGACAGAAATTCTTTGAGGCCGGACCAATCATGGCGGAGGCGCTGTGTCGAAGTCTTGGCGCACAGACTAACCGCAACCGTCATTTAGAGTGATCGAAGACCAACGGAAAGTTGGCTTAGCCGTTCTGTTTCTTTCTCGCATGCAACCACGGCACTCTTTCCAGTAGGCGCGCACAACCTCGTACCGTCTGGCAGCCTGCGCACGCGTTCGTACAGTCGTAAACGGTCGTACAATCTTGTTCTTCGGGTATAGCAATCAAGCAGCATATCGAGCTGTCGTACGGTAACCAGGCTTACGAAACTTGAGTGACTTTCTGAGTGACATGTCGAACCTACCTCGACTTTGTCGACTCGCACAATCGCGAGCCAGAGTGCTTGCGTTAATTAAGTTTGCTGGGCACACAAGTCTCGCAAGCGAGTCTGCAGACTGCAGACTGCTTGTGGACGCCATAACGAAGGGGTTAAATCTTCAACCATAAAAGCGGCCCTGGAATGAAAGAGTTGGCCGATCACGAGCGTACTAGGAAATCGCAATCTCTTCCTTTTTCCTTAAGCCTTCAAATGGGTCAAGAATATCCACCGGTAAAGACTCTACAGTAAAAAAGGGAGCACCTGCGAGAACCTGACAAACGGCCAAGCTTGCGTCATTTATGTACTAATACTCCATCCACGATCATTTACCGTACTTTGATGCACGCTGCTTTTTCTGGACAGATAGACAAACGATCGTACTCGTTAACGGGCTTTCTTTTGTGGGCTCCTTTGATCAAGCAGGGTATGAGGAGAGGCGGTTCTTTTAGGATCTCAGGCCGCAAGCCTGGAGTAGAGATATGATGTACTAAAAACTTTTGGTGAAATAGTGTTTGAATTTCCGGTACCTCTGGAATCCTTCCCCCGGAAGTAGCGGAAAACTATTTATCGATACTAGAAGCCCAGGGCAGGTATATGTTACGAGACCCTGAACCAGTCCCATTGGGTAGGTGCCGTAAACCTCCATTCCTACGCTAACCCACTCTGAAACTAACCGCCGATCGTCTAGGTTAACCCGCGTGAGCAACGAGCTCCTGAAAACTAAAGCTTGCGGCCGAGGTGGACAAGCATTGCGGATTGCAGGTAGACCGTCAGGTCTCCGCTCGGAACTTGTCCTTTTCTAACTGCTACTGCCAATCTAGTAGTTTAGCGAAGGCACCAACGGAACGTACTTATGTCCGATCGCACGGATTGCTACGACTTTTGCAAAGTTCTGCTCTTAGCCGCGCGAGCAACGAGCTCATGAAAACTAGACTTTGCGGCTGAGGTCGACAAGCATTGCGGATTGCATGTAGACGGTCTGGTCTTCGCTCGGCTCCGCGTGGTTCCCCTGGCGCCCGCCCGCGCTGTGGTGCTGGTGCAGCACGCGGCCCGGTAACTCCGGTCCGTACCACATGAAAGGCACCGCGCTTTTGAGGGCGTGATCAGGCTTCGCGTCGAGGGCACCCTGCAACCCACTCTGGCAGAGAGGGGTTTTGGGTTCATCCTTGAACAGATGTAGATGATTTGCTCCGACCTTGGCATCAAACCGCGGTTCCGCCCGTTAACCATACCCTTTTCTGATAAAGGCCATCTGCAACCAATCTGCATAGCAAGGTCGCTCTTGATTCGAAAGCTGCGTTCTAGAGTGGGCCAGACAAGATCATGCACACCAACGCGATGCAGTTACAGCAGCTAGATTCGTTGCGCGAGGCGGCCGCGAATCGTGTTGCACAGGAGTTTCTGGCCGATAACCACGGGTGGTCAGGGGATGGTTAGATAGTGCGTGTATGTCCAGTAACCAGATTTGGGCGGGAACGAGCCTTGGAACAAGGTTAAAGCCCGGTTATTTGTTTGATATCCTAGAATCAAAGCTGGTGATAAAGCCTGCTTAGCAGCCAAGACTACTTCCTGTGTGCTCACCCACTCACCGTGTAATAGTTGAAGTCTTGCTTGGTGAAGCCAGACTTGGGCGGGTACCAGCCTTGAAACAAGGTCATTGCTTAATTCTTTATACAATAGCTCAAGTTGGTACTTAGCGGGGTTAGATGTCGAGTTTTCCTGTGTGATTACCGTGTAATAATTGAAGTCTTGCTTGGTGAAGGCATACACGTTGCGGGAGAAGCTGCTGTACTCAATGTCGGCGTCGTCTCCAACATCCTCGCGCGCCTCGTCGACCACGAGAACCGGCAGGAAACGGCACGGCCACGTCCGGCACAAGAGGTCGAACAGAAACTTGTCGCTGCCCTTCATGCCCTGGAAAACAAAGCAACCTAGCAAGGTCATTTAAAGAACCGGCAGGAAGCGGCACGGCCACGCCCGGGAGAGGAGGTCGAACAGGAACTTGTCGCTGCTCTTCAGGCCCTGGAAAAAGAGGCACGCTAGGTCAACGTAAGAAGAAAATGATAATTATTTTTGAACTCTAGCTGCTCTTCCGAACAGTCAGACTTGAGGAACCGGCTGGCACTCAAGGCCAAGTTTTCCAGGACGCTAGATTTTGCGGCTTCTTAGGATGAGAAGAGCGGACTCGGTGAGCGGTTCAACCTCGCTGCCCTTCTGGCTTTCCTTGAAAAGAGGCAAACAGATCATTGCTGCCTTTTAGGCCCTGGAAAGAAAGGCACGCTAGCAAGGCCAGCCGAAGAAGCACCGTTTTTTTCATCGACAACTTGCACCCTCTAAGCTGCGAGAATCGTCGATCACACTTAGGCCGTCCGATCGGCCAGCTTCTGCTAATCGGACGTTTCAAGGTCGTGTAAAGAAGGTTCCGATGGAGGTGATGGTGGCAAGTTTCACGCGCAGAGCTGTGCGACAATCTCCAACTTGCTAAGCCGTTCGATAGCCACGCCTTTCGGCTTTCTTATTTGGAGGTCCCTTATTTTGTTGCCTCGTGGAAAGCCCTGCTGACGAAGATGGGCACTGATTGAAATGTTTTTGGAAAGATTTGCAGAAGGCGGTCGGCTTTATCTTGCCTCCCCCACTGTCTCTTTGTTTTCGTATTAAGGCAGGCCGGTTTGGGCACGGGGTAGAGCAGGACATGGGCGCCGAACAATCATCCCACCTCTACTCGGCGACGGACGCTTCGACAATCTCGGTGTCCGTTCTCACACATCCCGTTTCACGGGTTACCTTTTCAAGAGGTGATTGGCCAGGTCTGAAGGTCGCCTTGGATTACAATATGCAGGACAACAGTACCCACACTAACCCCCATACTAACACCTCCCGTCCCAGTCTGGTTAGCTTACTATTCCTAACCTTATCACTATCTAGATCGAAGTTTTTTTCGCCTCACCTCCGGGCCGAGACCGCTCATGGTGTACTCGTGCTGCAGAAGGAAGCCCACGTGGGGGTACCCCAGCTCCGAAAGCGCGCGCAGCTCCGACGTCAGCTCCGCCGTCAGCTTTTCCGGCACGGCGTCGCCGCTTGGCAGCGGAAACTCCGACACCTGCGTGCCAGAGACAACGGCCGTTAACCAAGCCCAGTTCGGCGTTTGTAAGTTGCCGATCTGTTACCCGTCGAAGCCGAGATATATTCTCCAAGGCATGCGTTTCGATCCTCGTTTTCTTCATATCGTTCTGTTGGAGGATTGGTAGCTACCTAGTATGCCTCTGAGATGTAGTAACACACTTCAAAAGGCCCGTAGCAGGAACCGAAAAGAGAGGGTTTTCGAGGTTTCGCAAGTTAAATTGCCAGGAAGGATAGGTCGTGAGGTGATCTGATCATTGGGCACTCGATTTGGTCCCGAAGCACCGGGACAAGCCGATGGAAGGGACGACTCGACGGACTCAAAAACTAAATGACAATTTAAGCCCCAATAAACACCCAAATCCTAACCCAACGATCTACCTGCTCCGCACCCCTCCCCAACCTCAATCCCGAAACCAACCCCATTGATTCTGTGCTGCCGAGCTGATTATCCCCATTCAAACCGAGTCGTATGAAGCGAGCCGTAAACAGCAGTCGGTCCGCCGTTCTTTGCCACCATACGTACCTTGCCGTCTTCGCTCGGGTAGATGACGTCATCGCCGTCTTCCTGGCCCTCTCGCGCCTCCTTGCGCAAGACGTGATACGTCAGCGTCACTCTGCGGCCCTGCGTCACGGGCCGGATCTCGTGCAGGCAGTCGCCGTAAAACGCGGCGAACTGGTACAGCCCGGGTTCGCCGGACTTGGCGGCGAAGTCGAACGTTTGACACGTGTCGCCGTGGGATACGAGGAGCTCCCCGCCGGAGAACGCGGACGGCAGGCACACCACGACGGTGCCGATGAACAGGCGGGGGCTGACGGGCGTGTCGGTGTGAGGCTTGAAAAAGTCGCCCTCTCCTGCACCGGAAAACGAAACTGTTAGAGGTTTGTTACTTGGTTAGGGTTTAGTCAACGTTATTGCCCTTGGTTCACCACCCTCACCGATGCGGGTTGGTTGATTGATCGGTGCGAGGTTGAAAAAGTCGCCCTCTCCTGGACAGGGAAAAAAATCGGTTAAAGAACCCTGGTTAGGAATTCCGATTAGGTGCCCTTGATCTAATACTTTAATCGATACGTGTTGCTTAAATGAAATCTGGTCCCGACGGGCGTGTCGGTCTGAGGCTTGAGAAAGTCGCCCTCTCTTGGGCAAACAAACCGTTTAAAAAGCCTGGTTGGGGATTGGTTAGCCGGTGCGCTTGCTCTACCACCCTGATCAGCGATGTGTGTTGATTAATCGTTAAATGGGTCCGGTCAGAAGGGAGGGCTTGATTGCTGCAGAAGACTTCTTTAACAATTCGCAAGTTCATTGAGCCCTCTACAAGACGCGCAATTCTTCCTCCACCAGCAAACTCTCTGGCTTTGCACTAGTACTACGTTCCGCGCTTGAACAGGTGTACATGTGACCGCAAAAGACATTTTTCTTGACCGTTATGAATAGAACTAACCCAAGGTGTACACAGTTCTGTGTCGACCGATCGGCGAAGCTGAGACTGGCTGGATGAAAGCTTTTAACGTCACAAAGTTGAATCACGCGATACCCCTTGTTTCTTGGAACCTGTCGAGAGTTCGAAGTGTCGAGAGATGAACTTCTTTCAAACTGCTTCTTCTGTCAAGAATCTTCGGTAGAAAGACGCGTGTAAGACGACTCGGATGCACAGGCCTCGGCTGTCGCTTGTCCGTATTTTGCTTTCCTGCTTCTTGTTTAAAGTTGTGACTGGGAACGAATGTTTCAACTTTGAAGTGCATTGTCTACAAACTGACCGTAGATGTTGAGCTTGTAGGGCACCAGCTTGACCTCCTGCCCATGGCTCAGGTGATCCTTCACGGCCTCCTTCAAATAATGCTCGAAGACGGGCTGCAGAGCAACATTAAAGTGAGCGAGGCTTCAGAAGACGATTGCGGCCCCTTTCAAATGATGCTTGAAAACCGGCTGCAGAGCAACATGTAAAACTGAGAAGAGAGTCACGGCCGCCTTCAAATGATGCTCGAAGACGGGCTCCTGGGCAAAGTGTAAAGAGAGCGATCTTGAGAAGAGAAGAGAGACAAGAGGGAAGAGACAAAATTCTTTGCTTGAAGCTTCGTGCACTGTATGCACGACTATTGACGCTGAGCTTTTTCAGACCATATTCATCAGGTGCCTTGCGCACCGGAAACAAAGTTCTCAAAGCGACAAGGGCACAGTACGCAATCAACTGCAATGTGCAGTGAGCTTGTCATTCTCTACTTGTAATGTTGGGGAGTGAAAACAACACAGGATCGCTTGGTTGCTAACCAGGCTTAATTATCAGACCTGATTTTCCCGTTATTGGACAAATCACCAGGCCGTAACCTTGTTTCCGGGCTGATTACCGCCTAAATCTGGTCATTGGACAATCAACCACTTTTTACCAGCCCATAACCAGCCACGGTTAGTATCTGAAAACTCCTGTGAAAAGCATTAATGCTCTTGACGCGCGGCTCCCTTACCCGGGGATACTTCGTCTCCCTCTGCCGGTAAGAAAAGGAATATTCTTCTCGGCCTTCGTACTTGTAGTCCAGCTTCACGTCGCAGTGCGCTTCGAGCGCTCTCCGGACGTCGGGGTCCAGCTTGGTCGACTCTGTGAGCAGGTCGCCAAAAGGAGCAGGGGAGCAGTGCGGCAGGAGGGCGACCACGTCAAAGTCGGTTAAGTTAACCTCGAAAGAACGCCCTTTCTCACCGCCCTCGAGCTGCAGGAACAACAAAAGCTCCACGACTTTGGTTCCAATACGACATGAAGGAGAGAGAATGTCCAAAAATGGAACCACTGGAAGGCATGGCTGGAGGTGACTGAGGTGACTGAGGGGGCAGGGACAGGTCTTCGAAAGTCTAGGTCTGGTCTGGAAGAGTATAAGGCTATTGTCTTGGTCAAATCCTTTGCCAATCTGATACAACAACAGGGACACAGGGCGAGAGAACTCTTAAGCAAGACTGGTTAGATTGTCTGCTCTTCTACCAACCGGAGCTGATCAAACCTCCGTAACCGAACTTGTGAAAATGATAAAACCGGAAAGTTCCGAGAGACAAATGATGAAGCAATCAAGTACTGGCTTCTGCTTGCAATGTTCGAGGACGGGAAGGACTTGTGCCAGTCCCAGTCGTTGCTGCAGCTTCCTTTCCGGAGCGTACAATTTCTGAACAAAACACGTTGTGAAATGCAAGGACAGCCATTCTACTGTGTTCATTGCAGCATACTCCGGGAGAGACAATGACTTGAAAAGCCAACCCGATGCTGGAGTTTCTAAGGTGAACAAACTCAACTTTGTTTCCGACTTGCAAAAGCCATCATGATCACTAGAAAACGGCCTGGAGAGACCATGCTTTTCGACAGGAATAGACCAATGATATGCGTGGCCTACACAGATCTTGCAGGTGAATATCATATCGAGCACTTCTGACCTCCTAGAGATTTGAGACTTGAGATTTGAGACCTTATTTTTTAGACTTGAGATCTGAAGACTTGCGACCTCGAAACTTGAGACCTTGCCTTCGCTTTCTTTGCAGGCGCAGCCGCGGTCGGGTTGACGACCAGCTGCGCGTGCCTGACGTCATGATCCGGAAACCGATGCACCGCGCCGTAGCAGAACGCCTTCTGGCCCTTCTCAATAGACCCCGCAAGTCCCGTCGCCCACTCCAGGTGACTTTTTATTTCGCCAAAGTCGATGCCCAGCTTTTCGCACTGCTGCTCACAAGCAGACTCCCAGTCCGCAGGCTTCTCCGGGTAGTACTCCAGTTGCTCGGGACGGAAGGGGACCCAGCCCAGCTGGTTCCCTTTCCCGTCCTTTCTGACCGCCGTCAGAGCCTTTTGGATACTCAGATATGATGACAGTGCGGACGGCTCGAGAGGCGCCTCCATTGCGGACAGCACTCGACTGGCAGCCTGGCGGATGAAGGACGTCCGACGGCGCTTTGGAGAAAGGCTAGGCGCACCAGTAAGACTACCGTATTTGCACGCAGCTGAACAAGCTAGCTAGGTACACAAGGCCAAGCTCAACGGCCGGACTCGACGGCCGCGGCCGGCGCGCGGCCGCCTGCGCTTGCCACGAAACCCCGGGCCCGGCCCACCGTGCCAACCGTCGTAAACTTTACTAGTCGCCGTGAAGGCTCACGCGCGCACGCGGCGATTGGTTAATTAACAGGCTCTACTAGCTAGCTGAGAATCGAAACTAGTGTTTCGCGCATTGAACTGATGAATTCGTCTTGCGCCAATTACTGCATTTACAAAAGTCTTCAAAGATAACAGACGTTGCTCGTACTAGTGATCGCAACTTTATTGAGAGTTCACATATGCGCCAATAGATATCTCAACACTGGGTTTGTTGTCTTTATCAAAGCGAAGCGTTGTCTTTGAGTATTGTGGATCATGAATTAGCGTATAAGCAAATTGCTTTTGTTTGTCGCGACATATACATGCGATTTTTCGATTTGGTATGTGATTAATCACCGCGCGCTGTGGCCCGGCCACTAGTTGATCAGAAAGCTAGATCGGCATACTAGACGAGCATGTATGATAAGCTTCCAAAGCCGGATGCGCTGATCTCAGCTACGGCGGGCCTTTTGGCACTGGCCATTTAAGCCAGCCTGTGTCATGCAATGGCTTCGATGGAATGATATACTAGCTACCAGCGCGGCTGGCCTTGGATTTCAATACCGGAGAGCCGCCTGAGTCCGCAAAGCTCACCGTCCGACTATCAATCAATCAGATATACTTTGACTGCCGCCGCTCTCAATTTGATATTAATATGGGCAGCCCTTGGTAATCATTAGGCTTGCGGCCAGTACGTACCCAATCGACAAAATAATCAAGTATATGATAGCTCCCCCATTCCCCAAAAGAATTTGGCACAATCTCGGTGGCGCCGGCCAGTTGCGCAGAGGCCGACCCAGACTGTTTGCGAACAGAGCCTGTGACGCGTGCTAGAGTTGATTGTCACTGAATCACTGAATCATTCTGCCCGCAAATGGGGAGTTATATTCCACGATATACCGTACGTTACACATGGGCAGCCGCCAACTTAGTAGCGAACTTAGCCTGTCTGGTGGTCAGTATGACCGGACCTGTCGCAAATGCACACATGCAACTGCACCAAAACTTCCCGCTAATATGTCATGCACTCAAGCCACCAGATCAATGGTCAGGCAGTAGTTCGATAGAAACTCAACTAGCGACTCAAACTGAGTTCCATGGCCCGGAAGAAAGATTAGGGTCTGGGTTGCCCCCGGGGGCCCCCTTGCACAGCGTGAAGGCATGCATTGACTGGATTGCCCGGACCTTTGCAGACTTAGCAAGTGACCGCTTGACTCATTGAGTCTTGTTCGGACTAGCTTTTTGTACCGTCCTCAATCAAGCCCCCTTGCAGTTCCAGGTGTTCTGATCAAAGTTCAATTTACGAATGAGACTTAGCTCTCTTGAGTCTGCACCCGTCCACAACCCTCAACCCAGAGCATTTTAAAAACGGTCAAAAGTAAGCTACCTAGAAGCGAAGAATTCCTGTTTACCCTCCTAGCTAACATATCAACTATACTATAAAAGGCGGGTCAATGAATCTAGTTTTGGCCGCAATACACTAGTCGTACACTCCGTATAACCCCCACGATTGCCCTGGCAACATGTGAGCATGCAACACCCCAATCTTGACTTGATCTGCGCTTCTAGGCTAAGCTCAATGCAAGGCAACCCAAAATTGCGGAGGCGTTCTCAAGGGCGCACAACTCAACTTCCTAGCGAAGTCTAGCTAAAACTCAACGGACGCTCACAGAGACCATGTCTCTCTCCCCGTCCTGTGACAGGGAGCCACAACTCTTGGTACGGGACATGAGGGCGCTCGGCTGGAAGGGGGGTGCGTCCGCAGACAATTTCAACCCCCCAAGAGACCCTGGAATAGCCACGCGGATGCACAGTCAGCTTTGAATAGCCTTAAGTTCCCGAACGGTTGTGTAGAGGCTTGACGGTTGGAATAAGTATACACGTGTTGTAGGGCGATGATGCTTGCAACAAGGCATCTCAAACTCAGTTACAAGCGAAGCATCTGCTTCCCACCGCATTCAGTTTAGGGATGACGTAGAGAGACGGTGAGTCAAAGTCAATGGACAGCGGGAAATCGACGACTTTTTGCTATGAAAAGTTTCGAAGGCTGACTGCAACCAAAGGCAGGCCGGTAAGGGTGAATACAAACTTGCCTTGCAATCAATCTTGCAGTTTTGACCGCGTATGACAAGCATCAATACTAGTACTACATGGTTTTGCGTTTCGCGATCAAGCGTGATCGCACCTGTAATGCTGACCCACTGGGCGCAGAGCCAGCAAAAAGAAAGGGAAAAGGAGACCACGGGGCTGTAATGAAAGCGGAAAAGCTTACCGTAAGTGCCTGAGCCCCCCTTAGCGAGGGCCGCCTTGATTGCGGCTTCCGCCGCCGCCTTGGCATCCGAGAGCACTGCCGCGGTGACGTCATCGACGTCCGGGTGGCTCGCGGTAACGACAGACTGGGGAGGAGTGAAGGGTTACGGATCAGCAGTGTGGTGTACGTTGGAAGCAAAAGCAGCAAAAGCGGCCGGGAAGTGATATGGGCACAGAAAGTTTAAAACTACTTAGCTTGATCCAAGCCGTAAAATCAGCAGTGTTTTGTCGACCCTGAGCACCTGCGGTCTGGCTGAGCATTGCGGAAACAGGTGCGAAGCCTTTCTGCGGACGTGTCCTGGGCCCTTCGAAAAGCTCAAATAAAGCTTGCGCAGGTATGCACCAGGAGCAGTCGGGGCTGTCTGACTCACCGGTTGCGCAATCTCGCTCGATTCCGGAGCCGCTTCCTTTTCTTCAATTGGCGCAGCGTTCTCCCCGTCCAATTCTCCCTGCCCATTTTCCTCAACTGCGGCCGCTTCTTCGTCGTCAATGCTCAGGACCCCATCGGTTTTCTCGTCCTCGTTCGGTGTAATCCCGCTATCCTCCACTTTCTCTTCGTTTTCAACCGGGCTCGCACCCGCATCTGCCTCCTTGTCGACTTCATCCCCTCCCACGCTCTCCACTTTGGCTGACGTCATCGCAACCGTGTCCTCCGTTTTCGGTGACGTCACCGTCTTCCCAACCGTGCGTGGGACAAATTCCGCTGCGGCAGGGTTGAGCGTAGGCGACGCTGCTCCGCTCGGGGAGGGGTTTTGCAGTGGGGGGGAACCGGACGGTTTGAATTCCACGGCGAGGGGGTTCGGCCGGAACGGCCGCGCGCTCGGCTGGGGGCTCCACTGCGGGGGGGGGCTGTATTGCGGGAACATGGTGGGGGGGGGCGGGTAGACAGGGTGTCCGTAGTGCGGGCTGGGGGGGGTTTGCATTGGCACCGGCACGTGGACCCCGTTCACGTTTTGGTAGTGGTAATTGTTGCTCGGCAGGGGGTATTGGACTCGGAACTGGGGGGTGGGCAGGAGGGGGGGGTACGCAAACTGCGGCGGGCCCTGTTGGAACGCGGGTTGCGCGGGGGCAGGGGACGGGAACCTGCGCACGGGAGTGACTGGGACGACAGCAGGGCCCGGGAGGGGCACAGGGATCGTGATCTGGGGAAGGGGGGGCGTGTCCGATTTCTTGCAGAACGGCGTGAGCGGAACGGAGCGCTGCGAGGAGGACTCGGACAGCGCAGGACTCTCGGACCGTTCGGACGTCGTCATTGATGCCGAAGGGGAGGGGTCGGACGCCACGTGGCACGTTTCGGACGCAGGTACCGAGGGTTCGGACGCAGGTACAGACCGGTCGGAGCGTTCCGACGGCAGTGGGGAGTCCTCTGCCTCAGCTTCGGCCGCTGTAGAGGCGACCTTTTCAACAAGCGGTGCTTCTACGTCTATCTTCGTCTGGTTTTTGTCTGTTTTCAGTACAGCCTCCGGATCGGGAGGCCCTGTTGCGGCCCCAGCGGCCGGGTCCGACCCCTGATTGTCAGCCGCCTCGACGGTCGACAGGGCCTTGGTTTCCGCTCCGGAGCTCTCGCCCTGGGTGTTGCCTGCCGCCGGAATAATCAGTGGAGTAGGCACGCCCGGGGCAGTCTTCCGGGCTTTGGCCATGACTATATCCTTGAACGACCAGCTTTTCACGGGCTTGAGGCTATTCCCACCCCCCGAGGCCGGAGACACCGCATCCTTCGAATTTTCTTCTGTTTCAAGAGGCCCTGTTGGAGCTGCTGCGGCGGTTTCGCTGGGGGCCGCAGCAACCGAATCCTCTTTAACAGGGCCCTCGCTCGAGGGCCTCGTCAGAAGGCCGTCCCCGGGGGGATCCCCCGAGCTCTGCGGCCCGGCCCGGGGCTGCTCGGTTAATTCTACCGGTTTGTTAACCCGGAGCGCCGGCTTAGGCAACACGCTTCTAGGGGAGTGGCTGTTCTTGGGGCCGGGTTTGTAACCGGGCCTAACCCCCGGTAAACGCAACCCGTTCTCGCGAGGGTTAGGGCGGGGGTAACGGTTGCTTACGTCCCGCACAAAGCCTGCCCGGTTATGAGCACCAGAGAAGGCGCCCCGGTTTGCAGAGAAGTTCCCCCGAGGGCTGAATGCCCGGTTTTGGGGGGGCGGGTTTGATGAGTGGGCGAGTTTCTGGGCCTTAGAGCGAGGGGTGGCCTCCTGCAACGAGGGCGAAAGAAAGTTCAAAACTCCCTTCAAACCAGACTGCCAGTAATTATTGTTTGGCGCCCTTTTCAAGCGAATCGTCAAAGGGTTGAATAACAGTGACGTAAGCTCAACACTTCAGCATATACCGTAATCAAGGTCTGAGCTGAGGTCAAACCACCGGCAGTAGCCTCAGCTTCGGATTTAGCACAAAGTTCGATTCTGACGACTTTAATTCAGAAGCTATAATGTTCTAACCCCCCCGGGATTGTTGACCCAAAAAATTCTGAATATAAAGAAAAAAATCTCTTTCATGTGGGAGGAATGCCAGCAAACCATCAAGCAGTCGCAATCGTGTATGCAACCTCCGCAAATCAACGATGGACGATTAAGGACGTACCACAAGTCATGCCGGAAACGGGAGTTGATGCTGCAGCGAAAAGCCACTTGCCTGGAACGTTTAAGCGAAGGTTAGCAGGATTAGATCAGTACACCAGATTTGATTTCGCACAGGCGCTCGAGATCATTGTGGGATAAAGAAACCACCAGATGTAACCACCGCCATAACCAGGCACTCACCTGCCACTCCCCGTCATCCACCTCCGGCACGGCAACGGCCGGCGGCTCTGGCGCCGCCACGTCAGCACTGACGACGTCAGCCTCCTCCTCTGACGTCACCCCCTCCTGGCTGGAGACCGGCTCCTCGCTCTCCGTCTCGCTGCCCGTCTCGGAAGAGGACGAGTCCGGGGTTTCGCTAACCGGCGCCGGTTTGGGGCTAACCGCGGCCCGGAAGCGCTGGTAGATGGGCTGCGGGGGGCGCTTGGCGCGCTTGTGCGCGCCCTCCTTTTGGTCGGCCTCCTTGTTGATGAAGTTAAGCAGATCGTCCACGCTGCATAGAGAAAGAGAGAAAATTGTGACTCAAACTCAAATCTTTTTGACTCTTGATTCCTGCATGGAGACGGGGGCGGAAGTGACTGAGACGCCTTTTTCCTGGAAAGAGAAGGCTTCGCTGTTGGTTAACTTGAGCAGATCGTTCACGCTGCGGAAGCAGAAAGAAAAGTCAGAGTAGGACTCGTGACTTCTCCCAACTTTCAGATAAAGGACGGGAGTGAGTATATCTCTATTTTCCTAGAAGAAACATCTTAAAGAGGGCGTCAGATTTCAAGGCACACACGTGCATCTGAGTCCTGAGGGAAAATTTCAACGCACGGCGCACATTCCATCTTGAAATCTGCCCTCAGCGACCAAGACTGCGCCATGCGGCGCTATCTGGTCGCTGGAGGGGGGACCGGTCCCCCGGCGCCCTCTTTAAATGATGAAGTTGAGCGGATTGCCCAGCTGCTAAGTCAGAAATGAGTTGAACACAAACTCAGAATCAGACTCAGAATATATTTTAACTATTCTGACTATTCTCCGGATTATTTTTACCTTCTTGAGAGGGGACGGAAGAAAAACGAGACATGGTTGGCATGGAAAGCAAAAGCCTCCTTGCTAATAATATCGAAAAGGCCAGGGGCGCTGCAGGGGCCAAAAGAGCTAGATGCGGCGAACTTCTTCATTGTTAAAGATGAATTCTGAACTCTCCAAGCTGTCAAAAACGGATGTCTCACGTATCTTCCTTTTCCCTGAATTGATTGGTTCAAACGATCGGACAATGTTTGGAGTTTTTTTGAAGACAATCGACAGTGGCTCCACGCTGACTTGGACCATTCTTAAGTCGACTTGCTGGCAGTAGTGACGTCCGCATTGCATGTGCCGCTTCCCACTAGCTTTTGCTATTCTTCGAATCAAGGAACACAGAATTCTTATCCTCAACCCCGTCTCGCACAAGAAATTTTCAATCCGACACTCAAAGAAACTTCAACACTTGATCACAATCTGGTCACTTTCAAGCCTGAGATGACATTCTTCGTACCTGAGGTGCCCCTTGCTGGCGATCGTAGCGTCCGGTTTGCGCCCTCCCGTTCTCGCCACCTCTTGTTGCTCCAGCGCCTTCGAGTCGAAGTAGTCGAGCCACGCGGCCGCGTCTTGCGTCTTCAAATCGTCGGGGCCTAATTTGTCGGTTAGGATGCGGAATGTCGTTTCTTCGTGCTGCACGCTGAGGGAGTATGCCTCCATAAGCGATAGGACGATCGCGAGGGCGTGGTAGGCTGCGGCAGTCTGCATGGGGAGAGCGGAAGCTATGAGTAGGGTTGTGAGCGCCCTGTGGATGAGGATGTGGAAACTCGTTTTTTCGTGCTGGACGCTAAGTAGGATGCCTCCATATGATACAAATGAAGCGAAGGAACCCATTGCGAAGTTCCCTGGTCCGTTAGTTCTCCCTAACAGCATTCGCGACACCCCTTAACTGGATGTGGTCCGCCCCCAGCAGCCGCTCATTACATTTGAGCGCCTCGTGCAGGTAGCAGAGCGCAACCAGGAATGTTACCTGGAATTCCCGCGCAATTTGAAGCGAAACAGAATATAATGCCCTCGCAAATATTCAAATCAAAACCTTGCAGTCCAAAGTCACTCGGGCTGACCTGGATATGGTCCGCCCCCAGCAGCCGCTCATTGCACTTGAGCGCCTCGTGCAGGTAGCGCAGCGCGATCGGCACATTGCCCATGCCTTCCTCCATCATCGCGACGTTGATATACGTGGCGGCGGAGTTGGGGTGCTCCGACCCGCAGATCAGGTTGAGCAGGTACAACGCCCGGTGGACGTATCTGCAGTGGGGGGGTACATAAAGGTCAGCAAGCAGGGGGGGCGGGGGGGGGTAGGATTCTCGTAAGTGGCCGCGGAGATGGGGTGCTCCGACCCGCAGATCAGGTTGAGCAGTTACAGCGTACGGTGGACGTATCTGCAGTGGGGGGGTACAAATGGGTCAGAATATTAAGGGGAGACAAACATTGCAACGTCGAGTCCTGAAGCGGCACAGCGAAGCTGATTGATGCGTGAGCACACGACCGGGGCAGAAAGGAGCCTTAAAAGCAAAGGGCAGGGTTTCGGAGGGCTCGATGAAGGGGCCCGCCCACAAGAGGAGGAGCAAAAAGATTAAAAGGCTGAGCAACCTTCCGAAGTAAGAGAACTAGGGCGAGAAGCAAGCAGTGGCTTACGAGCTGGAAGAGAGTGAAAAGAGGCCTTGCAAACTTGGCGAGCGAGACAGTTGCTTTTATAGAGCCAAAATTGTAGAAGAGTGGGGAAACTCTGGGCTCTGTTGATCGAAGTTCTGTGACTTCAGCCAAATTCTGTGACTTCAGCCAGAAGCATTTGTTTGGATTGCCCGACAAAGCCCTAGATTGCGAAGTTGCCGATGTGAATGTCGAGGTTTGAGCGAGCCGATTGCAAGACTGCCACCATCACCATTTGGCAAAATACAAGCCCTTTTCAGCAAAGCCTCTTGATCAAACGAAAACTTACTTCAGTGCCAGCTCCGTGTGCTGCAAGCGGTAGTAAAACACAGCCAGGTCCCCAAAGCTCTTCATGGTGTCCGGATGGTCCAACCCGAGCTCCCGTTCGTTGATGTCCAGGGCCTTTTGCTGGTAGATGGTCGCCTGGTTGAAGTCCCCGGTGTGATAAAGCACAACGGCCAGTAAGGAGTAGGCGCCGGCGGTCATGCGGTGGCAGGGGCCGCACACGGCGATGATCTTCGAGAGAGCCTGCGGGGAGCACGACCGGTCAGCAAAAGGGACTTCGCTGACGTCGGCGAAACCAGAACCACGGAACATGTCAAGTACCTCTGAGGGCATCGAGCACTGGGATCTCAAAATTGAGGTTCTGATCTCGTGTCACATACCCCGGATCAGTCCTTTGGTCGCGTCCAGAAAAATTAGAGCCAATCTTGAGAGCGTCCAGCTTGACCCTTTTGCCTGCTGCCTTGGCCTACTCCAACCGAAACGTGCGACAGATGTTCGGGTCATTCCACATTTTACAGATAAGCCCTTCCTTGACCAGAGAGGACAGGACCGGACCCCTTGGGAGGACGCAGGCAATCTTCCTTTCAAACCCCGCAGCCGCTTTGCACCGAAACTTCCCTCTTGCTCTTCGTAAGTGCGCATGAACGACTACGGAACTCTTTTGAACTGCACAGAAGGCCTTGAGTCCAACATAAGTAAAGCGGCAACGATAGACAAAAAAGAAATAAAAACTGGACACTTACCTTGCAGCCGCTCTGCACCGACTCGTCCAGCTTGCCCTTGTCCAGCGCCAGCTTCGACTGCTCCAGCAGCTGCCGCCCGTCGGCGGTCGTGCACGCGACGCTCTTGTACACCGGGACCATGCTGATGACGTCAGCGGCGTGGAGAGGGCGGGCGGACGCGAGGTCGTACTTCCAGGGAGCAATCTCGATGCCAACCTGAAAGTGGAAGCGATAATTGATGATGGATCCAACATTGGTTTCTGAAGACACAAGTGGGTTCCTGAAGCAGCAGTCAGCATACGTCACCACCGCCGTGCAGCAAAGGCCTGCTTAAAGAGAGGCAACCAAACGTAGCCTGATAGGCAAGGTGGCAGTAGAGTCTGTTAATACTCCGCGAACCTGTCTCAAACTTAGAAGCAGGTAAAGAGCCCTCAGCAGAAATGCGTCCAAACTGCCCATTTTTATCTTGCATGAGATGGCACAAGCAAGCAAGGCCGTGGAGAACGTACCTGGCCGGCAGCTTGTAACGTGGAACAGCAACACAGAAAGGTGTAAGCAACTGTTGGCGTTTAGAACCCGCTCCGAAACGGACTGGAAATGACATACCAGCAACCCACGTCTCCTAATATTTTGGTCTCAGAAATATCTCTTGAGTGAACGCTCTTACTCGCTCGACTTCCATCAAAGCTGCGCACCCTGAACCCGTAAAAGTAGCCACCCTGAACCCGCAAAAGTAGCCAGAATGGCAAACTGTGAAACCCTCACCTTGTGGCACAACCCTCGCAAAACCTCCAGCTTGCGCAGCCTGCTGCGGGCGTTCTCGGGAAGCTTGTAACCGTAATGCAACTCGACGAACTTCTTGACCCACTGCCACGTGTCAGCAGCTAGAGGGCCCTCGCCCAAGAAGGCGCTCAGCCCGGATGCCAGGACGGAGGCGAGGAGGGAGAACTTCGGACAGGCGGCCACGGCGGCCCTGGAGAGAAAAGGGGAGTTAGATACCACGACTTGAGGTTAGGACGAGGGTTACAGTTAACATTTTGGACGCTAGGACGGAGGCAAGGAGCAAAAACTTCGGACAAGCGGCCACGTCGCCCCTGGAGAGGGAGGGGTTTCAGTTTTAAATTCTGGGCTCGGATGAGGGCTGTTTTTGGACGTCAGCAACGAGACGCCAGGACGGCGTCGCGGAGGGAAACCTTTGGACAGGCGGCCACGGCGGCCCTTAAGAGGGAGGGGTTCCGGGTTTAAAATTTGGGGTTCGGATGAGGGTCAAGATTGGACGTCAGCGGCAAGACGCCAGGCCGGAGGCTCGGAGAGAAGAAACGCGGCCATGACGGCCCTGGAAACAAAAGGAACTTCAAGATTTGGAATCAGGACTCGGTTCCTTTGAATCTCAGGGATTCACGTTTCTCATTTGACCTTTCGGAAGGGAAGTGAGATATCGGAAGTTCGGCGTTCAAAGGTACCGTTTGGTTTTCGAGGAAGTAGAAACGAGGATGCGACTGGTTACTTGTGTTGGTTGGATGACGGAAGTCTGGGAGTAAAGTGGCCACCAGGTTACGAAAACTGGAGGGGCAATGTAAGCCAGCGACTGTTCATTGGGGAGGTATTAGATAAAGCCTCTCTGAATGGAGACGTGTGTTCAGTAAGACGCCTCGACCTGCTGATGTGCAATTCTCAAGAGAACCGAAGGCCAACGAGAATTCAACCCACGAAACGACATGCGTTACCACGCTCCGTCTCAGCTGAGAGAAGGCGTAGTTACAACTGGCTCGGGCATCCAAGCAAGCAGACTCACTCCATCTGACGTCAGCACGCTATCTCGACTCGACCCAACCCCGACCGCTTACTTGAGGATGCGCTTGAATGCGCGGGTCTCCATCTCCATAATGCACATCTCCTTGATGTGCGGCAACTCGTCCGCTTTCCTTGCCAGCTGGCCCAGTTGGTTCATGTTGAGCCCGCGCGTGTGCATGAAATCTGTCAGCGTGCGGCCGTCAACCGGGGACAGCTCCAGGGAAGCGAAGTCCGCAATGAGCTTCGGAAGGGCGACCTCGTCGCGGAAGGTGCGGGCGCCGGCGAGAAGATCGTCTACCGACTGCAGAAGAAAGTCTTTGGTATGAAAGATTTTCCCTTGAATCTTGATCAGGTAAGCGTTGAAATAGCCCTTAAGCTACTGACAAAAGAAACCCTTCACCGAGTCTCCTTAACGAATGTTTCGCGGGGAATCTTCTAGGCGAGGAGGACTAGGCGATGCGCGTGGGAAGGGCGACCTCGCCACGGAAGGTGCTGGCGCCAGCAAAAGGCTCGTCGACCGACTGACTGAGACAAAAGACTCGAGGATAAGTAGTTTCCCTTTGATTCCTGGTCACCTAAGCATCGAAATTAGCCTTCACCACCAGTAGAAAAGGCTTGACCATGTTTTTTTGATCAATATCCGCGGGGGACAGCTCCAGGCAAAGTCGGCAATGAGCTTCAGAAGGGCGACCTCGTCCTGGAAGGTGCGGGGGCCAACGAGAAGCTCGTCAACGGACTGCGAAACAAATACTGGGGCTGACACTTTCTGTTCCAGGCTATCCTTAAAAGCCCGGGTTTCGTACGAGAGCGGAAACCTTTTGCGGCAGTGGCTTTCAAGTGTGGAAGCGAGTGTTTGCCACAGCAGCTTTCATTGGAATTCGGTTCCGGGAACCCAACTCGTGGGTTTCATTGGAGTGAGTGCTTGGAACAAGCGACCATTACTTTAAAAGACGTCGAGAAGGAACGCCTAGACAAAGCTCGGGAACCATCAACTCCTTGCATAAGCTCTACTTTTTTCCATTATTGCTGCATAGCCCTAGAACCCTAAGAAACCCCTACATCTTCTCACCACGGAGTTGAAGTGGCCAGTGACAGCTCACCTTGCCGTGCAGGCCCGTCTTGGAGTCCACCACTTTCTTCCAGGCCACGTCATTCAGCAGTGCCTGAAGCGCCGCCTCGTTCTTTTCCCTTTGCTCGCGCTCTCCCTCCGTCTCCTCCTTCGACTCAGCCGGTTTGACGTCCTCGTCCTTCCGCAACGGACGGGCTTCGACTTTGAAACCCTGTCACCACGAAGAAGAGGCGTAAGGATTAGGGAAATGGTCAGAAAAGTGGTCTTTTTATTGGTCATATGCGGTTCTTGTCTCCGTCCTGACGACTTGGCTCATCCTCCGTTTCCTCCTTCGACCCGACTGGCTTCACGTTCTCGTCGTTCTGCAAGAGACGGGCTTCAAGTTTGAACCCTGTCGTCAAGAAGAATAACCAAATGGCTGAAGAACGTCACCAAGAAACGTGAGAGAACGAATCTGGGCTATGGACAATAATTGGAGATTTGCAGCCACCTTCCTTTCTCTCCTCCTTCGATTCAGCAGGTTTGACAACGTCCTCGTCCTTACGAAGTTGGCGGGCTTCAACCTCGATACCGTGTCGAGAAAAGCTAGTCTGAGTTCTGACATCAACTAGAGACTTGAAAATTTTCAGGGGCTTTTCGACCCTTCCCGTCCCACACACAGTCGATTATGTTTCTTGTTCATACAGAGCGGGCGGGCAGCAACTTTGAAACCCTGTCAGCGAAAAAGGGAAACCCAAGGTATCATCAAGACTTCCCGACTTCCAAGCCCATTTCTTCCCTTCCCTCCTTGCGTGTAGGCAGTTGACGTTCTCGTCACTTCGAGAGGACGAGACAAGCTTCAATAGTCTGGCACAAGGGAACATAGAGTTGGGGGAATACAGGCTTCCTTATCGGCAGACTCTGGATACTCGAATGTTCTCACTTTCTCGCTCTGGAAATCAGCCTTCAAACTGGCCCCGTTCGAACAAAATGCTGATGCCCATGTTCAGCACGCTCGAGAATACGAGTAGATTCAAGCACTCAAGTCTTGCAAGCGGCTCAAAACGGGTGGGAAAATCTGCTACAAGCTGTTCTCAAATACCCCGAATACCTTTATACACTAAAAGATACACACGGGGAATAGTTCCAGAACGATGGAAGGAGAGCCTATCGGAAGAAAGTCGAGATTTGCTCGTTTTCCAGCCCTTACCTTCCTCTCCCCGACATGCACCAGCTCCACTGCCGTCTCTGCAACTTCACCGTTCGCCACCCGAGCCTCCTTTTCCTCCGCCGCCTTCTTCGCCTCTTCTTCCTGCTTCTTCTTTTCGTCCTGCAAATGCTGAATCCAGCACGCCCCAAGCTCCCACCTCAACACCGGCTCCTTGCTCTGATCCCCCCGCTCTAGTTCCCCCTGACCCTTCTCCAAAACCGCCGCCAATAGCTTATCAGCGTCCGACTGCTTATCCTCCCCCTCGGTCTTCTCTCCCCCGGCGCGGTGCAAGAGCACCCGGAGACTATTCACATTGAGCGCGTTCTCACCCCCGTCAAGCTGCTCCACCTCCAGCCCCGCATCTAGTTCTTCGTCCGTGGAGGGATCCCCCTCGGCATGAACCACCACGGTTAACCCCTGGTAGTAAACCGTAACCATGCCAAGCGTCGGGAGGTCCGCCAGCGCGGTGCTCTCGTCCGCTACTAAACCCTTCAGCACGTTCTTCCGATCCAACACATCTTTCGCAACTGTGTCAGCCGTAGCGAAGTCGTCCAGGGGCCGGAGCGTTTTTACGATGTCGTCGGTGACGTCAGCGCCGTTTGGAACTACAACAAAAGGCCCGCTGTTGCTGACGCCGCGCTTACCGCCGGGCAAGGGGGCCTCCTTTTTGACGGTGACCCGGAGGTTGGAGCGCTCCGTCTCGTGAAGGGTCTCGAAGCCGTTGATGTACGGACCGGATGTTTCATAAGGGATGGTCATTCCTCGGACGACGTCGATCGCGGTCCGAATGGCGACATCGACGAAAAGGCTGCAACGCAGAGAAGGGGCTTTTTCAGTGCGCAGACACCGCAGAAAAGTGGGAAGATACAGAGAAGATGATCGAAGTGAACAGAGTTTAGTACGTGATTACTGTCTCGGGTCAAAACTTACGCACCAATTCGCTGCTTAAGAAACGATGTGCGTCAGATGTTGGAATCGTCCACTGAGACAGTTTCACGAGGGCACTTTCCTTCAAAAGATGGGAGGAGCTCGTAGCAAAAATGGTCGCTCAAGAAGCCGAGAAAGTCAAGTTTCGCAAAGCAGGTGCTAAGGATCGCAGGAAAGTAGATCTTGAAGCCGACGTGGAGCAAAAGCTTCCGCTGCAATGACATCAATACCACGCCCTCCGAAGACTGGGCAAAGAAAGCCCAAAATCGTGCTGACATGCCTTGTAAAAAACCGGCAAGAGGGGCTGAGAGATCGGTTTTACAAAGAAAACAAGTAGCTTTCGAGCCGTTCTTTTCTGGCGCTCTACTGGTTGATGGGTCCAACCCCTGATCGCAAAGGAAAGAAGCCCTACGACCTCGGGCAACACGGCCCCAACTTTTCTGTCCTATAGAACTTCCAATATCCTTCCCATGTTGACTCCTAGCACGGCCTCCCAGAAGAGACTTTTAAGGGATCAGATAACCGCAATCAGTTCCGGAGAGGACCTCTCAACCAAGCAACACGGTTGTCAGCGGGTGAGGATGCCAAATCTTCTACCATTATTCTCAAGCAAAGAACAGAATCGGGTTGTAGAACACTCGGCCCAGATGCACAGAGAAAAATCGGCTCACTTGTGCAGCAGAAAAGCCTTTCTGTCCCGCACGATCCGCTCCTCCGGAGTCCCGCACGGCACCCCCTGCAGCCTCTTGAACAGGGCCTTCCACGGACGATCCCGCTCTAGTTCCTCCAGCCCCCCTCCGCCACCGTTACCGCCCCACTGCTCGTCCTCCACAGGTAGCTCCTGAGGGTTCGACGGGTTTTGCGCGAATGGGGGGGGCACGACGAAGGTATTGGCCCGGAAGCCGGTGGGGATGTTGCCGAACTGGTTGCGATCCAAGAAGCCCTGGATGAGGTCGTCATAGGCCTGAAAAGAGTACGCAAGGTTTAAAAAGCAGTAGCGACGAAAGGCTGGGTACAAAAGCTCAAAAGATTCTGCAAGAAGTGGCCTGAAGCGATTGCATCAGCTCACCCATCATCTCAATCTCGGCGTTCATCATGATATTCACGGCCCAATGATAGCTTGGAGAACGAGGTACTTAAAACGAACAACTCTGTGCGCTTGTTGGCACGAAATATTAAGAAAGAAATACAATGGACAACGTCAGCACAGCACGACGACAGGAACAGAGTTCGCTCGAAGGTGTTTTACAGGGACCTGAATCAGTCTGAAAAGAACGATTCGGGCCAGAGTTCTTGCCAGATCAGCAGACGACCGCGATTGATTGACCAAGAAGAAAGCAGTCCACAAAAGCATGCCCTTCTTGTTTGTAGGAAGATCGCTTCTGGTCTTGAAGCCCCACCTGTGTAAAGGCCCCGCTCTGCTTTCTTAAGACGTCCAGGAGTTCGTGCTCCGCTGCTGACGGCTTCCCAACCGGGTAGAACCCAGTGCGAGAAGCAGTGACTGTCACCAGCTTGCCGTTGCACAGGCGAACCTGCAAGCGAATCACTGTGTGCGTCAGAATTCAGTGGTGAAGTCGTCAGAGGCAGCGACTGCCTGCCTTCAACACGTTCACCAAGGAAGCCAGAATCAGACTGAGAGCCCGAAAACAACCCCCGATTAACGAACACATCCCGTCCAAGGCCCCCAGGGGCCCCAGTCTTTGTAGGCGACTCAACCGTTGCTGAGGTGATACAGAGGCTTAACAAGCAGTAACAAACCGGTTTTTGCTTTGATCGCTGGTCGCGAAGGAGGGCCAGAAGGAAAGCCCAGACTTAAACGCTGTCTGTATATACAAATAAGCACACTTGCGGGCATGGAAGGTAACAGTAGGCTGTCGTAAAGAAGAACACTCGCCAAAGCAGTACAGAGTCGACTTGCAGCACAACAATGGTGATCAGAGCCTTTATGAGAGGCGGGATGCCAAAGGGAATGAGTGTCTAGACATCACCCAGAACCTGCTTCCCCACAAAAGAACTAGGTTGAGGCAGCTACAGTGTTCAAATGAACAGAACCATCTTGTTGCAGCTATGCGACTCCTCCACAGCAAAAGGTTTTGCAAGGGTGCGAGTTTTGTACGACTTCGATTCTAGCTTTATCTCCGAAAATGGGAAAGCGGAGCCCTGATTCTTATAAACGGACCCTTCTGCTGATATGCTTACATCGATGGAAAAGTAGTTGCCCTCTGATCGATCCTCTGAAGATGGCTGCTTGGCCGACCGCTTGATTGCTGCAATGGAGGGGATAGGCAAAGTAAGCAAAAGGACGTTGACACGCAACCCATGCGACGCCTCCACTGCTGAGAAGCGCCGTACCAAACAACTTGATTCGATCCTAGACGATCCGGTGAGAAACGATTACTTGATTGACAAACGGAGCAGAGCAAAAGTGTTACTCGAGATACGGAACGAAGCCTGAGTGTTACTTGAGAGCGGTGTGAATTCATTGTCTTTTCTTCTCTCGAGCTGGCCTCTCAGAACAGCCTTTATTGCGACTGATGGCAGCAACTGAAGCTAACAAAATCTACTTGGACAAGGCAACGACGCGATCCTTTCCCTCCTTCCTCCTCATTCGACTCAGACCCGCGGGCTTCTGAGAGCATTCACCTCACCCTGAACATCGACTCTAAGCGGACATAAACGCAAAGACATTTCGTTTCTCAATCAAATCGACCTTCCACAATACAGTAACCTCCGCTGCAGAAATATTGCAGTACAGCCAAAGACGGTACAAACAGACAAACCGTCCGGACTGGCATGAGCTGCCCTTAGCCTACGCCCTTCTTCTTACGTGACCTCGACCATGCCAGCGAGACCGAAAGGGTCTCTTCCATCGAGTCTTACACAGCACGCACGGCCCACTTGGGGAGCACTGAAACGCAGTACTCCACATCTTATTCCACACCGCGACATAGGTTTCCAAAATGCACTTACACTGGAGCGGCGACTGCAAGTGCGCCATCGACAGGAACTCGTAGAACGTCCCCAGTGTCGGGATGGGGTACATCCCTTCCCGGTCACCCCGTTTCACCGCTGCCTCTGCCGCAGCCATTGCCTTCATCGCGTCTCCTTTCCCCTTTAGCTTCGCTTTTCCTCCAGACTTAACCAACCCGTTCGCTAGGTCTTTAACCGCTTTTCCCTCCAGATCCCCCGAACCTGCCTCATTCCCCGCTTTCTCCTCCGGGTTAGCAGCTGACCCGGCCTCCGAAACCCCGTTCTCGGCCTTTTTGCGGGCGCTCGAGCCCAGGCCGAAGCCCAAACCCTTGGGCACAACATGGCCGTTCTCCTTCGGCGGTTCCTCATCAATCGTCCCGCTCGCAGCAGCGCTCGCGTCCCCCTCTTCCTCCGAAGCCCCACCCGTTTCTTTCGCTAAGAAACCCCCATTTTCAACACTTTCAACCCCGTCAACCGCTCCCTCGACCGTCCCATTAACCCCACTGCTCGCCCTTTCAATCAACCCATTATGGGAGCCACTAGCGGCTCCGTTTGACGTTCCCGTCGGGGCGTCGCTCCCTTTCGGCTCGTCCGAAGAAGAGACTTTCTTCTGCTGACCGGACGGTCCAAATGCGGTGGTGCAGGCTACAATGTCCAGAAGCCGACGGACGTGCGCAACCGCCTGCTTTTCGGTGTACTCCTCTGCAGAACAGAGTGTCCAAGTGAATTCTAAGATTCAGCCAACAACAGGTTGCAATTGGTATGGCAGACGCAACGGTACAAAATATCAGAGGGTGGGACAAGAGACTCTGTCTCTGATGTTAACAGATATGCTTGCAAAAGTGCCAGAAGGCTGCTCTTCTTCTGTTCTTCTTGGTGTATCCGTGTCGAACAAAGCGTTCAGAAGCTGGCGCGAGCCTTTGTTCTGAAAGAAGAGGCAAGTACTGTCGAGTGCAATAAGACACAATCTGGCCCAGCTAGATCGAGTTTTAGAGTAAGCATTGCACTTCCCAAATTCTTTCTTCGACTCTGATCCTAGATTCCACGACCTCATGAAACACACTCCTACGAGAATACGCCACCAAGAATAAGCTCCTACACGTCAACGGATGAGCATGCCAACAAACCCAGCCTCTGTCTCATTATGCGCGGGAAAAACTGAACGGAGAAGTCTGGTTCGCGGCTAACCTTCGACCATATCCAGCACACACGGCCGCAGAGCCGAAAGCTCCAGCGTATCTGGAAGCTTATCTCCACGGATCTGCACGAAGGACATTGCAAAAAATTCCGCTGAAACAGTGCAAACTTCAGGAAAAGGGACGTTTGAACTACCCCGAAACCATCCTGTTCCTTTCTGCGTCTGCACCTCGACACAAGTGGTCCTGGAATGCAACTGTTAACAGATGTCTTCAGGCATCAATGGAACATTAGACGCAAGGACCACCTTGCAAGCATCCTAAGTTGGAAAAGCCACGAAAGAAGCCAGGAACAGTCACTGCAATCAGTTACGAATGGTTGGCTCTTGACCTGCATTGAAGCGACAGATCCACCGCTTTTGGATCTCATACTTCAAAACGAGTCCGATCAGACACCAGACCACAAGAAAGGGGCACTCGGTCGTGGTTCTGCTTCAAACGAGTGACATTGCAGGTTGTTTCGAAATCACGGATGTGTGGTGCTTTTGTAACACCGAGACGCACCTCATGGCTGAAGGAGTAGTTCGTCAGGTGTGTGGTGTCAACGTGCTGGATCAGGTAGTGCCGCACATCCAAGAGAACGTCCGTTGAGATGCCCTGCGAAGGCACGCACTTCGGGTTACAAAGGTGGTTTTCTGGCACTTCTGAACATCAATATACCGCTGTTTGCAAGAACAGTGCAGGCTCAAAGACATGCCCTGCCAATCTGAGAGTGACCATTACTGACCACTTCTGTGGCGCGGCATCTCTTTTACTTCCACGCATTTCTGTTACTGCCGGGATGTATCCTGTTCTATGCCAGCTGAGTGGTACGCTTGAGTGCTAAACCACAGTAGCTTCCACACATGTGAAGTGGTTGACCATTTCTTCAGAACTCCAAACCCATGTTGCTGCCCCTCCTCAAGTTTGGCTGGATGACAGCAATTTTAAGTGAGGATGCATCAGAAACAAAATTCCAGCAATTTCTCTCGCGAGTGATTCAGCAGGCTGTCCAGACCCTAAACAATGCTGGCGCCTTCAGGTTCCCCGACCTTTTTCCCACTCTTGTTCCCAACATAGTGGCTTGTTACACGTTCGACACTACACAATCTCCTTGGGAACGGAGAGCTTCTCAAAAGTCAAGAGTAATGTCTGGATATGAGGTGACCTTTTTGAAGCCGAAATGACTTGCAAAAGAAAAGCAAAGGGTATTGACTAGTTTACCTTGAGCTCGACTTGGCGGCCATCCGGGGTGTTGACAATGATTGGCACCACAACCGGGGGAACTACAGAAAAGCCAGCCTACAGCATTAGTACGGCTCCTCAAGACACAAGTACTCCCTCTGTCTCCTGTTATCTTTCTATCTCCGAACACTTTCTGCCCTTGAATCCGTTGTTTCTTCATTCCCCTTCCCGCCTGTTTTGCTCCTTCTTTCGGACATGGCCTGCCCTCTCAACTGAAGCACACGTGTGCAGTAAAGCAAGGGTTGAAAGAGTCCAAGATTCATACACAAGGGGTCCAGCGGCACATTGAATTGATCAATGCCAGACACACGGCAGTGGATTTAAGGAGCTACACACTGTCCATCTGAGGCAATGCTGAAAGCTTTCTATCCAAAAAGTGTCAAAGAAAGAAACACGATGCCTAAAAAGTGACTTATGTTTTTAATAGATCTTCACTATACCAGTTCAGACATGAAAAAAACAATCAAGAACGCATAGACATGTCTCAGCATTGCGAAGGAGAAGACTCTCCGTGAACAGATTATAAAAGAAAAACTCAAAAACTTGGCTCGTTTTCAAGCACTGGCAAAGGGGCAGAAATAGATGTGACACAGCAGATATGAGGCGACAGCAAAGGGCCTGTTTGCTGCACAAAAACCAAGGAGAAATGCGAAAAGCTTCAGCACGCTTTGGAACAGTGTCTTGATACGTGCTTGCTGGAGTCCCCACGTATGGCCAACTCTTGGGGTATTGGAAGCAAGGAGGTTCTCGCAGACAAAAAATGTATTCAGGATACCAGGCTAGTCCATGATCGAGTCGGAAAGCCGTGTCTCCACTCTAGCAACTCTTGAACAATCCGAACTCTCATGACAGGACTCCGAAGGCTTTTTCATTTGCAGGAGCTGCTGACGGTTTTGAAGAAAACATGTTTCCAAGGACAACATTATAGTTGTACACTGAGAACAAGCTCCTGTGTTACCAACATCCGTCAAGACAATGACAAGAGCATTCTGCGAATGAGGTCAAGAGAAAGATTATCCTTCTCACTTAATCTCCCAGAGACCGTGCTGAAGAAGTACTACAGCGAGGAGACTTGGTTGTGAGATCCAGGCAACTCGCCAAGCGGAGAACGGTTGAGGTCGTGTCGACACAGGTCAGATATTTGAACAGAAAAACTGAACGGACTCCAGTTCGCCACCCAGAGGAGACATGATAGCAGCCCGAACCTTCGACGTTGAGGCGCAGTGATCAGAATCCAAGGTCGCGTTGGGCCTTCATTCTGCACTGCAAAATTACTGAGAGCGCTATGCTACTGATAACATAATCCAGTCTGACGGGATACCACGAATGCTGCCTGTATTTCAGCATTGACCAGCAGGCCAACCCTCAAGGCAATCATCTTTGGCGAGGAGCCGAGGGTATCGCTTTACAAGCGACGACAAAAGCTGTTCAAGAAAGGGCCAGTGTGTCAAGGAGTGGCGCAAGGTCACTGTCTCACTTGACCTGGCAAAGATTTTTTTCAACTTTCTGCCATAGAAACAGCCAACAATAGAAACAGTAATCTTAGACTGGACGATGAAGGCCACATATTTGGGGCAATGCCAAATCAGTAAAGAAGGGAGCAGAGCAGTGAGCCTCAAGCTCTGATATTATAAGAAGGCAGCTACTTTTCAAATTAAATCTATAAAAGGGCAGGACAATATTGTGCGAGCAACAAGGGTAAGAACGACAATCAGGCAATTCTCGGCAGACTCACGACTTCAGTGTAGGCACGGAAACAGAGGCGCTCAAAGAGCCTGCTAAAAACCGGCGTCATTCCCCTTACCACAATGGTCCTTCATTTAAACCCAAAGCCTAAACAGAAGAAATGGCTTCAAATTGCAGGGCAAGGTCTGGTGGTTCCCAATTGTGTCCCGTTGAGCAGGACAAGCGAGCGAGAATTCCTATGAGTCTGATCACCTCTGCAAGCTACTCCATCTTCCTTGTTTTCAAGGGCTCAAGGCCTTCAATCAGGCATGGGTCCAATCCAATAACAGAAACACTGATGAGACGCCGACTGACAAACTATGAAAGCATTGGTACTAAGGTTTGGAGGCATGCACTTTTCTTCAATGCTACTGCACAAGAACACTATGTGGCGCCACGAACATGCACAGCCAATGCAGACAAATGGATCGTATCACAGCACAATGCAGGCAGTCAAAAGGCTCATTCCCACCCAGGCACTCACTCTTTTCCTTCCTCTCCTTCTTCTCCAATCTCTGCTTGCTGCCCTTGACTTTACCCGCCCGCCCTGGCATCTTGGCCCTCTTTTCTACCCAGCGCCTGAATGTAAACTATGTCTGGTCACTGCCACATCAGTGCTTGTTTACTGACGGAACCAAGCATGAAACCCTTGCTCGTCACCGTGCAATGCAGTCCTTTTGGAAACGGTATGTGGAATCTGTCTCTTCTACGCACCAGGCGACAACGGCGTTACCACCACTTGGAGTCTTCTTTTTCACTTGGCTCAAGCCGGGCTGCCACGCAACAATGTGTTTCACACCACCACACCAACCATCAGAGCGATTGGGCGTCTACCACGAAATGGCACAAGGGACGCCCTAGCATCTCCCTAATACCGGTACCCTAGCTACCTCTAGCAGTTGCATTTTGGAGCTAGGTTCAGTATCTCCCGAGTCCCCAGTCTTGGAAATGTCGTATTATTTCAGACTGATCGAACACACGTCCCTGGGAAAACTTTCCAAAACCCGCTGTAGCGCGCCGCGCTGCGTAAAGCAAAAGTTGAAAAGTCTGTGACTGACTTGTGACTCACATGGAAAAGGGCTGCGGTTGCCCGGTTGAAACTGCCGCCGCTTTGCACCGGGTGTCAGACAACCGCCGGGCAATCGGACGGCATAGAAGATTCCATCTGGATAAGGAAAATCCAAAAACGTCGGGAAAGCGACCATACTCCGTACAGCGGGTTTGCGATGGTACGCGACTTCCAAAGCGTGCAGGATCCCGGGTGATATTTATGTAGGTGACGTCGCGCGCGCTCATTGGCTGAGCCATATCCTGTGCCATCTTGGACCCTGGCCCCTAAACAAGGAATCGTGGATGATTCTTAAACGTCCGATGGCGAGATGGATTTGCGGCTTACAACATTCAAAAAAGTTGTGTGCTTCTCAGCCGTTCAAGCCAGCAAAAAGTGACACTCACGACGACCGATGATTGGCAAAACCCGTCAAAAGTGACTCGATGCGGACCGCAGATCTCAAATTCATGAACTAGGTAGCAAACGGCCCAGAGTCACCGTCGATCTCAACCAATGGGTAACGCTCATGCACTGACCCGTCCGGTCATGTGCCTGAGGTTTCTTGCCACAAGGGCCCGCCCGCGCGGTCGCGGCGGCCGCAGCGGCAGAGGACGGTACGTTACCTCACAGCCTGCCTTGCCAATGCCGCAGGCAAGGGGCACATAGCTGCCGAATCTTTTGTCAACTTTCGAAATCGGACACCGGACGGGCACAGCCAGTCGATGTCCGCACTGCCATATTTTGGGACGCGGTTGGTACCGGGCCTGCTTTTTCCGGACTATATAATGATCGGGTTAGCCTGCAAACCACATTAAAATCCTAAGAACAGTGACTTAGCCGTTAGTAGGAACCCTGATCTGTGAGCAGTCACAGGAAAGGGAGTAACCCTAACAAACCGTCACAGGAAGTGGCGTAACCCTAACACACTACCGGTATCACTGCTTTGTAGCGCGAGACCCTAAGGTCACTTAGTAGGAGTGCCCGGTTGCTTGTTGACGGTGCATACCTACCGTGCGCGATCGACGATACCGCTAGGACCGTACGGTACTGAGTACGGCACCGGACCGGCCCGTGACATGTGGCAGCAACTTGGAGCGTAGATCCTTCGGACGGTACACGATCGGACGGTAACAAGCAGATACTGTCCGAAGTCCGATGTCCGATTTTGAAAGTTGACAAAAGATTCGGCAGCTTTGGCCGTTTTGCATGCCGCAGTGCCCGCGGCCTTTGAATAACGCAAAGTTGGGAGAATGGAACAGAGGACGGCCCGGGAGTCTAGGCTGCTCATTGCTGAGTGAAGACCGACAAAAGTATTAGGTACTGGACTTGCAGGATAGCAAAACTCAGTGATCAGGGCTTGTGAGAGAGTGAGAGAGCCTGCAGGTCGACAATTGAAATGGTCAGATCGATCAGATATTGCTGGACTAGTTACCTTCACTGCACGTACCGCTGGCTTTACTTGGCAGTATCGCAGTACAGTGGTCGGCCTTGCTCGATCAGATGCTTCACGTCCGCGTACTTCTCACAAAATGCACATTCTACTGGGCCACTGCATGGCGGCTGTCATCCATGATGCAACCCCTCATGGGACGTACCATCGAGTTGCCCTCGCCGCAGTGCTCATGACTAGCGCGGCCAGCGCTGCATTATAAATGCGGCCACGACCACACGTGAGACCTGAAAATCTTGCACAAGTGCAATCATTCTTACTGACTCCAAAACTTCGTACATCAGTGGACGCCTGAAAGCTCTACCAAGCTACCAGTTGCAGGTGATGATCGGTATCAAAGACCACTAGTTTATCCTGTCTCGCAATCGACTCGCATGCGGTTTCTGATTGCAAGATGGGATGCTGAATTTCTTGTCATAACGCACAAAACTTGCACATGGATGGCCGTCCAGCACAGCTTCGAAGCTTGATCCTCATCTGCAGCTTACGTCACCTGAATTTAGAGTGAAGTTGTTGGAATGCAGAAAACCTTCAGTGCTCGAAAGAATTCTGGTGTTGGAGATTCCTGATCTGGGTACACGCCTAGTAACTCTTGCACCAGAAAGTGCACAATCAAATTAAATGGCGTTTGTATCACGAATAGACTGATCAATACGGTGTTCGTAAAGGTGGGGCGCAGTACGTAAAAATATCTAGTGTACAAGCAAAACGGCCAAATCGATTCTGACTCAAATCTACGGTGATTAGCTGAAGATAGCAAGTCTGCTGTTCTGCTGTGGCGCGGCAGTTTAAGGCGTCAAGCGACAGCCAAACGCGAGCTACTACAAAGACCAAAGCTGGGGACTCTTCACGACTCGGACTCATGTGGCACATCTAGTACTCAGGAGTCTCGACTTCAAGCTCCCCCTCTCGACCTCAGAAGACCCTAGGTTCTTTTAACTTGGACCGTCTATAAGATGAAGACGAGGACTCCCTTTTGCAGACACGACACCTGCTGCTTCCATAGCCTATGATCCCTCGCCCACGGCATCTCCTATGGCGCTGTGGATGTCGCACACGTATTCCGAAATCGTAAAATCTGACTGATCCTCCACCACCTAAGCACTCCTCTTCAAACTCGGCAGTCAGCACTTTCTACACGTTGCCGCAAGCAAGCTAGACTCTAGAACCGGTCTCTATGCACAGCCCGTCACGGCTTTGACAGGCACCGATTCTCTGCTCCGACCGTTCTGCTTGTGAATCTAAACCAGTCGACCTTCAGCGCCGGCTGCGGCCACGGGCAGTTCGAACCGCAATCTTTTCGGCACGCAAGAAGGCGACCAGGGCCTCTGTCTCATTACGTGCCACGTCGCCTTCGTAGAACATCAGGGTATCGAGGTACTCGGACTGCAGAGTCGGAGAGAATTGTCAACTTTCCGGGGGATGCACGGCGCCTCAGGAATCTGATCAGAGTGAAGTTCTTTCCCGAAGGCTTCAGTTTGAGAGACCAAATTGCGCGGCCAGTCCTTTTGTCAACACTACGGAACAGCGAGATAAGAAAGGCCGACAGGATAGCTTCCACCCGTAACGGTACCAAGTAGCAATATATACTCGGAGATCTCAGGAATGTCGACCAAGTAACACATCCTAAACACGTGCAAAGGCAGTTGAACGAAATGCAAGTATCGAAAATAAGAACACATTGAGTACAAGTTTAAGTCTTCTAATGAGAAAATTTGAACTCCGAAAGGTAGATTAAAGGATTGTTGAACTGCACCTTTTAATCATTGGCGTGATCAGCCGAACTCTGAACGCACGGTCCCATCACCAAGTATTCTTAAATAACGAAGACGCAAAAAAACAACGCGCGGGAAGATGTCTCGAAATCTAAGTACGTTCAGGAAGAATAGCAATATGTGAAAACCCGCTTACCTTCTCCGCCTCCGCCTCCTCCACTTCCAGCAGCCGCCTCTGGGGCCCGTTCACACCGCGCTCCGGCGCGTTGACGCTGTCTTTTGGCCGCGTCGGGAACTTGGAGTTGCCCTCCAACTCCAACCGAACGTAATCGAAACCTTTGCCCAAACCCAGGTACGCGTGCATGGGTCCCATTTTGAGGAGCGACCTTCCGCCGCTGTTCCCGCCAACGGTTTCCTCCAATTCGGGGTCGCTAACCGGGTCCTCCTTAACCTCGAGCAACCCCCGGAAACCCTGCTCGGTTGAAGCGACCCCGAGACCCAATAGCTGCTCGGTTGAGTCCGAGCAGGGGTCGCTGACCGAGTCGCTAACCGGGTCATCCGTAACCTGCAGCAGCTCCCGGTTCTTGAACGACGCAGCGTCGTAGTCCTGGCGGGAGACGCCGCCGGAGACTGACACGTGGCGCGCCTGTAGCTCGTCTGCCTGGCTCTCCAGGAGAGTGCGGTGGTTCGCGCGCGCGGTGGCAAGGCGCTGAGCGGTACCGACCTCAAACGGTGCGTACCCGTCGCGGGGTTCGTGCGCTGCAACAGCGGCGTCGAGCTCCTGCCGGGAGAGAATCGACCGGGCGGGCCTGGCCGGGGGATCACCCCACTTCGGGTCTTCATCGTCTCTAACCGAGTATCTATACGGTGTCCTAACCGAGGGCTCTTCCCAGTTGCGCAGCTCGTCCCCGGGGACCAGTGCCGTCAGGTAGCTGGAGGGCAGCTTCCGTTCCGGGCTGGTGAGTGCGCTCCGGCGTAAATTCCGCTGGGCGGATCCCGCGGAGAGGAGCTTCCGCCGGCCGCCGGACGAGCCGGACACCGGAACGGTGAGGTCGACCTTGTTCCCGTTCTCCTCTTTGAGGACCGTGAACTCGACCGGGTAGGTGGTTCCGTCGACCGTGACTTCCGCCGTGTAGTCCCCGTAGAATCCGCGGAAAATGAACGGCTCGCCGGAACTGTCGGTTTGGCCCACGACACCGGTTGTGCGCCACTCGTCGAGCAGCAGTTGGTCGATGCGCGCGCCGCTGGGCTTGTTGGAGAAGTCCCCGTTCACAGTGCACCTGGAAACGGAAACAAGTGCTTCTTAGGGACGCTTTGAAACTTTGACTGGAACCTTACCCTGAAGGATCAGAGCGCTCCGAAGAAAGCGCGGAAAGACGAGGATCCGAAAAACCACCAGCGCATCCGCTCTTGTTTCGTATCCTCGAAGATCTAAGCGGTTTGAGAAAGGCACGAACAAAACAAGAAAGCCATCAGGACGGGTTAGGAACTCAAAGTTGAGGACACCAATCTCGAGGAGTCTGAGACCCATGACATACGACAAGAGTGCGGCGCAGGTCCCGGCTCTACGTCTGGAATTTGCGGATACTGAAAAGAGCTAGGAAAGCTTAAAAGGTCAGGTTATAGCGGATTCTAGATAACGTTGTCTAGGCGCTCACACTTGGCACTGCGCGTTGGGCCCCTGCCAAACGGTCCACAGCAGGATGCCCTCCACTCCCGGGTGCGCGAAATACTCGCGGAAAGCAAACTCGAGCATGTCGGCCTTCTTGTTCTCGTCGACTTCGGACGAGTCCATCTCCGTGATCCAGATCGGACGTCCGAAGGAGGCCAGCTTGTCCAGGTCCGCGCGGAGCTTGAATGCCTGGTCGGAAGGCGGGAAGGAGCAAAATCAGCGACTGGTTCAGGATTTATTGGAAGCTTTTGCGAGGGTGACATTGATATGGTGCTCAGACCCGACGCTTTCTTCTCGGATCCGCGTGCGGCCTGAAAGCCCAAGAGCGGAAAGGAAACGAGAGGATAGATGACCCCTGTTGAGAGTTACGGAGAAACTGAGAACCTTGTTGACAGTGGTCACTCTAGTGAGGCAACGCAGTAAGCGGAATAGACTACGTAAACTGCGAGTGTTTCCGCGTAGCTTTCCAGCCAAACACGGCCAGCCGACATAGGTGAAGGAGCGGACGGTATCAAATCTGCCGGGATGCGAAACAGAAAAAGTCCTTTGAAAGGGCGACCTAGAGGTGACGAGTGATGGCCGAATATTTCGCTTGGCTGGGGAGTTTGAGCTCGCACCTGGCAAACTATATGGGCTACCCAATTTCGGCGCCATCACGACAGCCAGATTGGCTCGGTTAGACATCCGTGTAACGGACGGAAGATTTCTACACTTTGTGCGATTGGAGCGGTGGAGCTTACCTGCACCGGGTTTCCGAAGTGGCTCTGGCAGCCGAAGGAGATCTGGAAGCCCTGAGCCTCGAGATTCTGCGCCTCGCCGATGAAGGTCTCCGGGTTCGCGGCCGGGTCGCACTCCTCCAGGACGTTGTACTCGTTGATGAACATCTGGATTGACACGTGGCAGAATCTTATTGGTCTCTTCGAATTTCTACGAGAGCCCACAACGCGACTTTTGGAAAGTCGGTTTGGTAACTAGCTCTGTTACTCGGACCTTTCTGAGAAAGCAGAATGACAGGAAACATACTCGCAACCTATTTCTGGTCCTTGTTTTCTTGGGATCAATACTATCCACTTGAAAACGGTCAAACTCAAACCGGTAGATTCACCATGGTAAGCGTGTCTTAAGAAGAACAGTCGACGTCTACGAGGACCAACAGAAGCGGGCACCAACAAGACAAAGTGTTACGAAGCGACTTTTCCGCTCAGGGCGTGTGTTGGAACTAGGGGTGCGACACTTTACCTCCGCGGAAGGGTCCAATTTCTGCGTCGTTGCGTACATCCAGTTCTGAATGGACGGTCCGAGACGTCCGGAGAAGTAGGTGTTGTGCAGCGCCTCGTTGTTCACATCCCAGTGCTTGAACTGCCCGCGGTAGCGGTCCGCCACCTGGGAGAAAATGATGGGCTACGTTAGGTTGGAAACGGTTGTAATTCCCAACTCTCCGGCTGCGTCAGCGTGACGTCACCCGGTTGAGGCACACGGTCGTGGCGGCTCTGAGCGCTTCGTCGTCGAGCGCGCACAACGAGAGCTGGGGCCGAATACCCAGTTTCTAGCTTGCAACCCAGCTGACGTCAGTTTTCGAAGCTCAGGATGGGTCAGCGTGACGTCACCCTCATGGCGGCCCTTAACGCGGTCAGAGTGTCGTCGAGAACGCGCGCCCAGAGCTGCACCGTCTCTCTACATTGAGAACAGCCGTCGAAAGTCTTAAAGCTGAGGTCACGTGACGTCAGCCTCAAGTGGTTCAGTGCGCCGTTGTCGAGTGCGCGCACCCAGGGCTGCACCCTCCTTCGAATTTGGAAACACCCAACTTACTCTTCAAAGCTGAGGTCAGCGTGACATCAGCTTACCTGGTTGAGGCGAATCTCCATGGCGGCCCTCAGCGCGCCGTTGTCGAGCGCGCGCACCCAGGGCTGCACCGTCCGCGTGTCCTCCCAAAAGCCGCAGTGGCCGCGCATCAGGATGTTGTTCGCGTTCGCCCACGCGACCATCGCGTCCGGCGCTCTGCACGGGGCTTAGCGAGGTTTCAGTCGCTGACTGATATTTAGAGAGGTGAAGGTTGGTAGCAAAAGTTGAAGTTAGTTGGCTCTTCTAGGCGGGTCAAGATTCATCCCGTGCGAAGTTTCTCTGCTGATGAGGATAAGGATGTTACTCGCGTCCGCATACGCGACCAACAATTCTGGCGCTCAGCAGACTTTAGCACGGGTTGAGGTTAGCGCGTTGGTTCGGGTTTAGAAAACCCGCTTTGTCCACAACGAAAGAAGCTACTGAGCTCTTTGAGAATCAACGTTTGCGTTCGCTTGCGGAACTTGGTGCGAAGCAACTAGAATGAGCACCCGGCTCGACAGAGCAAGAAATGATCTCTACGTAGCTTCAGAATCTAATTTTTAGATCGGCATTTCCTCGACGACCTCTAAACCTCTGAAACGACCTTCAGAGGTTGGTAGCAAAGATGCGAAGAAGCGTACTCACGCGTAATTGTACTCCCCCTGCTGCGGCTCGTTGTAGTACCACTTGGCCTCGTTCTCGAAGACGACCCAGTTGAAACGCGTCTTCACGAAGTTCTGGTACGCCACATTTTCCGGCAGCTGGTAATTGATCGCGATGCCGAGCGGGAACCCTTGCCTGGTCTGGTCGATCTTAATCTGGGCGTTCGGGATTGGCTGCCCGTTCTCGTCTTGGACGTTCACGATGACGTTCGTCTTGCGGATCTGCGCCACGTGGAAGATGACGTCAGCATATCGGAATGGGGTGCGATGAAACGAGTTGAGAGACAAGGTATCGAGTATCTCCAATGAACGATTCAAAGTGGCCGATGGCGGCATTTGGAAGAAAAGTCCGATGGGAGGACTTGAGGAACCTCAAGACATTGAAATTTGCTGAAGACATTAAGTGCTGTCGGTAGGAAGATAGAGCCGCATGTTGGATCGCTCGTTAAGTCGTTCCACAGAGATGCAAAATTCCTCATTCAGAGTCGAAGTGACGCACAAAGCGCGAGCAATACCAAGACCCAACCTGAGCAGATTTGGAACCCGCACAAATGTGCAAAAACGAACGAATGTGCAAAAACTCCGAAGCACCAGTCAACCGAAGAAAGGCGGCACGGCCGAAATCGTTCTCACCCGATCCGCCCGGATCGTCACGTCGTGCAGCCACGCGTCCCGGGTGATGGGCTCCACATTCACACTCTGCACCAGGATATCTACCCCAGGCTCGGGGCCCTGCATGTAAATAACCACCTTATCCGGGTTGTCGGTGTACTGGTTATAGCCGCCGTTGAGCTGGCTCCAGCACCCCCCGGCGATTGAGCGCTGCCCGGCGCAGCTGAAAGTCGTCGCGCCATTTTTGGTAACGGCGACGCCGTAGAGGACGCGCGTGGTGGAGGCGCCGGCGGGGAGGGAGACCCACGCGGAAAACCTGCGCGCGCAAGTAGTAATCGTCTGAGAATCTTACATTCACAATTGCTCTCGGGGTTTGAGTTTCGGGGAGTTTCCAGTTACTAGCTTACTTGAGCTTTCTCGAAGGTGGGGATGAATGCTAGAGAAGATGCCTGACAAGAAGCCGATCAATCTGAATATGGGCAAAAAGGGGACAATCCTTTGATCCTTGGGCTGCGAATTGGATCTAAAAGTGATCGTAGTGAATAACAAATATAGGAGAAACCGCATTGGGGCACACGTTTTGTTAAAAGACGGTCATTTCTTGTTTGGAGTTCCTCACAGAACACGTAGCGAAATTTCAACTCCGGATGGGGTCTGGAAGAGATTCGAAAGACTCACCTGTAGAAGTTGCCCGCCCTGACGTACTTGGTGACGTCCCATGACGGCCCGGCAAAATTCTGCGCGCGCTGGCTCGCGATGACGTACTGCTTGTCCGGTGAGACCGTGAGCTGGCACGTGCCGAAGGGCAGCCACGTGGGGGGGATCCCATTCTCAAACCCGGGGTTCTCGACGATGCTGTTTACCGGGGGGGGGACATTGAGGGAGTCGGGGCACTGCGGAGGAGGGGGGAGAGACAGATATCGGACGGGTTTCTCTTAAAGAAAACTTCGAAAAGCTTTTTGCTGAAGGCTTGAAAAGGCTGGGAATTGGCGTAATGCGCGAAGCGCGAAGAAGGATCGCGAATCTGATCGTCGTCCAGGAAGATTCCCTCGGTTGGCGTTAATTTGCTTTTGAGAGCCTCGCATCGAAATGAGGGGAACCGTTCTCCCCCGAAACGGCACATGGTGTTCAATTGGTGGTCAAACGTACCAGGTTTCACATGACAAGCGTCTTCCAGACGTCCAAAGCCTCCCATCTTGAATCAATCGCTTATAATAGAAACGGAAATCAGCTTAACCCGAACCTCTAAACCCTGCGTACTCACCACGTTGCTCGGCGTCGGGCGGATCGTCGCGGCCGGCACCGTCAGCACAACCGCCGCGACCATGATGTCGACATTCGTGCCAGCTGGCGGCCCCTCGATGTACATGACGACCATGTCCGCGGTTGACGTCAGCGTGAAGGTTCCGTTCAGCTGGGTCCAGCAACCGGTGCTCGCTGTTCCGGTCGCGACCGGAAAGTAACTGTCGTCTTGGCCGTTGAGACTGGTGTGCATGGTGAGTTGAACCGGGGCGGAACCGGTGGATACGCGCAGAATGACTTGGAGAGCGTACGTAGAACCTGCGAAGAGGGAAAGGTGAAGGTTGAGAATAGGCTTTGGCATCTTATTGGTGCAATAACGAACATATTGAACGGCGTTTCGTGCGCGACGGGTTTCTTTTATCGGCCCGTCGAAAGTTTGCTGTAAAAGTTGACGTGCAAGGAACGATGTCAATTTGTGTTCTCGTGAAGGAACCGGATGCGAAACAACGTCAGCACATAAACACCTCTTTCAAGCGAAGAGACGGAGTTCACAAAAGAATTCAGCACGCGTCGGGTCCGAAAACGAACCTCCAAAGTTCCATTCTATCACCAAGTCGATACAGCTTCGTCAACCATGCTCCGCGCAAAGGCAACTAGAAACCACGACCAGCTTCTGTTCCGACCTTTGCAGCTAGCCGTCTTGACCCTTTCAGAAAAAGCTCACTCGCAGACGTAAGTTTTGAAAATATCACTCACCTTGCCCGATGTTACCGGTAAGAACCCAGGCGGGCCCGTTCCACGTGTCCGTTCTACCGGTCGCAGTGATGTAATTCTGCGACAGGGGGTTGACCACCAGTTCGCAGCCGAAGCACGACCACCCCCCCAGAGCGCCGCCGTAAAACCCGGGGCTGTAGACGAGGTTGTTCCCGGTGATCGGGTCGTTCCGCGAACCGGGGCACTGCGAAAAAAGGAGACGCGGTGAAGTCAGCGAAAGATAGGGTCTTGGAGGATGACATGCATTGAATTTTTAGTCTGAGAAGAGACTTTGGGTGCATTGCATTGGACCAGGTTTTCACGGAAAGGGTTAGAAAGGAAGGGCTCTGTGGCGACAAGCAGGCGAAAGAAGTGTTTAGGAACGGTTTGCTGGGACGGGCGGTCTGCCGCCGAACTATCGGAACATATCCAGAGAAGCAAAGGTGAAGAGCGCGAGGTTCGAAGAGGCGATCTCAATCTGAAGGTAGCCCCAAAGCATCAAAGAAGTTCTTTTTATCGAACGAGTGACGTGCAAGGCCTCGCAAAGCGTACGTCAGGCGTACATCACCTCCTAATTCTACAAGTACTCCTCGGCCGGAACCGTGGATTCCGCCGGGTATCCCGCTTCCAAAACACCGCGCTCGTTTTCCCAAGCTTCCGCAGCGTTACAAAGCTGACTTCCAGCGTTGGCCAAAGATAACCTTCAATGCTTGAGTGAAAACTGAGAACACGCACAAAGCAGGAGTGGCGATAACCCGAAATAAGCAAACGGCACAATGGGGAAGAATTCTGTGACTGGAAACGAAGTCCTCACCACGTTAGTCTGGGGCACTTTGGGCACCGGTGCGGCATAAGCGCCCGGGAGGAAGACCGCCGGGTCGGCGACCCACAGCTCCACGCCCGGGTCGGGGCCCTCAGCGTAAATGGCCACCTGGGTTCAAAAATCAGGTAATATTGAAACAAATCCGTGCACAAAATGAGGAATCTTTCGCACTGGCTTTATGTTGAATGTCGTCTTCTGAATGCCGAAGCGCTGCGGCTTGCCATCTCTCGAGTGGGCTCTGAACCGCTGCGGTGACAAAACTCAGCAAACGCGCAACCGAGCAGTACAAGATTCTCACTTACAAGCGGTTCTGTTACGAGCGCTTCTATTACAGGGCAAATCTGTCACAGGCGAATCTAATACAAGCGTCCCAATTCCAAATGATCCCGTTGAGTTTTCAAGGGTAAGCTTGTGGGCTCTGATTCCCATTTGCTGTCATCGATCGGTTCTGACACTGGGAAAAAGTAAAGATAACACAACGCAAAGTGTGGTTTCATTTGCTACCTGGTCGCTCGGCCCCGCCAGCGTATACGTCCCCGAGAGCTGCGTCCAGCATCCCGCATACGCGATCGTCTCGTCCACCGGGATATACTCCACCTCCGACGAGCGCGACTTCTTCGCCGTCAGCTTCACCTTCGCTGACGTCACCTGGGGGCCCAGCTGCACCCAGACGGACAGCGAGTTCGCGAGTCCGGCGGAAAGCTTTCCGTTCAGGTTCCAGGTGGGACCGGAATACGTGGTCCCCCGTGCAGTCGCGACCGTGTAGGAGTGGTCGGAGGAAAAGTTGAAGGTGCACCCGGCGCAGGTCCAACCGATCTGCGCGCGCGAGTTGTCGACCAGGTTCGTACCGGCGATGGCGTCACGGCTGGAACCGATGCACTGCAGGAGGGCGCGAGTCAGACTGAGTCACGTCGATGAGATTCTCGAAGTTTTTGGAACAGTGGGCTGGGAATCGGTGTGCTTTCAAAAAGGAGCGCTCATCTAAGGGTCAAGTAATCAGAACTGAGTCGATCGGTTCCAAGGCCCAGAAGCGAAAGGATCTGAGCCGCAAGATTAGTTGAAAGAAGTAAGTCAATATGCTTATCAAGTCAATAAGATTGCAGGAAACGAGACGGACTTGGATCAATTCACCCTTACTGTTTGGATACGTTGATTGCACTGGTTTTGGGATCCTGAACGGCTCTAGAAATGCACAGTCTCGAAGATACGAAGCAACAAAACGAGCTTCGAATAGAATCACTTTTAGAAAGGAAGCCCCCGCTTTGGAAGACTCCTTCTAGGCAATAGAAACTTTACTGCATTCCATATCAGCGGAACCAGACACTCTACAAAGCACCAAGCAGTTCCTTACCATCAGCCCCGGTGCGCTGGCGGGCCCCGGTTCCGGTCCCCCGGTCACGGCCGGAAATAGTGCCGCACTCCGCACGTAGAGGTCCGTCCCGGGGGGGGGTCCCTCCACGTACAAGATCAGCTGGTCGGCGCCCCCCGGGATTGTAATCGACCCCGAGATCTGCTCCCAGCAGCCAGACGTTCCGGTGACGCTTCCCACTCGGAAGAAGTTATGTTCGCCGTCCTTGATAACCAGCAGGGTTAGCGCCACGTCAGCATCTCCCGAGGAGAGCTGCACCCAGGCCTGCCCGGTGAAAGTGACGTCAGCGGCGAGAGCGCCCGGGGCGATCTCCCAGGCGGGGCCGGCGTACGTCATCTGGCGTTCAGTTGCGGCGACGTAACTAGAGTCGGAGGAGACGGAAAGGGTCGCCGGTCCGAAGAACGTCCAACCGGTTGGGAGCCCGTTTGCGAAGCCCGGGTTGGGGATGACGTTGCCGGGTCCAATTGGGTTGTCAGAGGAGTCGAGGCACTGAAAAGAGAAGGAACAGTTGGGTGAGACGTTTGCATCCAGAGTGGAAGGCTCGTGTTACATTTATAGTCTGAGCGAAACACCGTCCCTTGAAGGATTCGTCGAAGGCGCAGGGAGAAACTTGTACCCAAATCTACTCGAAGTCAAAATATCGCTCGGCTTTCGCTCTCGCTCTTGGCGCGGCTTGCTGGAACCAGCGAAGAGTGTCATAGAGATGCACTGAAGGGGCAACTTCGAAGTTCTGTGTTTCACAAGGCACAACGCTGGGAATGGAACAAATACGAGAAACATATCGGATGATTAGCCGTCGATCTGTAGTCATGAGCCGTAACCAGAAAACCTTTTTGCGAAAACCGTAACCGCTAACCACAGAATTACACCGAACTCGAAATGGGCCGGAAAGAGCACTTAAATACGTCTAACTCTAAAATCAAAACTATGCAAATGACTGCTTTCTGAAACCATTTGAAACATTCGGGGCACTCACCATAGCCGGCGATGAGGGACGGGCGGGCACGATGGTAATCGGGGCGTAGGACCTGACCGCTCCAATCGGTCCACCGGTCGCATTGGCATTGGGAGTAGACACCACCACCTGCGGAATAGCGCCGACAGGTGTCGGAGTCGGCGTCGGAGTGACCGGGGGAGTCGGAGAAGGCGCGTTGGATGTGGTCGAGTCAAGCGCGCTGGTTGTCGGAGTAGGTACTGTACCGGTCGGGAGAGCGGGTGGAGTGGTCGGGGCAGTTGTGGGAGTGGTCGGGGGATTGGGTAGCGCGGTCGAGGCAGTCGGAGAAGTGGTCGGGGCAGACGTGGGAGTGGTCGGGGCAGTCGGAGAAGTGGTCGGAACAGTCGTTAGGGTAACCGGAGCAGGGGTCGCGGTGCTAGGGGGTGTGGTCGGGGGGTTCACCACCGGGGTCGTCGTACCGGCCAGAGAGTCTGTACCGGTCGGTGGGTATGTACCGGTCGGCGCCGAGGGCCCGGCGCACCACGCGGCGCCGCCCGGCGGGCTGCCGCAGAGCCCGGCGCAGCAGACGAACGACAAACCGTCAGCGGCGTAGCACGGGTTAGGCGACCCGGCTCCGCAAGCCGGGGCGCGAGTGGTCGCCGGGGGATCCCCCGAGCAGAATGGAGTGTCGCGGGGGGGAGCGGGGCAGCCCCCAGGGCAGCAGACGAAGAGGGAACCGTTGGCGTTGTAGCAGGCGGTTGCGGGCGAGGCGCAATTTGAGGGGCCAGACTGAACCTGCACGGGAGAATTCCGGCCCGAGCGGGGGAGAATGCTTTTTAGTCGAGGGCTGATTGTGTCGTCTTTCTTTCCAGAAGGACCAAAATGCGTGGAAGATTTCTTTCAAGAGGGAAGAGAATGCTTCTTCTAGTCGGGATTATTGTGTCGTTTGCTTGTTTCCGTGCTCAAAACAGAGTCTTGGGGCCCAGATTAAAGTTCTGTAGAGCGAGTTCTGACAGGCCTTGGGACGGGAAGCGGGAAAGAAGTTACTAGCAGGACGAGTGCTTGGGTGGCAAAAATGCAGAAAGATACGAGAAGAAAGGAAAGAAAGAGTACTGAGCGCCCAGCCACATAAGACTTGGCGTTCAAGAGCCTGCGCAATGACAAGAAGGAAAAAGATGCGACGTTAGTGAAGAACTTTTGACGAGTTGCTGAGGCAGAAATTCTGAGGTCTACAAGACGAGAGTTCACCATTCAAACGCATGCTTTGCAGGAAATCAACACTGCTCCGCGACGAAGTATGAAGGGAATGAAAGTGATGGCGCGGAGACTTCTGTAAAGGAGAGTGTGCTTGCCATCAAATTTCGAAAAATGATTGAGGAGGTTGATGTTGGAACGGGGGGAGTGAAAGTGCGACTTTGTGAGACGAGTGATAGAAGTGAGTGCTGAAGTGAGTGAGCGGTGGAAAAACGCATGTGCGAAGAAGTGCCCAGTAAATGTGGTGCTCGTGAGAAAATTCCTGGTGAATACGAGAAGTGTTTGCTTAGGATAAGGAGAGCGACTGAGCGCCGTGCGCGATTGGGGAGTTGCTAGGTGAATGTGATTGGAAAAGTGACAGGCGATTAGAAAGCGTTTTGTGTGATGAAGCGAGGAGTGGCGAAGTGCAGTGTGCAAACGTGCAAGTGCTAGGTGAATGTGATTAGGAAAGTGACTGGTGGATAAGAGTGGTGATACGGTGAAGATGTTTGTGGTGTGGCCAAGCGCGGTGTGCGGATTGAAAGTGCTAGGTGAAGGTAACAGGGGAAGTAAGTGGTGGATCAAAATAGTGATTGTTTGGAGTAACGGAATGGCTGAGTGCGGTTTGAGAGTTTGCAAGTGCCTAGGTGAATGTTTCTAAAAGGCGGTCGGTGAAAGTGGGTGATGAGATTGAGTGGTGAAAGTGATCGGTGGAACTTGTCAGGGAAAGCGATCAGAAGCTCTACTTCACGATGTGAGTGCGTGTTTAGTTGAAAGGCATCGGCCAGTGAAGGGTGCTGTGTTTGCGATGTGGAAAGGAGTGAGAAGTGAAGTGAAGTGACGTGAGAAAAGAAACGAAGTAAACTGAGAAGGAAAGAGAAGGGAGAAGGGAAGTGAAGTGAACTGAAGTAGTAGGAAGCGAATAGAAGGACATCGAGCGGTCAAGTGGAGTAGAAGGAAGTGAAAAGTGAGTGACGTGAAGTGACAGGAAAAGAAAGTGAATTGAGAAGGGAATTTGAAGTGAAGCGAGAAGCGAAGTGAGGCGGAGTGAAAGGAAGAACCAAGGAAAGCGAGAATCGAAGTGAAGTGAAAAGTGTAGTGAAGTGAGTGGCGACGAAGTGGATTTGATTGAGAAATGATGTGGAGTGAAGTGAGAAGCGAACTAACCGACGCGAAATGAGAGCCGAAGTGAGGTGAAGTGAAGAGGAGTGAATTGAGTTAAGTGAAGTGAAGTGAAATGTGAAGTGAAGTGAGAAGCGAACTCAGTGGGGTGAAGTGAAGGAGTGTCCGCCCGGTGAAGGCGTCTAGCAGTGAGAAAATGTGTTGTGAGAGGTGCGTGACACAGTGTAGTGACTGGTGGCTTGGTGCATTAAATGGAGGGTCGGTAGCTGTCTTGATATCAGCGTGAAACGGAAGTGTAGACCGAATTGTGGGACGGAAGATCGCCCGGCAAGAAAAATGTGTGGTGAACCGTGCGTGATGCGGTGAGAGTGATCGGTGATTGGGTGAAGGTCAGTGAGGTCGGGGGGTGGGTGGATGACGGGGATGAGACAGGCTTGTAGAGAGCCGTGAAAGTGTGACGGAGGAAGTGGCACGCGGCAGCGAGTGAGGGTGGAAAGACCAAGAAAGTGACACGTGCAGTGTAGAAGAGGCCGGTGCTTGTGTGATAGGATCGAGTGAGAGGGCTAGGGTGAAAAGTGAGTGAGGGACCGGAATTGGACGACGACGAGTGCGACGCTTTGAGGTGTGAGTGCTTCTACTCAACTTCGCACAGCGTGAGAGGAGTGAAGAAGAGTGGTGGGTGGCGCGATTCCGGTCACCGGTGATTGTGAATCGTGAAAGCAGCCTATGCCGGGTGCACGCGAGTTGGGCGGAAAAAGTGCTCGAGGAATGTGTGGAGTGAGGGCCGGGGTGCTTAATGTGCTGAGTGGTATAAGTGCGAGGCTTGAATTGCTGAGTGGTGAGTGCCGGAGTGAATGTGTCGGGAAGTGGTAGAAGTGCTCGGTCATGAAGGACCAGTGATTGGTGAATGTGAACGGTGAGATCAGAGCGGCTGCTCTGTTGTGGCGTGCGAGGTGGGCGGAAAAAGTGCTCTGGAAGAGTGAAGTGTGTGCCCAGGGGGCTAAGTGCTGAGTGGTGAGTGCCCGGGTGAATGTGTTGGTAAGTGTCAAAGTGCTCGGTCACGAAAGACCAGTGATTGATGCTACTGATTGGTAACGTCGAAGAGCGGCTGCTCGGTGGTGGCGTGCGAGGTGGGCGGAAAAAGTGTTGGGAATGTGTGGAGAGAGGGCCGGGGCGAGTATGCTGAGTGGGAATAAGTGCCCAGTGTTGTGCGAGGTGGGTGGAAAAGTGGTCGGAAACGTGGGCGGAAAAATGGGCGGAAAAAGTGCTCGGAAAAAGTGGAGTGCCCAGGGGGTTTGAAGTGCTGAGAGTGGTGAGTGCCCGGGTGAATGTGTTGGTGAGTGTGAGAAAGGGCTCGGGGAAAGGGTGAGAAGAATAGGATGAGCGCCCAGTGAATCTTGAAAGTGCTCGATGAATATGGACTGGGAAGTGCGACATACGCAAGGTGGAATGTGACGTCCCTAAGGCAGTGGCTGGTGCAGAGTGTGATCGGTGAAGGGTGCCGAGGGAGGTGGAAATTAACGGCGTGAATGTGACTGAAGGTAAATGTGAGTGTCAGGATGATGTATTGTTCAGTGAGAGTGAGGAGAGTGAGTCTCATTGGCCTTGTGAGAAAGTGCGTTTGGTGAAAGTGCAGCGGAATCCTTCTTGACGTGTTTGAGAGGGACTTGGTGAAATGTGTGAGGTGTTTGTGAGAGTGATGCTTGAACTTGAGAACGACTGGGAAGTGGAAGTGAGAGTGACTGTGAAAGGAGGTGGAAAGTGAAAGTGTGCGATGTGGAAATTAAGTGGCTAGAGGGTGGGAAGTGTTCAGTGATGAGTGACAAGTGCGAGGTGAAGGAAACGAGAGACGGAAGAACGTTCCGGTGATCGTGAAAAGAGCCGTGCGTAAAGTGGGTCTGTGATGTTAACAGCAGAAATTGAACTCGAGGTTTCCTTGGTCGAACTGTGCATTTGCCTCAGTCTCAAAAAATTGGAGTATGTGTCGAAGCGACTACTCGAATGTGAATGAAAGTCTTCGGTAGGATTAACAACCAAAAAAGAGAAAAAGCCAAGCAGAGTAGCTGCAAAACCGACCTGGCGAGGCGTTCCGGTGATAGGCGTTACGGTCAACTCCGGATCTCCAGTCGGAGAGCCTCCGTCGGCTGCAAGAAGATCGAGAAAGAATCAGGAACCCAGGAAAAGCGCTCTTGTTAGTTTTATACACTCTACCAGACTTTGCCCGCTGATACCGAAAGTGAACGGGACACCGCGGATTGCACCCAGCAGAAAAGGGCTTGATCGCACCTTTTTTTTGGCTTCTTGGAGAAGAACCAGCTGCTTCATGACCCACATAGAAACGGCTTCGGAAAGGTTGTAGTGAGATCGATATCGATGAGGGGCTGATGCCACCAGAGAGAAAGGACGGGATCTTTTGTCTCGTGCTAACCATCCCTTTCTCCCTCACAAGGAACACAAAAGAAGACTGAAGGGCGCTCTAGAAACGCCTTGAGAATTGTTTAAATGGCACGAAGAAATCTCTTCGGTCAACGGGAATCGGATTCGAGTCAGCAAGGAATAGGATCTCTTGTGCTCTATGGGCTGGTTTCTTTCAGATTGGGTCTGAATATGTCTTCTAAGACTGTGTCAGCAAATGCCTTCTACGAAGATGCCATCCCAATATTTCATAATCAAGAGTGCCCTCAAAGTTCTTCGAACAAGCTTCTCTTACATTTTCGCTCACACCTTCCGAGCAGATCAAACTTCTCAAAGGAGAACGAAACCTGTCCTCGAGCTTCGACAAACAGAGCAGCAGCGGTGGGCTGTGATTTGCTGTCGCACAAGAAACCTCACCTTGCAGCAGAGACCGGCCATGAGAGAACGCCTCGGCCTTTCTCGACAGCGCCTCGAGCTCGGGCGTCGTTCCGATGGACGTCGACAGCAGCACTGTAGACAGACACGTGGCACTGTCAGGAGCCTTGCAGCTGGGATTGTGAATCGATTTTTCCTTGTTTTGGATCGAAGGGGGAGGTGGGCAACAGCGGAAAGAAAGCCGAGTTTCTTCGAGAACACTCAAACTGCCAAATGCCTTTGTGAGTTGGGTTAGGAACAGTTCTTCCAAGTGTGCATGTGGGCACCCTCTGTTATTCAGACATGCAAGTGCTGAATGGGTTTTGAAATGTCAACACTTGGGCTCTTATCAAATGCACCCCCTCCAGGAAAAAAGTCAGATTAAGGGAGGAAGAAGGCCCCCGCAAAAAGTGTCGACATGACGCAAATGTAGGTCAATTATAGCAGATAGATTGACCAGCTTATGATTTCAAAGCAGGTTCAAACAAATGGAAGGAATAGTTGCAGAAAACTCCCTGCCACCCGCAGGCAGTTGCTCAGCTAAATTTTCTATCTCTGAGACTGATTGATGGTCATAGCCTCATCCTAACTTCATGTTGACAATCCAATCTGAAGACTACATGAACAAGGGGTGAACTTTCCTACTTCAGATTGCCAGCTCCCCATATCATTGAATGTTGGGATCTTATTATGCAGTTCCCCTCACACATAGGTTTTCTGATCCTCTTGATACTCCCAAGACAAACGTCTCCCCCTTCAAGCCAGTTCAGCACTGATAAGCAAGGATCTTCCTTGAAGTCAAACAACTCAAAACCAAATCAAAGGATTATTGCCGCACCCACCACAACTCCAGAAATCCTGTTTCTTATGACAGCAAGCTACAAAGCTTTGATCTCCTGATCCTCTGAGCTCGAATGAATGAGGTTGGCATTGCTAAACAAACACTACATCGCCCCTCAGAAGAAACTGGATACAAGGAAGCTTAATTCTTACCATACGCAGTAGGCAGGCCCACTATCGCACACAGGAAAAAGGTCACGACTGTCACCGACAGAACAGAGCGATGCCTTCCGCCCCCTTTCAGCGGCACAGCCCCCGTCATCATTCCTGACGTCAGGAGCTTCACCTGAAGCTATTGCAACAGCCCCGCAGCTTTGCGTACTACCTGAGTCTTCCGGTGGGGAAATTGTCCTTTGAGAAGAGTGAAGAAAGGGTATAGTAGCCTTTGGAGGTTTAGAGATTTCTACTTGGGAAGCAGAGAGGGGATTGGAAAGCTGTCCAGCTCGGGTCTTTCTGAGCTGCACTACTCTTGAGCAAGGCTTCTCTGGTCTGCTGGCGCTGCTTCTCTGATCTCGCTAAGAAGACTTTGTCAAACTGAGAGGAAGGCGGGTCTGTGTTTTTGCTGAGAGAATGTCGGAATGGGGAGGAGATCTGACGTACTCTGACGCCCTGCTAGCTGTGACGATGTTAGACGCTCTGAGGAATGTTGTGGTGAAGGGGAGAAGAATGCTGCGACTGTGTCTGCAGCTCCGAAACTTTAGCAGAAGCTTGTGAAAGTGGGGGACTGGAAGCTCTCGCAAAAGTTTGTAATTGAATCTGAGAAGAGGCCGTTGGACGCTCCCTCCAAAGCTCCTGTGCCGTGTGATGGGCGTGTGATGGTCGGACGCACGTTCTGATTGGCCCCGAATTTGAATCTCAAGCTTGTCTTTAGCAAAGCTGGCAGGTGAGCGGTCTGGAGCAGCAGCAATTCTGCATTGGTGACTGAGCTCAGTCTACCTAGCTCAGTCTAGCTAGGACTACTGTGGTACGACTCTTCACTCTCCAGAAGTGAAGTCCTTTGGGCTTCTTGTGACTATCTTGAATCTTGAGACTCTTCAAACTTAGTGATCGAGTCTAGCGATCTTGGAATAAACACTCTGCGCCCTTGACACTCTGGTATGAAACATCTGGTGTTGAGAAGGTGAAAGCCGAAGCGCCGAGTTCTTGGTGTCAAAGCAAAGGCACCTGGACAGAAAAGAATGACTTCAGTCTACTCATGGGCGCCTAGTCTAAAGAGAATCTCAGTCGCTTCCCCTTCCCCGACTCGAACGTTGACGTGCGCACGTTCTGACCCGAACTATTAGCCGCAACAATAATGCCAACATTTACTTTCGTACGACATCCGGCGGAGGTCGACGGTCGCCGCGGCTCGCGGCAGCCGAAACGAGCTTGGGTCGTTTAGTATCTTTCAAAACCGCACTTCTCAAGCTGACGCGTGTCCATCCGAAGCGCCAAAACGAATGTCAATCGGCTTTCCGCAAAGTATGCGACCAAGTGGTTGAAATCTGCACCCAAAGAGACTTCACAGAGTGACCCGTGTCGAAGCGGCCTCCGTACGCCAGAGTCCGTACTACTGAGGTCATCATTGATCGGTGATATCATTTGTGACCATATCAGGAATTGATGCTCTGCGATTCGCAGAACGGTTCCCTGCAGCACTGCAGCAGGCTCCAGGCTCCAGCCCAGTCCAGCCCACAGGTAGATCGCCACATTTTGTCGTTTCCGTTCTGAAGTTCGGACTGGCTCTCGCAAAAGTTTGGTTAGGTCAACGTTGACCACACCCATACGCGACTCTCATTGGTTCCGGCTGGCTCCTAACGCCGCAGACTGCGGGACATGGCGCTTTCTTCCAAGAGACAACCATGCCCCTTGTCAGTTGCTGAAGCGGAGCTGGAGATAGGCGCGGCCAATGGCGGTCTTGTAAGTGAGGAAGTTGTAGAGTAAACTCATCCCGATCTGTTGACTGCTTCTGGGGGCCAGGCGGCCCTGTCCACACAAAGTTATAGGTGGCCAGGGTAGGGGCACACCTTACGCCCCTTGAGATAGGGCAGGCGTAAACAGTCATATGCAGCCCAGCAGATTTGTTCCTGCATTATACTGCCTTACAGCTGGTGCTGAGCGTCATGGCCACATGGTTTAAGTGCATACATGGTTTCAGGTGACGCGGGGGGAACGGGGGGGGGACCAGCCGAGAGGCTAGGAGCAATGCGACAGTTGGCACACTTCTTTGCATATACCAGCAGGTTGGCAAAGCAACCATCAGGTGAGCTATCCAATGTCCAATGATTCTAGTAACCCTGATGTTGCAGTGCAAAATCATGGCAGCGGTGACAACTCCTAACGGATGCGGTCTTCTGCGCTTGTAAAATGGTTAGATGGTTCAATGCAGTACTCTGTATTTGGACAACATGCCAGACAAAAATGCCAATGCAGTATCAGCCACTGAGCAAGAAAGTGCCTGCATTGAAGCTACTACCGGTATTTTCTCCTGTCGGTCCCTTGACAGCAGCTAATCCCATATATGGTGCTTCAGCAGCAGTATTCATTGTTGACATGAAGCTTGCAGAAGACAGTGCCATTGACCTTCAGTGCCATTGAAGATTTTGTCAGCACCACTTGTCTTATGCAACAGACCATGGGGCTGCAAGAAAAGGTGTTTCAACAGACTGATCAGACTGGTCCAAGTCAGTTTGTCTCATTCCAAGATACTGTCGATGCGGAATGGCGACTTGCAGCATATCTGGCCTGGTTGCGCTTTGGGTCTTGGGCACTCACTAATCTGGTCGTCCATCTACGTCACAGCTTCTTGGGCGCTCTAAGCTTCCTTGATTGCAAGGCAGCCGTGGAGTATGTTGGTGTTGCCGCTTGGTGCAAGGGTTGTTAGCATCAATTGCCAATAAATGTCAGGCCGCTGAAAGCAACGTTATTCCAGTACGCTTTGCGAGCTGGATTTCCTGCAACGTTGGAAGCTGCAACTTTGTCATGTTGCTGGTTGATTGCGTCTGCGAGGTCTTACAAATGTCCTGACGATGCGCTGTAGTCGATATCCGCTGACAACCCACTTTTCTTTGTTGCTTCAATCTCAGCGCCGTGAAAGGCACCGGCCGAGTGGTTCTGCTTTTACTTCTCTCTTCTGGACAGGGTTTTCCTTGGCATCAACGATCTGACGCTTTCCCTTCCATGTTTGAACAGGTCCAGACAGTGCGGCACACGCAGTGGCCAGGCCCCTGAGCTCGATCGCGCCCGCCTTATGCACCTTTTTTGCTGTCTGAAGGGTGAGCTCTCTGATTAAACGATGGTCACAGATTGGAAGGAATGGCTGAATGGTGCCCCATCTTGAAAAATCAACTCTAAATGGTAAAAAGGCAGTCGTGCGGTGCACTTGGTGGTATCTATATTGTGAATGCTGTTTGGATTCGCTGATGTTCCTGGCCATGATTGTAGAGATATGTTGAAATATCTGTTCGTTGGGTGATGTTTGCAGCACGATGAAGTTATCTTTCTCCCCATCTATTAACGGGCGGATATGTTGCTGTGCTTCTCACGCTCCCACCTTTTCCAACACCTACAATGTGTCCCAAAGTTCTTGCTCAACCTTGATTTAGCTTTTATCAAAAAACAAGCATTACGCCCGTCTGCAATATCATATTATCATATTCAAAAGGACGCACCATTTTGCAGATTGATTCCAAGCTTGCAACGTCGTCTTGGCCCGAGAATCAGCAAGTAGGCTCAGCCCATGAGTCTGTCAGGCCCCTGTTAGAGGGCCGTGTCTTATCTCTAAGCATCCTGAAGTCAACGCATGGCAGTCGGATGCGCTGTTGCAAAGCACTAGCATTGCTGTAAAGTATCAGATGTATAAACAGCACAAGATCACAAGTGCATTGGACTCGGGCTCTTGTATAGTTGTGTTGATGAACATATTGTGTATATAGGATGTGAGTTTTGATAATTTGTTGACGCTTTTATCCAACATCAGAACATCATCGGGGCTTTTCCATTTAAATGATGTTGTGCATCGTCTCCTATAACACTCCAGACATCAGTGTGCCAGACACTCATCGAAGACCATATGAAAGCCTTTTGCAGGCTATACTTTCTTAGTCTGGTCACTCAAATCGTGATGAGTGCAGTGGATTGTTTACGGTAGGAGATAGGTACTGCATTTTGAATGTCTGGATAGATGGTAGCCTGCATAATGCCAGCATGCTGTAAATGGAATGGAAAAGCTCCAGCTGCATTCTTTCAAAGATTCTTTGAACATTCATAGGGGCGCCTTGTTCCGTAGCGGCCCCGGGCTGAGCACTCCCGAGGCACGGTCTGAGCGCAACACGGTGACCGGCCGCTGTCGGACGCCGCGCGGCCGCCAACTTGTCCCAGCGCGCGCACGGAATTAGTCAATCTACGGCCTTCCGTCGCGCCGAAATATCCGACGGTGCCGAACTTCTGAGAGCACATTTGCCTGGTGTTCCAAAATGGGGCGATCTACCTGCCCAGGGATGCGCACGCCGCACACTCACCACTTACAAAGTGCGGCAGTTCTCCGGATTTGTGCGGCCAGCCGCCCACTTTTGTGCGGCAGGTCCAAGGCCATGGCCCATAGCCGCACATGGTGTGCGCTTATGCCTAAAATTCTGCCCGGCAGTTTGTCTTTTACTCTGGATAGGGGTCGATGTCGATCTACCGGGTACCAAACTAGCCAGCTTGAGTCAGGCCTTATGATGTTTCCGTCCCCTCATAAGCAAGCTGGGCACCATGCTTCAAGCCCCTGCTTATGTGCTGCTCCAATGTTCGTCTACCTACCTTATGAATCAATATGGTTGAGAAAATATACGGGATGTTTTAAAGTCCCGTTGCTCAAATGCCGGAGTGCTTTAGAATGCGCGTGAGGTTCATCTCACCTCTCGGACTGTAGCGCATCCTTCTTAACCTAGGGAGGTTAAGACCAGTAACACGGTTTTTTCCCCCTTATTGTCACGTCCCCGAACCGCTATTTTGGGATTACCCCAGCAAAAGTGGGCGGCACTTTTGTTGGCTAGCCGCACACTGGCTAGCCGCCCACTTTTGTGCGCTACGAATTTTAGGGGGTTGCGCATCACTGCTCCAGCCAGAGTCACAGTCACTCCACTGTCCACCTTATTAGGGCTAGCTAGCTAGACTGAGGTAGGAGAACCGGTTACACACTCCTACTACCGGCCCCTCGGTGCCTCGGAGGCCCTAACCAATGTGCGTTTTATCAACCTTGATTCGATCACAAACCTTTTAGGTAAACCGTAAAACCCTTCACAGGTCGTGACCCGTCACTGCAGTCCGATGTCACCACCACATCATGCCCACTGCATGCCCATTGCCGCCGCGCCCGTTCCCCATCGAAGAGGGTCTTTTTTGGGGTTTTAGGGCGCCCTAAAACGCCTATAACCGAACTTGGCGAGCCCCGGTTCTCTCAT